GGTCGTCCCAAGGTGTCAACGATCCAGGGTCTATCAGAATTAATTCCCGCAGACCCTAACAAAGGGTCTCTATCGGTCAGCAAAGTCTCTCTCGCGGATGGTCTGGATTGAGTTCCCAAGCGATGGCCCTTTTCGTGTTGAATATCTCATGATTAAACGCGGGAATATTAACGATGTCCGGTATCAAGCATTCCATTTTCCACATTCGTAAGGGACGCGCTGGCCTCTTGTTGGTCCAGTCAGCCGGGAAGATTCGGAAGTTATTCCTTTGGAGCGTTTCGAGCACGATGATATCACCGTGGAGAGATTTTGAAACTCATGTCAGCAGAGAAGATTCTTGAACTCGAATAAGGCGCTCAATATTGAATTGGCCTTCATCGCTCTACATCTCTTGGACAATATATTAGGTACCTCAAGTCTCACCCCTTTACGTTTAGTTATTCTTATCTTCACACTCATCTCCGCTCTCAGATAAGCTAGTGAAACAACCTTCTTGGAACCTTTATCCCTGAATAAGATTTCACCATCAACACCTTTACACCTTAGTCCAGGAGACCAGTAAAGGCTCTCACCATACCAAAAACCAACAAAAAAAGTCTCAGCTGAGACCAAGCATTTTGAAAAGATACCTATTGAAATTTTCACACATATCCCGCAACATCACCAACGACATGATGTCGGAGAAGAACGAGACAGGGCAACACAGCCAAGGAGATCACAGCGACACTACCGACCATGAAGGTTTAGACCACAAGCCCGCCTACACCGATGAAGCAGAAGTAGACGTCTTTGGGGGTGAGGGTGGAGAGAACTTCCGTACTATGGGCCGCTTCGATACCGTCTTTGCCCTCCTCACCAACCAGTTTGGTCTCGGAGCACTTGCTCTCCCTTCAGTCTTCAAGACCCTTGGTCTTATTCCCGGTCTCATCACCCTCGTCGGCGGAGCCGCCATCACTTACTTCAGTGGTGTTGAGATTTTCTGGTACTACGTGGCCCATCCCAAAGTCACCAATATCGCTGAAATGATGAAGATCGTGGGGGGCCGCCCAGCAGAGATCTTTACTGGCATTGGCCTATTATTACAACTTATTATGACTGCTGCCTCTGCAGTTGTGACTATCTCTATTGCTTTGAATGCCATTAGCGAGCATGCTGTCTGTACTGTTGGCTATATGGCTATTGCCAGCATTCTTTGCTTTATGCTCTGCATTCCCCGGACTGCTAAATTCCTAGCTCAGTCTGGCCTCCCTTGTATCCTCAGTATCCTTGCCGCAGCTCTTTCCACTATGATCGGCCTCGGCATAAACAACCCTCCTGGAGCCTTAGAAGGCTGGAAACCCGAGATTGAGCTTTTTGGAACTCCGACCCTCCGCGAGGTCTTCAACTGCGTTCTTAAGATCCTCTTTGCCTTGGCTGGTAACTACGCCTTTGTTACCTATATGGCTGAGATGAAGAACCCTGAGAAGGACTTTATTTACTCTCTCAGATGGTTGATGGCTTCATCTGTTATTTTCTATGGATTCATCGCTATCACTGTCTACTGCCTCGCTGCCGAGTTTACCGCCTCCCCTGCTCTTAGCTCCGCCCCTATTATTGCTGCTAAGGTAGCCTACGGACTCGTTCTCCCCGCTATATTAACTGACGGTCTTGCTTGCGGCCATATCGGTACCAAGTATGTCTATATTGTTATTATGCGTCAGATCAATGCTCTTAAGGAAGTTACTGCAAACACCCGTAAGTCATGGGGTATCTGGCTAGGTAGCAATGCTGCCTTCTGGGTTGTTGTCTTTGTTCTCTCCAATGCTATTCCTGTTTTCGACTCTATTCTTGCCGTTAGTTCGGCTACTACTTACGCTTGGTTTACATATGGTATTAGCGCTTTCCTCTGGCTGCACCTCTATAAGGGACGCTGGTTTGAGAACTGGAGGAGTATTATGCTGTTTGCTGCTAACATTGGCTTTCTTGTTTTCTCTTTACTTTTGAATGGTGGTGGACTTTGGTCTTCTATTACTGAACTTTTAGATATTTTTGCTACTTCCTCTAACGTTCGAGGATGTTTTAGCTGCGGTGATAATTCTTATATATAAGATAAGAATAGAGAGATATAGTTTAGAATTCAAAATAAATTAGATTAAAACTTAACACTTAAGGTCAGAAAAATAAGAAAAGTTTGAAATGTTTTTTTTTTAAATTAAAGCGAAGTCGAAGAACTCGTCTAAATTTCGGTCCGCCTCATGCCAAGTTAGAGATAATACCTTTAGCTGGACCCTTGGCCCGTTGAGTAGTATCTCAGTTGGGGGATCCGAGTGGGTGCTGGACTTTTTAATAATTGCTAGGGAAAGTTTGTAGTGTGCATGGGGAGAGGTGCGAACATCGTACGGAAAACTTTTGTCAAAAAGGCCGCATGTTTACGTGATATGGAGCTCATACAAGTACATGCAAGCAGTATAAAGCTGATTGAAAAGCGCACAAGGCTCTTTCAAATAGACGATAGCAGGAAAGGCTTTAGTGGTGTATATGAAGAATAAGTCAGCAAGACCAACAGTGATCATGCTGATTATTCGACCGAAAAGATGAAGATGAGAAGAAAAAAAATCATAACGATCAGGTCTTCCTCCCATAAAGGAAAGTCGTCACCGATGGATCCGCTTTCTAATTGTTTATCCAAGGCAGGTATAGTCTCCTTTCTACTAGACTCACCTATCAAGCCCCAACCCGATTATGCCATCGTTCGTCATCCCCTCTGGCGGTCAAACTCTGTTGGATGCCTGCCCTGCCTCCAGGCGACGTCAGTTCACTTTTGTTTAGCCAGACTATCGTACCTGATGCTAACTTCTCGAAGTTAAAGCGATGGTTTTAGGAGTGTAGAAGAAGGATGCCGACAAGGGGGCTGGGCGATGGAGATAAGGTGGTTCGTCAGGTTTTGACCTCGACTTCGCTGTGCAACCTGCTGTTGGAAGTGTGGGCAGAGGAGGTCAATTGGCCAGGCATTGAAAAGCCCACACATAAACTAACAAACCCGCTCGCCTCAGGTATGTCTCCCAGAGGACCAAGATTGCGAAAGTTGAGCCGGGTTCAAGAAGTGACCACGCAAAAGATTTGTTTGAGGACAAAGCTGAGCGCAAGCTACTGAGAAGGGAGCATTTGTCCAAAACGATTGCGGTGGTTTGGCAAATACCCGCTTCTGCGATTCAGCATCGCATTGAAGTGAGTATCCGCCTCAGAACCCAAGTCATCATTTGATTGCCCTTGCCTTTTGTTCAGGCTCAAGCAATCGATAGAGCGAGCACCTGGGAAATCAAGAAATAGCGAAGTTTCACAATGCATTGAAGAAACCACGGACTGCGTAGGTTCAAGTAGATAATGAAGAAGGAGCGGGAGAACGTGGCCATTTCGCGATGCTTTCAGTACTGGTGGGATGCGTAGGTCGGAATCACTTCGGCTATTTAAAAAATATCATTGGCTGACGCGAAACCGTTGAAAGATTCAGATGATTTCAACGGTCTTGACCAATCAGAAGCTAAAGTTTATTTGTAGCTCCAGCCAATCAGGAACTTGCAGCTTCTGGCTTTCAATTGGTCAGAATTTTAGCTTCTAGCTTCTCATTGGCCAGGTCAAACAGCTACAGGCTACGGCTATTATACAGGACAGCCAGGTCGCTCGTCTGGACGGAGGACGGGTAGGTCAGGGTTGCGGCGATTGTTCGTTGCGATAGAAGACAGTTAGGTCAGGGTTACAGTAATTGTTCAGGTCAGTAATACGGCAATTAGCCGTCGTGATGAGAGACAGGTCAGTCGGGTCTGCGGCAATCGCTTGTCTTGACGGCAGACAGACTGGTTAGCTTCGCAGCGATCGCTCGTCTTGACGGCAGACGGATTAGTCGGGTTTGCAGACAGCTAGGTCGGCATCGCAGCTGCTGGGGCTAGGAAACAGGAAACACTGTACGCTCTGGCCTAGCTTGTAATATAATTACTGTTGTAACTATAAGACCATGTAGCGGCTGTGTGGTTTTTTTAGCTAATCATATGTCCTAGTGGGCATCTAAAATTGTGAAAAATCTATCTAGCTATGACGTAAGAGAAAGAGAATAAAGTTTAACAGCAATGGAAGCTGCTAGAGCCCGACAACTCAACACAATGAATAATCTAGCTATGCCATCTGTTGTAAATTGACACCCTGTCCAGTAATTCAAAGGAGTTATTAGCTTCACGTCCTTTCTGCCTTATTTAGTCCGCACCTGGAGGGACGTTCCTTGGTCTAGATACGGGTCGCGCCGGTTTCGTCATGTCATCATGTTATTACCTGAGTTGTTGCTCGCCATCAAACGTGGAGCAGAAGGAAGACTGCTGAATGCTGCGGTCTTTTAGTTGAAACCACAGCCAGTTGAACATCCAGTCCCCATAGTCACGTACAGTCTATAGTGAACGCTGATCTCCTTCTGTATTCGTGCCTCTCCGACTCCCTCAGATATATTGATTCATACAAAAATTTGTTCCTGAATCAAGCCATTGTAGAGTCCGGGACTTTCCTGTTCCGTTCCACTTGACATGCTGTCGTTTCAGATATAGATCGATCTGCAACAATCCTAATTCTTACATTCTAGGGGCGGACTGGAGTTGTTCGATTTATCGCATTAATGGGCAGCCATGCGATTTATAACAATTGCACCATTCATGGCGTTTCATGTGTCGGGAAGGGGCCGCGATACCTCTCATGCATCGGATAGGCGAGATCAAAATATACGCATACATCATCTGTTCCATAACCGCCAAGAGCGGCTGTGCCTTGAATGCACAAATCCTGAATCCCCAGCGAGGAAATGCCCGTAATTGTAGAACCCGAAACGCGCTTGATTTGAAAGAGGAAACATGTTGCGTCAACGTATAGAAAAGGGGCCACCCCAAGTTGAAACGCAGAACATTTTTCTCTCAGCATAGACTAAGGCCTAGGACCATACTCTTTGATTGCTTACTACTTCATAGCAACAATCTGTTTTCACCATGGTCAACTTCTATTTCACCACTGTGGTTTCGGCTCTCAGCCTGGTCACTGCCACGGCCATTCCAGCTTCCGTTTCAAAAAGCCACCATCAAGCAAGAGCAGATCCATCTTTTGCCCTAACGATCCTGAGTGAGGATCAATTCAACAATACCACCCTAACTGTACTCAAGGGTTCGTTGCCTACGGACCCAGAGAAGCGGGCTACAATTATTGGCGAAGATGATCGTCACCTGTCCGTGAACGACAAGTACCCCTACACAGCCGTGGGAAGAGTCGGTCTCAGTGGCGTTGATTGGGGCGCTGGCTGCTCTGGTACTCTGGTCGGTCCCCGCCATGTGCTTACAGCCCGTCATTGTGTCATGGAATATGATGGTCTGGCAACTATCGAATTCTCCCCTGGCTATGACCAGACCCCACGCTTCGGCAGTTCTAAGGTCACTCATGCCATCACGACACCCGAACTTAAAGACGAATGTATCAGTAAATCAGACTGGGCCATCCTCATTTTGGAAGAACCCCTAGGGGAGAAACAGGGCTGGTTCGGTGTTAAGTCGCCCACCCAGGACAAGATTGGCTCGCCCGAGTTCAAGACCTTGGGATATCCAGTTGATCTTGACAATGGATATAGGCCGTACCTGATGGAAAATAGCTCGATCATTGACGAATGGGTCGGCTTTAAATGCGGCGGTACCGGGCCGTTTTACACTGACACCGATTCTAATGAAGGGCAGTCCGGCAGTCCATTTTGGGAAACCGTCGGCCAGGATGTGTATGTCTGGGGTGTTCTGTCTGGCGGAATTGAGGCCACTGGTGATAATGGCTTCAAGCTCCTCGCCACTGTTTTCAGCTCGGGGCCAGAGATTGTTAGCCACGTCAACCGACTTCAGCAGGAGTTCCCATGATCGACTAGTAAGCCTTAGCTATTTTTTTCTTTTTCTTTTTTTGCTACAGTTATAGGGAGTAGCACAAATAGAAAAGCGAGTTACGTGAAAATGGTAATCACGAAATTCTGTTCTAGTCTCTGCAAATAGGTTGACAGCCATGAGGCTGGAATAATTTCCATTTATTAAGGCACATTCACGTGTTCAAGATCCTTTTGTTAACAGAGATGCTTTACACAACACTGAAATTTCCATATAAGCCTGGTAAAGATATACGGTGGAAGTCTGTGTCCTTAAAGATTGGCTTAATATTACTAGAAGGATTGTGTAGACTGCAGTGAGCAAGGGAGGAATAGGAAGTAAAGGCGCGAAAGATGCCGGGAGGCTATTCTGAAAGAGGGGGAATTGGCGATAAAATGAAGCGTAAAGCCAGAACAAATGCAGTCAAGGCAACCAAGAAGCAATATCAATAAGGAGAAGAAGGCACAACTTAGCCTCCGGTTGTCGTTTTAGTTAGTGTAATCAAGACGGAAACACCATCATAGCTGTTGGCTGTAATTGACAATGAATTACTGAAGGGGGTCTTGTCCAACTAGATGCCATAGGGCGCGCGTTGCGTATCATCAGCGCCAGGCCTACTAAATTATGGATGAATACAATTTGTGTTGACAATCGCTCGTGATTTACAATACGGTAAGAGCCTAATGATTGTTTTAACTTTCTTTGAATGTATTTCCTTGTGTTAGATAACACATTACATGCCTCCTGAGGTAGAACCCAAAGTTCAAAGCCTCCTTCTTGTAGACCCAGAAGCCCACACACAGTCCACGTGAGAAATTCCCAAAATTTCAGCAATTTCCATTTGTCTCGGCGCGGGCACTTCTAGTGGTGCTTTCGTACGGCTGCGAGCCCGTCACAAACCAAGACAAGTCGCCACCTGTCAGTTCCCGCAACGTCTGTCCATTACCGAGATATTGGAAGCGGTTTCCCGTCAGGTACTTGAAATCAAAATCCTCCCAACGTGGTTGCGCGAGAGATTCGAGAAAATGCGGTCCTGAACCTGGCCACGGACCCCAAACCTTACCATCAGTCGTTCCATTCTTGTACCTGTGGAAAGAAGACAAAGACGTTAGAATTATCCGCGGTAGATGCGAACAGAGATCTCAAAGGAGAGCCTACCATGATCGACAGCCAGAAGTCCACACCAAGTCTTTCACGATATCATCTTTATGCTCCTGAAAGTCATCGACGGCTTCTTCCTTCACAGTAATAGACTTGATACCCTCCGTCATGAGCCTCTCCACCGCGTTGAATGCGTAGTTAACATAGGTCTCAATGCACGGGATAAACGTGCCGTGTGCCACGGGCGCGCTGGGTCCGGTCGTCACTAACTCAACGTTAGCCAGTGTATCGGAACATCTCAAAGTCGGTCCACGCACTAAAGTAGTTTGGGAATTTAGCTGCGGCGAGCCCAAGATAACCTCGAGGCCCGGCCTTCCAGATCTCATTCAGAACCGCTCCGTCTTCCCCGATCAGTTGAAAGGAAGGCACGAATGAAGTGTTGAACCCAGTAGCACAGATCAGGGCATCAAGTTCAACCCGGGTACCGTCAGCCATAACGACGCCGTTGGGAACGACCTCTGCAATTCCCTCTGTCCGCACTGTCACGTTGTCCTCACACAAGGCTTCAAGGTACCCAACTCCAGGAGTGAATCTATGAATTAGGTTAGTGCAAGCCCTGCATTTTCTTTACACCCAGTATTGCTCATACTTACCGGCGGCATCCTAGAGCAAAGTTTGGGACAAGTTTAGGAATAAGCTCCTTCTTCTTGCTTAAACGTTGCTCCATAAGCTTCTTAAATACCTGCATCGTGTCTCTCTGCTCCTTCGAGTTTTTGACAATGACTTCAAATCCGCTGTTCAACACATGCGTGGCCTTTTTACGAACTCGTAAGAATTCGTCCGGGTTTGCTGCCCATCTGTCCTGTTGCGCTTTGGTGTATACGGTGTCTCTCCCGTCAGGCGCAACCTCAAGGCCAAGCTCCGGCGTGATGTACGTTGCTGAGCGGTGAAAGGTGTGCAAATGTTTCGCAACTGCAGGCATTTAGCTTCCTCGTCCCCCGTTGAAATCCTCGCCAGTCTTACTTACTTGGTTGAACCTGTGGGACAATTTGAATACCCGAAGACCCAGTGCCAATTACGCCCACGACCTTGTCCTCAAGCCTAACTGTAGTGTCATAGTTGGCAGAATGAAGGAGGATCCCCTTGAAATTGTCTAGTCCTGGGAGATCAGGCCATTTCCACGAGCTGTGCAGAAGTCAGACGGGCCCAATTTCTAGAACCACACAGAAATCCGGATTGGAATTGAACTCACTTCAAAATGCCAGACGCGTTGATCACAACCTCTGCCTTGTCATGAATGATATCTCCCGTGGATAGATCTTTAATGATCAACTCGTACTGCCCAGTAGTTTCGTTCCAGCGAGCTTCAGTGACCTGGTGCTGGAGGTGAAGGTATTCAGGCACACCGTACACCTCTGCTCGGCTAGCAAAATAGTCGTATAACTCCTTGGAGCCTGCGTAAACTCGAGAGAAATAAGGATTGCCATCCCAGGAGAAAGTATAAGTGTGCGATGGGACATCACAGGAGCAGCTAGAATATTCAAACAATTAGCAAATAGAGCTCCAAATCAGATTTGCCAAATATGGGATAGTTAACCAACCCTGGATAACGATTCTCAAACCAAGTTCCACCAACAGACGTATTTTTCTCATAGATGGCAAGCTCAACTGGCTGGCCAGTAAATCTGTCCTTGAACATCTTCACGATGGCAATTCCCGAGATACCACAGCCGATAACAACAATTCTCATCGGCCTCGCCTTCTTCAGGTGATGGCGTGAATACTGAAAGCTCGCGGATGACTGAACTGCCACATCATCATGGAGGCTTTGGGCCTCGCTGGCGCCGGTGAGTCCTGGGGCCATGTTGTTTAGTGTTGTAACAGATTTGCGTGCAGTGTTTTTGTGGTTATTCTGTTTACTCGCACAGTATGTTGAGGATGATAGACCATTTAAGTACCTCTCAGACTGATTGCAAAGTGGATGAAATGGAGTCGGCCTAAGTGGTGTGGCCGGAGGTTTCTGGGACTGCAAAAGCTAACCCAGTCAGCCTTGAATCAACTTTGGGGTTTTGTCCTCACCCAGATGGATATGGATTCACGGCAAGAAAGACCTCTTTTACAACTAGTCTTGTTTGAGAGTTGTCCCGTTTCAAGACTACGTATGTCAGGTTGCGAATCAATAGTTGATGGTAGGCTGGGAGGCCGCATCCGCCATCCCCGCCACCCCCGCCCGGCCTTATGCGCCCGAGAGAGTGCCGGCCGGATCTAGCGGGTCCCAAGTCTCCCTCATAAGACGTTGACCTAAACATGAGACTTTTCACCATGTAATTAAGTGACCCGCTTCTGTACTATTACATTCGTTGTCCAGCGCCGCATCGCTGTGTGTAGCGGGGAACGCGGGGAACGTCCTTGATCAGACTGATAGCTAGGTGAGACGAACTCATCGACGTAGGTTCTTAGTCATGGTAGTGATGAGACATCACTTGAAAAATAATGGTCATTATTAGTCAAGAAGGCGGGCAGTCTCATTGTGTCGCGCAAAGTATTCCTGTCAATGATATATGCAATGGTTGTATCGTTCTACCTAACCGTATAATAATAAGGGTTGCCAACAGTCAATTAACGAGCCTGATAGATCCCCATTTATTCCCCCTCTTTGAATTATTGAAGCTCTTCAGCTGCGATTTATTGCAAATGGCCGGACTGGATCGTATACTGGGGAAATATACGGACCCAGACACAGGAAGCATTCATGGCGCAACTTTTGTAGCCGTCGACGAGAAAGGTATACCTTTCCATTCCATAGCAGAACTACATTTAACTCGTGACATGGAACTCTGATACTAACAAATGACCTTCTCGTCAGGCAACGACATCTACCGCAAATCATTCGGCCATTGCAAAGTCAACTCCAAGAATGGACCAGCACTCACACCGGATACAGCGACATGGATAGCGAGCCTGACAAAGCTCACCACTTCCGTGGCGGCAATGCAGCTCGTCGAAAGGGGATTGATTGGGTTAGACGATGACGTGCGCAACGTGATTCCTCAGCTGCAGAACTTGAAGGTGATTATTGGCTTTGAGGGCGAAGGTGACCAGAGCCCAAAAATCAACACAGAGACGCACCAGGGAGGACCGATACTAGAGGACGTCAAGGGGCCGATTACTCTGCGGTGAGTTCATCCAAGTTTTCAGTGCTCCAATGTAATGTTTTTTTTTATGCTGACAGTTCAATGACGAAGTCAATTGTTGACACACTCATCGGGATTTTGCTATGATCTGCGGCATCCCCTCTTAGTCAAGTACTCCGAGTGGGCTGGCCGGCAAGAAAACATGTTCTCTGGAACAATCGAGGGGCTGTATCACCCACCCGTTTTCCAACCAGGCACTTCATGGGAATATGGGCCGGGGCTTGACTGGGTAGGTCAAGTCATAGAGAAGCTTACAGGTATGAACTATAGCGAATACCAACAGATAAACATCTGGGAGCCACTAGGTGCGAAGGACACAACATTTTATCCCGCCAAATGTGGCGTTACCGAAGGGGATATCCATGAATTAGCATTTCGTGCTGAAGGAGAACGCTCACAGAACTTGAAAGCTGGGCCATCGCCTTGGAAATTCGAGTGCCGCGATGCTCTCGGTGGAGCCGGTTTATTCTCCACTGCTAATGACTACAGTAAACTCCTGTCTGCATTACTGGCTGGTGGAGGACCTTTGCTGAGTGAGGCATCCATCGTTGAACTTTTCAGCCCACAATTAGGCGTCAGTTCGATGGCGGCTTTACGAGAATTTGTGGTTGGTGAAGGTCCAGAGGGTGGCAAAGCATGGCTTTACACGCAGTCCCCTGAGGAATGGAAAGATGTCATGGAAATCAGGCATTGCTTGTGTGGACTTTTAAACTCCAAAGACGTCGCTGGACGCAGGAGAAAAAACACCGTTAACTGGGACGGACTACCGAACTTGGTCTGGTTCATTGATCGTGAGAGCGGTGTAGCCGCCACTCTCTTTACTCAAACCATGCCTATCGATGATCCGCCCCTCAGACAGCTTGTTCTAGATTTGGAAACTGCTCTTTATACAATGATTAACAGCACATAACTCTTATGAGTAGTTAAACTTTTTCAGAAACGGTGCTCCTAGTGGGATTGTGATGTCAACTAGGCTTAAATAGAACCCACGTGTGGGAAAGTTCACTCATTGTCATCTGTCTGGTGTATGAAATTCACACGAAACCAAAATTCTCTTTTGCTTTTCTCACGGTTTAATGTGATTAATTGCTGTGAGAGAGTTTGAGTATAAAGTAAAAAACAACAATGGAAGATGCCAGACCCGACGTCTCAACACATTGACTAATGATGAACTACTTGCGTCAACTAAACGTGTATGAACTCAAGAGGACAACGGAGCCCATGGAAATCTCCAGTCTTTCATTAGTTCATAAAAACCAATTGAGTTAGTATCGCTTCTATGCCTTAGAACCTTCCATCCAATATAGCAAGTAAATAACATTTACAGAGCTTTGAGTGTCTATCTTACAGATCCGACGTCTTCGACAATTCAGTTCTCTGTCCTGATATGTTATGTTAAAGTACCAACTAAACAATCAAAATTTGTGTCCAACATAAGCTCTATTAAATCAATTTACATTGTTGCCAATTTCAGGTCCTAAAGAGTTGTAAGAGCTTCTCCTCATACTCGATATTGCAGCTTGCCTTTTACCAATGCGTCCAAGCTCCGTCCACTACCTATCTTATCGTTAGAGAAAGCCAGAGGCTTGGGATTCAGCAAAGGGCCACTCACTATATTAGCACCTGTTAGGTAACTGCTAGCCGAACTAGCCATCCAAACCTTATCGAAATTGTCAGTGCCTGAAGATGCTCGTGGGAGGTTCTGAGTACCTACCAAAGTCCCCCGGTGTTCGTCCGGGTTGGCGAAGCGCCCTAATGATTTGTTAGCAAGTAGATATACGAAGAACCATACGGTAGTGTCACCCATAGGTATTTGTGTGAGCCACTGCTTTTGTATATCGGCGAGTGGCGCCTGGCTGTTTGCTTGGCCAGATGTTTTGCTCATTAGTGGTGTGGTCATAAACCCAGGACTGAAAGTGTTGACTCGTATTCCCCGATCCGCCCATTCAGTAGCCAGTGAAACCGCCAGGGCGTTAACACCAGACTTTGATGCGTTGTAAGACGCCTGAAGCTGCGGCCGTGGGGGGTGGGTTGCACCAGCACTGGAAACCAAGATCATGGATCCCTTCACCTTCTGCTCCAGCATATGCTTCCCAACGATGCTAGTGAAGAGATAGGTGCCATCCAAATTGACTTGGAGCACCTTACGCCAAGTCGCGAGATCTGTCTCTTCGGCTGGTCCGTTGATACAAATCCCGGCACATGTGACAAGGACATCAATCTGGCCAAAGTCTCTTACGACTTGGGCCACCGTAGCTTCGACTTCTTTCTCAACCACGGCATTGCAGGCGTATGCGTGCATTTTCCCAGGCTCACTACCCGTCTCATGAAGTACTACAGAAGAAATGTCATTGATGGCTAATTTGCAAGCATCGAAGCTCAGGTCAACACAAGCACTGATGAAATGTATTAGTTCCCAACTTTTTGTGTTCTCTTTTTTCAAAGACTCATTTATTCTTACCAGTTGGCGCCAGACAACATGAATGCAGTAATGCATTCCCTTCCCAGGCCTCCTGCTCCTCTAGAGAGAGAATTAGTTACCCGTCATTAATCGAGTGTGTCTTCATAAAAGCCTCCGGCGTACCCAGTCACTGTGCAAGGTCAGCCGTGGTACACGCCAAGACCGCAATCTTTCTTAAATCTCACCCAAACAGTTCTTCCCTTCCAGAGAGAATACGGATAGTGTTCTCGCGTGTCCAGATGGGTTGGTCATATTTTCTCGCAAGGGCCCCTTACAGGATCCCAATTCCAAGGCGGCGAAATCGAAGAGAGGAGTGGCAAAGTAAAATTCAAAACGTGCCTCGCCACGTCCACCTGTCATGAATATTAGTATAGGATTGGCGCGGATTGAGACATCTAATGCTGTATAATGTAATACTAAGCTGGCTCTGGTGTGTGGAAGGGACTACCGTTCTCGCAATGTCCGGAGACGAAGCAGTATTACTTAGACATAGCGTAAGCCTGGGGCGCGGCAGGCGGGTTTCCTGTTGATATTTCCTGTTGTTATTTCCGGGCATCACATAACGACAACCCAAAACGCCAGCGGGGATGGCGGCACGTTTGCATCCACACCTCCCCAAGCTGCGTGGCAACTTCACCTTAAGACTGATTCAGTTCCGCCATCCCCGCCATCCCCAACCGAACGTAACTACCCTAGTAGAAGCTCCACTCTCGCTTTTTGTATCTCATCAGTTGTCTCACCCGCAATCTGTTGAACAATGATCCTAATCCAGAGGGAAGAGGGGGAATAAGAGGTTATCGCACTGCCATAATTCCCCTGACTGCTCTAGTTACGGCTTACCTTTCTTTTTCTCCCGTTTGTGGGAGTTCGTCAGTGTTACAACAAGCATTGACGCCTCATTGTGGGACTTTGGCGGGTCACTCAAGTTAGAAAAACTGGGCAACGCTAGACTTATTCATGACCCTCCCTTGACGCGTTCCACACTGGATCTAGACCTTTAGCTAACCGCAGATGAACACGATGATGGAGGCTGCACATTTTGCGGGGCCCCAGTCACCTCCATGGGGAGCAATCGACTCAATCCGGGGGGTTAGGAGACCAAGATGAATACACATCATGCTCAGGTCTATAAAGGCCAGTGCTCCAGAGACGACGACAAGAACAACAACGACTACGATAATCATTTCCATAGCCATCTTTCCCCATCTTCAGCACTCCTTCCCGCTCGATCAACAAATACAGCTTGGAATCATGGGCGGTGCTATTGCGGCCACAGCCACCGGGACCAGCACTGCGCATTATATCTCTCTCCAACAACACCAAGTCGTGGTGGTGGCTGGATCCAGGTAAGCATGAGTAACTCTCCCGATCCAAGATTCGAGTCGCTAACTAGAGACGTTACAGCGCTCCGATGGAACGTGCTTCACTGTATCGGACTCTGCACGACCCTTTTCTTCAATGGATGTAAGTTTCCTAGTCTTAGCCTAGGACTGGGTCATGTACGACGAAACGAAGATGGCCATTACTAAAAGATCATAGATGATGGCAGTCTCATGAACGGCCTACAAAGCATCACCGCGTGGCAGGAATACTTCAACTATCCGTCGAGCAGTACTCTCGGCTTGATGAACTCTGCTGGTTTTCTTCCCGGTCTTATTGTTTGCTTTTTGGCCGACCGACTGGCCCATAAATTTGGCAAGCTTATCACCGTCTGGATAGGTTCCTGCATCGCGGTACGTCCATTTCCACAATGCCGGACTCATCACAGAGGGCGTGACGTCTGACAGATTAATATAGGCGATTGGCGCTATTCTGATTGGCCTGGCCCAGAATACCGGCATGTTCGTTGGAGGCAGAGCTCTGATGGGAGTTGGGGTTCAGGGCACTCTTGTGGTCGCTCCAGCGCTCCTTCAGGAGATTGCTCACCCTCGATACCGTGCTCGAATCGGCGCGCTTTGTAAGTGCATCATCACACCCTCAACAAATGAGAGGTTTGACCTGAGATGGTATCGCGATTTCTAATAACTGAAATGATTTCAGACATGAGTATCTACTACTTTGCCTCCACAATTTCAGCTGCCGTTTGTCGCGGCTGTCTTACTCTTCAAGGAGAGAAGGCATGGAGAATCCCCTGCCTTCTTCAAGTTGTTGGACCTGTGTTTGCCATTCTTATGACTCTGAATGCTCCGGAATCCCCCAGAGTAGGTGGAATCTAATCCCATACCTCAGCCCTCATTGTGTCTCTATCCTAACTTGCCTTCTTAATTCCAGTGGCTCGAGAAGAACGGCCGTTCGGAGGATGCGCTACGAGTTCTGGCAAAGTATCATGCCAATGGGGATGAGAATGACGCTCTAGTTCTATACGAGCACCGCGAGATCAAAGAAGCGCTTGCCGTTGAAGAGCTGAACTCCCAGACCAAGTATACCGACTATCTCAAGGGTAGCGGCAACCGCCACCGACTCTTGATCCTTGTGATCGTGTCTTTGGGAACGAACTGGGTTGGCAACGGAATTATTTCGTACTACCTGAGCCCCATATTGACATCCCTGGGCATTACATCCACTAGCGAGCAGCTGGATATTCTGATTGGATTACAAGTCTTTAACTGTAAGTCCATCCCGACGTGGCTTATGAATGGGCCTTTTCCACTCAAGATGTCGATACCTAACCATGGGATAAACAACATATAGTCGTCATCTCAGTTCTTGCATCTATGGCTGTAGATAGGGTTGGCCGTCGCCCTCTTTGGATCGGGTCCACCGCTGGCATGCTCGTGTTCTTTTCTATTCTCATGGGCCTATCGGCTGCCTTTGCCCAGGACCAAGTGCCCGCCCTCGGCAAAGCAAACATTCCATTCTTGTTCCTTTTTCTTGGAGCCTATGACGTAGCATGGACGCCCCTTTCTTATTCGTAAGCAGAATGATCATCCTCCTCAAGGCGAAGTAATCTTCTAACTGCTGCTCGCTCTAAGCTACCCTGTCGAGATTCTCACATATACAATGAGAACCAAGGGTCAAGCCATTTTCGTCTTCTTGCAGACGCTGGGTATGTCTGTCAACACTTGGGTAAACCCTATTGCTCTTGAAGCCTTGCAATGGAAATAGTGAGTCCTCTCCCCACCCCCGTGGATCCTGCGTGTTTAACAACCCTTTTATCACCTGGTCATTCTAACCTATCTCGCTAGCTATGGTGTTTACATCGTTATCCTCGTGGCCGTACTTGCCGTCATCTTCTTTTGGTTCCCCGAAACTAAGAATCTCACAATCGAGGAGATCGCCGTCATCTTTGATGGCGAAAGGGCCCTGGGTGGTACTGGCAGACCGGGAAGCGAAGAGGGTGGGAGATCTACTCCGCCAAAGGGAACCGATGATAGAGTAGAGTTCACGGGACTTGAAAAGGCCTCCAAATGATATGGATGAGAGAGCGGGTTAGGGTACATGAGGGTCTAGTCTACGCGACTAGAGAGGTGGAAGAAGAGGAGGCGCGAGGGTTCACAACCTAGCCTTGATGGGACTATTCTTTCGTGTTGACATTGTGTGATATTTAACACGATGTTAAGGATTTTTAATTTGTCATTTCACTTCTCAAACATTGAGGAAACTTTCAAATATTGTTGAGCAAAAACCTTGGTCTGGGGGCACCAGAGAGCTGTAGTACCGGAGGCCATCCTTTAGTTGGGTGTTTGTAATTGTATCGTAAATCGCTTCTAGCGGAGGATGCCAATGCAATGCCTTTACTGAATCCTGATTTACTAAATATAGAAAATTTCTTCACTTATCAATATAAGTTCAAATAATTTCTAAGCTTTTATTTAGAGGTTAGAACACATATGTTGATAAATGGTTTAGGGTAGCAAATCTGCCACCTAGTACATGGGGTCATGCAAAATGGAGTAAGTGAGTGGATAGATCCCCGCAAACTCGCAAACTAGCGAGGGAAGAGTGGAGCTTAATTTTGATGCCACGATGTCTTGGATGTGTGGTATTAGCATTCATTCAATTCCCGACCTAATCCCGGCAGCACCCTTGAACTTGACATCCCTGGCTGCAAGGGTGTTTGTGATGCGATGAGACCGGGGCTACAGCCTCAACAGGCGGCCGATTACCAAGATGAGGCCAGGTTTCAAGATATGTAATATGTAGCGATTTGCAACTCATAGTATCATCGAGACTTCTATCATTGATTGATTTAGGTAGCTTTATAATTACCTTTAACCAAAGCTTTTCGACCTGTAAAGGAATGGAAGTATTCACTAAAATGCTGGAGATAATAAAGGCCATTAGGTCGATTCCCTCGATTAGTGCATATCACGTGAAACGCCTGTACAAAATGATAATTTGAGTGGGGATTCCCCGCGGTCAATCCCCACAACACGCGCTTCCAGGTGTTGGCATTTACAGAAGACATTTCCCCCCCTTTACGATGCCGACATTCATAAGAGTTCTAGTCCGTGGATATCACTCATCAGCTAATGAGTTACCCAAGGAAGCGCGCCCCAGTTGCGTGTAACTACTGCCGCCACAGGTACCCCCTGGTCACCTATATGCATCTCCCCGGTTCTGTGGAAAAGAGGTTAACAGTCTTTTACCACGCAGGAAACGAAGATGTGATGGACAAACGCCTGTGTGTAATCTCTGCCGAGAGACAGGTACCAAATGCGAATATCCCGAGGTCCCAACTGAGAGGTATCGTGATCCCGTGTTATTGGGTAAAAAAAACTCGGCGACTCTTATCACTAACGCCCCCATTAAAGACCCGACCATGAGCTTAGCCGTCGTGTTGATGAGCTGGCCCAGTTGGTTCTAAAGCAATCGGAAGCCATCGACACATTGACCAAGGAGTCAAGGATACGCAATGCGCGTTTCAGCCCGTCTTCTACCCGCCGCGATGGTACTACTTCTGTTTCCCCAATAGCTGCTTACACTTCTTCGGAGTCGGAATTCAGCCGCAATGCCTTGTCAGCACAATCTATCGTAAATGGCGGAGGCGAGGAGTCAAGACATGCTATGGTCACTACGGAACACCGAGCAGACCTAGACGACACCCCTCTGACCATTCCTGTTGGTCATCAAACCACTACGGGAAGTCTGTTCTCTTTAACGCCGCTAAGGCCTCTACTGGGAGAGTACCCCGAGGATTTCATGATGCAAATTGAGCTCCGTCGAGTACTCAAATTCGGGGGACGTCGCACACAGAGTTTCGAAGAGGAGTTGTCATTTCTGGATCTCGGCCGCGAGTTAAACGAGGCTTTGATTGACGCTTTCTTCTTTTACATCTACCCCAATTTTCCCGTCCTCAACCCTGGCATATTCCGATCTGTCTATGACAAAGTGATGGAGCATGGCTTCCACCGTGATGCCGAGTCGGCTCTGTGCCTAACAGTGCTGGCTTTGGGCAAGCTCGCAACAAATTTATCTTCCCCCGGCAACGCCGAAACCCAGGACGACCTGAATGGAATGCAGTACTTTTCAATTGCGTATGAAATTGCTGTTGTGGAATGGGGCGCATCCCTTGGCGCGGATGTGGTCCTGCCCTCGGCGCTCGTACACGGTGCTATATATCTCTTTCACATGGCGAGACCGCTACAAGCGTGGAAGCTTGTGACTCTCGCATCGTCGAATTTACAGCTTATCAAGGCTAGGTCTGTGTTTTCGGCGAGTCACTTCCCTCAAGAGGCTCAATTACTGACGCTCTTGGTACCCGATGAATAGTCCCCCGGACACACATCACGGTTTAAACAAAGAAGGCGCTGCCTACATCGATAGATTGGTCTGGGCATGTTATATTCTTGAATCGTGAGCTCTCTCTACTCCCAGTGCACTTAATAATGCTGACAGAATGATACCGAATAAATAGAGATTGCCTTGCCGAGTTTCATCTACCTCGTAGCGGCATCGAGCTAACAGTCGATAAGATGGCCTTTCCTCACTTTGAAACCCCTCAGCAGACTGTTCCTCGCTCTTTGCTCCGTCAGGCGGCTCTTCAATAGAATCCACAACACCCTCTATTCTAAGAGCGAAAGTAATTTGGCGCCAGTGTCAATAGGAGCGACTTCCAGAAGTGGTGACTCGGCTTGGTCGCATGGCACGTTGACGTTGAATTCGCTCGTCAGCATTTGCGCAGAGCTCTCTCGGCAGCTAGACACTTGGTATGTGTCTTTACCGGATGCGATACGGCCAGACTTCAACAACGACATTCCTCTCGACCTCCACGATGGATGGTTGCGCCTTCGCTATTGGTCTGCTCAGCATATCATTTACCGGCCATGTCTTCTATATGCCCTTTCTTCCCAGGAAAGAGAGGAGCTACCAACGTACATCATGACCAATTGCGCCGCCTGCATCCAGAGCTGCAGAAATTGTATCAAAACAGCACACCATCTCCGCATGCATCGAACCCAATACACCTGGATGACTACCTATGGGTAAGTGGCCTTTGTACTCGCCTGGTATGGTCGGGTTGCTCCCATTCACCTAAAAAGCTGACATTGTATTCAAGTGTCCTGGCATGTTCACTAATATTGACCGTTGCGTCGACAAACACCGTGTTAATGGGACTGGTTCCAGATATGCGTGATCTTCTTGGAAAGGTAATCGAGACAATGGAAGGATGGACCAGCCCTGATTCGACGGCGGAGTTTGTCATTGCAATTGCGCAAGTCATTCGCCAACGTCAACGCTATCAGGCTCTGCTACCAGTAGCAGGGCAAGTACAACAATGAAGCTCTACTTGTACACAGCTTTGGATCCGCAATGAAATGTTGATTATCGAGACGGTGGTGAGAGCTGAGTAGCGAAACATATGAGATATCGAGGGCGGTTGGACCCCGGAGACTCTTCGGAAGCATTTCTCGCGGCTTGCTTCCCTGGGCATCTGTTGGCGTTTTATATCATAGTACAACTCCCGTGGGCTGCCTTATCATGCTCCATGACGCTACAACTTCAAACTTGAATCCTCGTAGAGGGCAGGTTGCTTAGTTGTCATGGTCAGAGTTGTGCAGAGACGTCACCCTGCAAACTGCAACATCATAATATTACCCTAATATTATTATTACTTTAGGAAGGTCTGAGTAGCTCTCATGAATTACTAGTATAGTATGTATGATTAGGGTAAATAAGAGACTTGCCAAGACCCCAGTTGCGAATAGATTAATGATGATATACTCAGATACATTCCTTAGTTCCACAGTGAGGAATTAAGAACATCCACTATTTGTGAATGCTGTTCCTTGCCGCTGTTCTTCTGTCGTCCTTTGTCATGGCTACAATGGTGCTCGCAGTAGGTAGAGCTACGGTAAGGCCTCTACGAAGCAACTCTGTAGTAAATGATTAGGTACCCTCCTGAGAAGGTGGCGCCTCCGTCTACTTCTAGGGACCATGTTCCCTGTAGAGAAACAGGTTGCTGCCACTTCACCCCGAGACATTTCAAGCCTCCCCCGAGCGTCGTGGGGCTCAACTGTTGCGATTCCCCATCGTCCACAGCTAGGCTCGCAGACTCGGGCGCACCCGGGAGTATGCTCAAGGCGGCCGAGTTGACTTCCACGTTTCGACCCCCCTGGCGTGCCCAGTAGGGCAGTCGATTCGTCAGGCCCGTCAGCTTCATCTTGCCGCCGCCGGCAGAGGTGCAGCGGTTCCATTCCGAGGGGAAATCGGTGCTCAGATTCACGGCCATGCATTGGGCCCTGTCGCTGCCCACCTTCTTTAGCACGGCCTCGGTTGCCGCCTTGGCCAGGGCACCATCGCCTCTCAGGGACGTGTATCTCAGGTGCAGCACTAGGTCTGTGATGGTCTGGTAGTCAAATGACGCAAAGTCCGAAGGGAATCGAACTTCCCACGTGGACACGGCCCCAGCGCCCTCAAAGGGGTTGTACTTCTCCGCCGTCTGAAAGTCGAGACTGAACGCTCCGGCGTCCTGGAGTCCGCTGCTCACGGCTATGGCGTCGATGGGCACGGTATCGGATCGAAATTGGTCCCTGGGCTGCTCGTATGACGCTGGAGGGGTGGGGGAGAGTCGATACCAATGTTTGACGAGCCGCACCGTGCAGCTCAGAGATGCATAGGCGCCGAGGATGCATGGGACGGATACGGCTACAGAGGAGATGCGACGACAGTAGTGCCCCGGATAGTCCATGTCAAGCAGGGACTCGGGAATGTCAAACGTGGCGGAGCCAGTCTTGCGCAGCGTCAGCATGGCCACGGGATCGAGCTGCCACAGGGATACCGGCTTCGTAATCTCAAAGTCGTGGGCTCTGTTCTCCAGATGGGCCATCTCCATACGCTTCAGATTCAGGTAGAGCGCATCGCCCGCCAACTGGGCATCTTTGGCATGCTCCCAGTCCTTGGCGGATCCCGAGCCCCGCGGAGGTTGTCGGCTCCCATAGCGGCCTAGATGCTCAAACTCGAGGGCTTGCTTCGTCTTCGCTACCATGTCCGTGGCGAGGACGTAGGCCTGGTGGAAGAGCGTCGCCATGGAGTTGTCAAGGGTGGCGTACAGCTGCTCGCTCGTGTATTTGCTGCGGAGCCATTCCTCCTCGGCGGCAAGATTCTCCATCTCTCGCCGGTGAACCTTTATCTCTGCGTCGTGCGAGTCCAGGCGGGACTGGAGCTGGGCCAGCTCCTTGTCGAGCCGCACCATCTCTCGCCCTGCCATGTTGGCCTCGTGACGGCGATCCTGGAGCTGCCTGGTCAGAAGGGCGCTGCGGCCGGCCTTGGCGCCATTGTCGGAGATTCGCTGAGCAATGGTCTTGGTGGCCGCAGCGACGGACTGGAGCACGGATCCTACTGTATGGCCTCCGAGCTGCATATCTATGCCGCATCCCATCGGCTGCGTCTTGGTGGTGATGTTGGGGAAAGCAAAAGCGGCCGCAGCCATGGACTCCAGGCCACCCACCTTCTCGTTCCACGCGGCGGCCTCGTCTGCGCAGCGCATTTCTTCGGCCTCGTAGCTCGACATGCGCAGGTTGTTCTTGGTGGGCGGCGCGATCGTGTCCTGTCTGATGTCTGTCCAGCTTTCCCCCTCCGCCGGCGGTTTCACCGTGGAGTCTCCCGTGAGCTGCACGTAGTACTCGAGCCGCATCTGCTGCTGCTTGCGGAGCTCTCGCAGCGAGTCCATGGACTTGCCGATCTCTCTTTTCTGGTACTCCTTGACGTTGGTCGTGAGCTCCAGGATGGCACCGTGGTGCTTGGACCGCAGGAGGGAAAGCGCCTCGGTGTCTCGCTTCTCCTTGATGGCCAGGAGCTGCTGGCCCGTAGCACGGAGCTCACCGACTATGTCGTAGGCTCGTTGGAGGAGGTAGGCGAATCGATACTTTGGCATCGGGCCGCGAATATCCGTGAGTAGACCGGCTAGTCCCTTGCCTTCTGAAGCGCTGCCCCCGGCCACCGCGGCAGGATCCAGCGGTGGCTCCAGCATCTGCATGGCGAGAGGGTCGCCGTTGATGTCGAGGCCATGTCGGATGTTATACAGTCGCTGGTCAATCTTGGCCCGCAGCTCTAGCACCCTGGGATTGCCCGGGATGCAAAAGTAGCGCGTGCGCATGATCCCAACAGGCTTGCGGCCCTTCATCGACTTCTGGCCTGACGAGCCCGGCGCTGTGTAGAAGGGGAAGTCCAGCTCTAGATTGACCTCGGGGTTCTCAAACAGGCTGTCGCCGCTGATGAGCTCATTGTACGACTTGGGCGCGGGCTCCCCAAGCCGACTTGTTGCCACCGGTGCCGGTCCAAAGAGATGGAGGGCCTCCGTGTATCTTTGGATGGCCATGGGCAGGGTCTCGAGAGTCGCTTGGCAAAAGTATTGATCCCCGTGCGCAATGAGGGCCTCGATGTACTTGATGATGATTCGTTTCATGTATACCGCGACATTGGTGCGTGCTGCTGCGTGGACATTCTTCCGGCTCTCCCGCCACTCTGCCTCGTCCATTTTCTTCTTCCAGGACGGATCCGACGCCTCATCACTCCGCGACTTGATGATACTGCGCAGGGCCGGGAATCGCCAGCACTTGGAGGACTGGTCCGAGAGGCTCGGGTCAAAAACAAGGGCCCGAACCAGGCGTATGGCAAGCTCATACTGTTGAGTGGCTATGAGACGCTCCATAATCAGGCTCGGTATGTGCACGGCGAGCTCCCAAGTATAGAGGGAGAAGGGCTTCGCTCTTTCGTGATGGCGCTTGGAAGCATTCGACCAGCCCAAAATATCCGTACCATACCAGTATGTCGATTCCAGATTTCCCAGCCATTGCGACACCGTGCTGATGCTTCTGTTCTTAGCCAAGGCCAGGGCCAGTGCTGGCATTCGCGTGTTGGTCAAAAGAACCGACTCCCAGCCACCCGCCGTCAATTTCCCCCATTTCTTCTCGTCATGGCAAAGACGGGGAATGCCCAACAGGCCAATTTCTTTGCCTTTATGTCTAGCCTCCATCACGAGGCCAGTATTGCGGAACTCGCCCCTCCTGCGGCAGTCGTAGTCTCTTAGGAAAGCAGTCCGCCTCAAGTCGGTCATCTCCTGACCCCGGTCATTTTCAATCTTGCTGGGACATAAGGTTGGCTTGTTCCTTTCCCCGACTTCAAGATCTACATCTTCCGTCTCAAGAAATCTCCCAAAGTGTGAGGGGCCGGCAAACAAGGGATTGTCGGAGGAAGAAAGATCACCAGTCTCGTGTATGCTCTGCTCGTCAAGCCTGAATCTGCCGACGATCCCGTTGCAGAGACCTTTCCAGTATTTAGTGGCTCCCGACCCGTAGCATTCGACATCGTAAGTCAAGGATTCTGTATTATCTAGAACCTGGAATCGGAACTGGTCGAGAGAAGGTAGATGATTCACCCGAGTAATGCAGTCCTTCGTCCCGAAATCTTCACCTTCTGGCACGCGAAGGGGGGTCGGATGCACACGCTTGGTAGACCAGGCCCCCTTGGACCGCTCCGTCAGCCCTATGCGTATGTCCCAGTTCCGCTTCGGTCCCAGCGAGACCTTTTTTTTCATCATCTCGTCAGGCGTAGACTTCTCACCAACGCTGAATTCGTTGGCGTTTGTCTGCATCAGCGTGAACTCGGGTAGTAGCACTTTGAGTTGATCTTTATGGACTACCGGAACAATGTAGGAACCGGCTCCTTGGAACTCTTCACCCCTTTTCTTGTTCCCAGATGGATCATTCTCGTAGAGGGGGGCATCGATGGGGAACTTGGCCCAAGGCGTCCAGTAGCAGAGATATTCCTTCTCGCCTACCGCCCTTTGCCGCATCTTGCAGTAGTACCGTGTTACCGGTGATGTCCGAGTGCGCCCAAAGATGTGGAAGTCTCCTTGGCTAAAGTTAGACCAATAATAATCTCTGCTTGTGTCATTGTCGTCTAGCCACACCCAATGGTATGCTTCAACCTGCAGGTTGCTAACGCTATCAACATCACGGACGTATTGGTGGATGAGCTCCTCGATGGACTCTTCATCGATTTTCTTTTGAGACATGGCTGTTTCAAGGGCTCGGAACTGCTCTGTCTTGTCGTCGCGGAGAGTCGGGTCGATCCAGTTCTCGGGATGAAGCAGCGTCTTTCTCTCCGCCTCCCACAGCCTGTACCGGCAGGCCGAATCCCAGTCTACGCCAGATTTACTTTGGATGAGGTCGGTGCTTCTGATCCCGTTGTGTTTCTCGGCGTTGAGGAGACATCGCTGGATGAAGAACTGGACGGTCGAGACAGCCTGAAGCAGGCGGGAGGTCTGGAGACTCGGGCCCATCTGAACGTCGATGAGAAGGTGGCTGAACAGGTCTTCTGCGTCCCTGATGTTGTTCTTCTTGGCGTAGCCGCGCGAGAGGAGGCAGTTTACCACGACCGATCGCTGGGCATCGCGGAGCTCGTTATTGGCCGCTTTCATGTTCTTACTGTAGCTCGGACTGCCTTGAATGCCAGTGCGTAGTATGGCGGCGTGCTCAAATGCCTTGACCACTGCCGGAGGCGTTTTCATGTTCCTCTCACCCTTTATCCGCTCTGGAGCGATAGGTTGTGCCAGGGCAAAGAGATGAGACAGCGATACCCCGATGGGATCTAATTTCTTGTGCACGGCGATCGCTTCTCGCAATTCTGTGAGAGCACTGACCTTGAGAAACCTGGCAACCAGGTCGTGATCGTTCACATGGGGATATTTCTCCTTGATATACTCAGCACAGAGGTGAGCGGGCCACCCGGTTACATCAGCAAGCATGGAGCCCAGCTTGTCACGCCCGGTAGACGCGGTGGATGAGAGATTCAAGTAAAATGTTGGCAGCGACGAGACGGCGGTTTTGAGGCCGGAGAAGGCGTTTCGTAGGGACTGGTACTGCTGAAGGTTGTCCACGGTAGCCTTGTCTAACACCTCAAGATCGATCCCCATGGATGACTTAGCTCGATTGAACAGCTCGATATCCGCAACCTCGAGCTTATATTGGCGTATTACAACGGCAACTCGCATCAATTTCGAAAGGATCATCATGGTGTCTTCCACGTCTCGGCTGCTAATCAGCAGCTCTGCTTCTTCTCTCATATCTTCCGAGTTCACGGAGGTTCCGTCCCTTGATGTCGGCCTAACCAGCGTGACGGGGCCAGGAGAGCAAAGCTTGTACACTCGGCCATGCGTAAGGCAGTGGGTCGTGCAGGCTCCATTGCTATCAAGTGCGAGGGCCGTCTCATCAAGAAACACTGTCTTCTCGGCTAGCGAAGGCGCGATGACACTATAGGTTGTTGTGACGGAGGGGACCAAGTAGCCCTCGTACTCATGCGTAGGCAATCGAGCGCTGTCTCCTACCTGAAGGTGGTGCTGGGGCCCGTCTTGACCCAGAAGCAGCAATCGGCTCATAGCGGACACGTCGGATGAGCCACTACTAATGTGAATCATCTCCTTCAGCAGGTACTCCAGTGTGGTAATGTCTATTCCTGGGAAGAAAGAGCGCAGGCATCCGAGTACAATATGCCTCTTGGAGGCAGCTGATGACTTCACCTCCTCGCGGTCATTTTCCTCGTTTCCTCCCAACGCACGGGTGAGAGTGGATACAATCTGCAGGCTTTTCCCTGTGCTGGGGTTGCATTCTTCATCAGATGCATCAGGTACGCCCAGGCTCACAAATAGTTTCTTGTGGAAGTCAAGATCCGGTTTTCGCCCCTTGATAGGCAGAAAGTCTCTCACAATGGCAAGGGTAGTCCGAGGTGTCTTAAATGGGGTGTCCATTTTGTAGAGTTTCAGGAGATGATTGTAGTCACTTGCAGAGATTCCAATAGCCTTTGATAATGTTGCGATGCGATACAACTCTGAAATTGTGCCCAGGCTTAATTCCTCCATGGCATCACCCTTGAGAGCCATGTAGTCCTTGTGTGTGAGCCCTAGACCCGCGAGAACTGTCTGCAGGTACTCATTGATATTGATGTGTCCCTGGAGAACTTCACCATCTTCATCTGGCATAAAAGTCTCGTGGTGGTGGGTGTTACGTCTGACAAAGAGCTTGTGGTAAAGAGAGTCCGGACCACTGTAGTTCATATCACCCCATAGTGGCTGTAGCTGCATCGGAGAGAGCTTGGTGAGCTCGGATAGCTCTTTCACTGCAGCCAGCTCGACAAAGGGGGCGCCATCAAGGCTTGGACGGGGAACCAACCGGAGAGTTTCAGTCAGTAAGCTGACTTCCGAGACGGACCAACCCTCCATCTTCTTATACAACCTGATGCAAGCCTGTAGCTGTTGGCATGCGGCCTCATCAAGACTCTTTGTCTCCCCGGTTGAATAGTCCAGTAGGCGAAGGCGCATTCCTGCGATGTCACCGTTGTGATTGCCCTCTTCACGCCCAGCCACAATGACGATCTTTGCGGGAAGACGATATTCTTTGAGCATTGTTAAGAGTTCGGCAAAAGAGATTGCAGCGCGCGCGAGAAACTCTTTCTTCACAAGTCCGAGACCATTTTCGGGGTCCAGCATCTGTTGTGCTGAATCATAACCCCAGTATGCCGCTGTTGGCTTCTTGCCGATTGCCGCGTGGTATGTGGCTTCATCAAGATCAGCCATGACCTCCTGTGGATAGGTTCCCGATCCGTGAATCGCTACTTGATCCTCCTCTTGCATTCCAAGGACCTCTGCGGCGTAGAACCGATCCAGCACCACCTCAACTGACTCCAAACCACCCCGAAGAGTATCCAAGCGGTGAGGAGCCCTAAAAGCTGCCAAAAGTCTCTTCCGAGGGACACCCAGAGCTTCGAGGTAGACCCTTACACTGTGATCCGCTTGGTTGTAGGGGAAAATTGCGAGCGGCGCAACAATTGGCTGAACAATGTCGCGATACACGGCGTAGTTTGTGTATTTCGGCTCTGCGGCGTTGCTCTCGCTGGTGTCGCCACCGCCCATGTTGAACGGGGGCGAGAGCTTCTCTTCAGACTTGAAGTCCGCCTCAACGATCGCTTCGAGAATCTCATTCACCAGGTCAATGTAGGGGATGAGCACGTTGACGTTGGCACTGGAAAGCTTCAGGTCACCTAGGTCGGGGCGCCTCAGGAGTAACAGTGCCTGCAATGTCTTTCCGCCGAGCCCTTTAATGGTGATTTTGCGGAGTGTCTGCATGAGATAAGAGAAATACGCAGCAAGACCCGTGATGGACGTGGCGTCATCGTCGGCCGTAATGATCGTCTCCAAACCGAACATCTGAGTCAGAGTAGGAGGAGGCTCTGAGCCTGGCTTTGATTCATCTAGCGCCTTGAGTTCGGTTTCCCGCTTCAATGGCTCTGCATCTTCCTCCTTGATCACGTCGATCCATAAGCTTTCATGCCGGACTGCCGCTGCGTCTGCCTTATTCAGGATCCTCTGGGCCCTCCTTTCTGGAACACCCCTTTCCTGGAGCTTCCGTACTGCAGCCACACCAGCATCATGAACGGCATCACTGTTGGGGTAGCCACAGCCTAGCAAGGGCTCGAGATCGTCAGGGTCATTGACTAGTGTCAGCATTTGCTGCAGTGTCACTAGGTACTTCATCATCTCCTCGTATTCGTCTTCATCGCCGTGTATGGATCTGATGATGGAAGTTCCGCCTGCCTTGGGAGTCATCAGAGCCCGCAAGGGGTTGTTGGCGATGTTGAAATCAAAATCCTCCTGTGCCTTCCGCAGAACGCATACTACTTTCTTTCGCAGCTTGGACGGACACGGTATTTGTGAGTGCTGGATCATCGCACAGATGGATAAAGTCGGCTCCTCAAGAATGACTTTCCTGCGAAAAGTGATCCACTTCGTGCCCAGGTCAGCACTCTCTGATTCCTCATCTCCGGATGGCGGTAGGTTCTTGCACGCGGTGATTTCTGGGATGAGCTCACCACGCGAAGTGATGGAACCATCTCCAATGTGAACAAGGGGTGCCACTCGGAAGAAGCCTCGCGCAACTTCCAGTGATTCTCCCGAAGCTGGTAGGAAGCCAAGAACAATTTTGAAGAGTCTGAGCCTTATCTGATCCTGATCACCGCAGTTTGGCAAAGCCTCTTCAATGGCTTGCACCATGGCCTCGTACGCTCCGTGGTACCTGCCTCTAAAGTAATGGGACCATTGGCTTATAATAGAATCCGAACAAGAAGTCTTCAACCTTAGAAGATTACATAAAAGGTCATTTGCAGGGTCGTCGACGTCAAGGTACATGTACTCATTCTCAGCCTGGCCGGGTTCAGTCATCTATCTCGACAATCAGCATGCGAGCGGGCTATTCGTACGCACTTCACCTACATTTAACAAGACTGCGTTGCTTCTATGCTTGTATTTTTTCTTTGAAATTGAAATTGAAATTGAATTGATCCGTGTTCTGTTTGCTTCAGATCATCAACTTACGAATGGAAGGCTTCTTGACTTGATATTTATCACCTACAGTAGTGCCTGGTTCACTCGAGTGTTCATTCGTCTGACCATACATACATACATGTCACCTCGCTTATGTGAGAACCTACACTCAAGATATGCGCCCCTGGGAGGGTGCATAAAAGCCTCGTGGTGTGTTGGTGTATATGTTGCTGCCTAATGTCTCGATTGTCTTGCAGCCCTACGGTGACCTGCGACTATACGAAATAGACCTGTAACTGACCGCTTCTTCCACAAGTGTAAGTGTCATCGCGTGGAGGCGGAGGCGGGAGCGGGAGCGGGATAGCCAAACGGAAGGGCCGTTGTGGATTTGTCTCACATTAGGTGCATACCACTTGCGCACTCACGGCGGCTCTCGACGTTTAACTAGTCGGCATTGGGAAGCGAACCTGCATCTTTCAGCTCGGTTGCGGCTTTCTTGGATGTAGATCATCAGCTGTATTGGTTACTTGATGCGTCTGCGTAATCAAGATGAGGTCACTGTAGTCAATCTTGAGGTCACAACTATTGATTCTATTGCTTGATGCCCAAGATCGTGTGGGTTTCTCTCGAGCGTCGAGCGGGGAGAGTCCTATAGCCCCCAGCCAGCAATCACAGTGCTATCTGCGCGAATTACACTTCACGTTGGCGTCAATCACATACGTGGCATGGTCTTGACCATTGGAAACTCGGAGGATGGATGGATGGATAGGAGTCGTGGCATAGGTAGGTTGCAGAAAGCGGTTAGTGCTGCTCGAGCAATCACGACCAGTCCCTCGTTGTTTTCGACGCTGTCCATGAAAATTGATAACTAGATGGGGGCAAGTCTTCCTCGCAAGGTACCGCTCAATCATTCGCTGCATCTAAAGAGGGATGCTATCATTCAAGTTACTACTCCTTGTGTATCGAATTTGATGAGCGACCATAGTGATACAGAACGCAACAAGGCACAAACTTACCATGGACAGAATCCAACCTCAAGCACCTGGTATAAGTCAAGAAGGGGTGGTAAGAGCAACGTTGAAAGGCACCCACGATTGATCTACAGTCCTGGTCTAACCTCCCTTAGGCCAGTCAGGAAGCTCCTCACTCTTCAGACAGTGGCCCCGGTCGCTTGCTCGCGGAGGGCTCGGCGCAGACTCCTGCCACCGAGAGATTTGGAGTCGACGCAGCGTCAGGATCTATTGGCCTTAGTATTCCTATCCCAACTACTCAAGGACGCAGCGGGTTCGGCCCCAACTTGAGTCTCGTCTACGGCTCCGGACCTTCTGTCAATGGGGCATTTGGGCTTGGTTGGCACCTCGGAGGACTTCCCAGCATCTCCCGCCGCACATCGCGGGGTATTCCCTTGTTCAATGATGATCTCGATGTCTTCGTTAGTACTGAGGTTGGGGACCTTGTCCCGGTTCTTGAAGCAGACAACAATACGATGAAGGAGTGCCAGTCGGGCGATTATCACATTCGTTTCTATCGGCCCTGCGTGGATCAGGAACGCACCCGCTTGGAATTCTGGAAGAACGGAAAAAACCCAAAGGACTGTTTTTGGAAAATACACTCTGGTGACAATATTACCACTCTTCTCGGCAAAGGGACACAGGCACAAATCTGCGAGTTGGTAGATGATGGTGAACAGCCAAATCGGACGTATTCATGGCTTGCAACGGAGATATTCGACGGCAATGGAAACAATATGACATTCCAGTATAAATCTGAAGATACGAGGGGTATATCTAATGTCTATGGTAATCATGGCATGCGTACCACGACGGGACAGCTCGCCATGCGATATCTAAAGTCTGTTCGCTACGGAAACTGGATGCCAAACAGAGATCTACAAACTTGGGAGGTTGCTGAAAAGAGGTCATCGGAAAACGATAATGACAACAGCTGGATGTTTGAGCTAGTTCTGGATTATGGGGAGCATGGTTCCATTGCACCCACAACTAGAGCTGATCGTGAGTGGCCGGCGAGGATCGATCCTTGCTCAACGAACTCGTGCGGACTCGAAATGGCCATGTTTCGCTTGTGTCGACGGTTTCTAATGTTTCACCATTTTCCCAATCAGCTTTCCCGCCAGGACTGCCTTGTCAAGTCACTCACGCTTCGATACGAGACCGACCCGAGATCAAAGACATCTTTCTTAACCTCTTATCAAGTTGGTGGACATTCCCCAAAGGGACAGCATGAACTCAACAGCATCTGGTTACCAGCAGGTACCTTTGAGTACACTAAGACAACCAATGTCGGTCAGCTTGATATAGAAGAGCTTGATCTTCCGCTCTCCGGCATCGCATCATCTGATGCTCACAAGTGGCTCGACATGGACGGGACCGGACTGCCGGGCGTTCTTACTCAGGTGCCCGGATCCGGTTGTTATTTTCATAGTGGCGAGGAGTTGGCTTCTAGCTTTGGTGATACGACATCCCTTCTTCCCACAATGCCGAGCTTTGCTGGCCATGGGGCCCATGAGCAGTGGGAGGACTTGGAAGGCGATTGCCTTCTGAGCCTTATTGTTCGGTCGCAGGATCAAACCGTGCGAGGCTATTTTGAACGCTCGGAAAACGGAAGCTGGCTTGGCTTCGTCCCTTTTGAGATGGAATCGCATGCGGCTTCGTCTCCCTGGACAAGGAGTCTTGATCTCAATGGAGATGGCCGCGCCGACCTTTTGCATCTTGACCCTCGCGATGGCCCCGAACTTGATTGGTACCCATCATTAGGAAAGAAAGGGAGCGGACCACTCCGTCGGACACAAGGCGCACCCCTACTCACAAACGAGAGACAAGAGTCCGTCTTTGTCTGTGACATGGTCGGGGACGGCCTCAGTGACCTTGTCCTCGTGAAAAATGGGCTGATCCGATACTGGCCAAACAAGGGGCACGGTAAATTTGGAAGCCCAGTTACAATGGATTCAGCGCCTTTTGAAGTTGATTTCGTCCCGGAGAGGGTGCGTTTCGCCAACGTCTCCGGCGTGGGCGGAGCCGATGTGATCTATTTCCGCCCGGGTGGTGGCGCTGCTCTGTACTACAATCAATCGGCCATCAGATGGTCAGAACACCATGTGATACCAAATGTTCCAGCTCTGGGCAGGAACTCGTGGGTTGATATCGTAGATATCAAGGGCAGAGGAACGCCTTCGCTATGCTGGATCACCGACGAGCCCGGGTGCCCGAAAGGATCCAAATTGCACTTTGTCGACCTCACTGGAAGGTCGAGGCCCGGGTTGCTAAACCGGTTCTTCAACGGTCTGGGTATGCAAACAGAGGTTTACTACCGTTCCTCAACACTCTATCGACTCGATGACGAGCTGAGGGGCTACCGATGGACTACCAAGATGCCCTTCCCCATCCAGTGCGTGGAACGTACCGTGACAACAGATCTGGTGACAAAGACATCATTCACTTCGGAGTTTACCTACTACAACGGCTACTACGATCCCATTTTACGCGAGTTCCGAGGTTTTCAGATGGTCGAGAAAAGTGACAGGGAAGACATTGATGACATCTGTACACCCCCAGTGATAACCAGAACCTGGTTCTACGTGGGTCGCGAATCAGTAGATGCAGATGCGGAACTACACAAAGCCTCTAGGCTAAGTTCAAGGCTCAACAGCAGTCTAAATAGTCCCGCTATTCCAGAGGCTCTATCAAGCAAGAGTTTACACGAGGCATACTCCTCCCTGGCAGGAAAAATGCGGCGCCTGGAGATATTGAGCTTGGATGGCTCCCCAAAACAGCATCTACCATACCGAGTTGATCAATGGACACATGGCATCATCTTGAAACAGGCCGAGTCTGGCCATATTTCACCTCATGCCGTTTTTCAAATCAATGATAGAGAAAGCCTTTCATCCCTTTGCGAGCGGACTGATGGTAGTAACGCTAGAGTAAGACATATAGTGATCCTCGAGACGGATGCGTTTGGAAACAGCCTCCAAGAGGTGGTGGTCAACTACGTGACGCCTTCAGACGGGAGCAGCATCACATCCGTGAAGCCTGAAGAGCTGATGATGATCCACACCGAGTCCGCCTATACGAACTCCGTAAACGTTCCTCAAGGTATCCGCCCGCCGCTCATAGCCGAACAACGGCAATTCCGCGTCGTTCTTGGTGATGAAAGCGAAACGCCCGTGGGAGACAGATACGATTGGGAGTCCCTGTCCAAGATATTATCCTCAGCACCAGCCGTGACCTCTCCTTCAGGGTCACCTCCCGGCAATAACTGTCGAATTTTACTTTCAAAGACTCGAAGTCTGTACACCAAAGACGACTTGTCGGGCCCACTACCTCTGGGGAACATTGGGCTTTTTTCACAAAGCCATCGAGCGTACAAGCTAGCGTTTACGGATGCTCTACTAGGAGATTGCCTACCATATCTGGATAACAAGGGCTCAAGGAGAGATATGTTAGTGCAAGGGGGCTACTTCGAATTTGACTCCAGCCCTGGGGAGTGGTGGACGCCATCGCCGCTCCTGCTCTATGGTCCTCAGGCCAATAATGACCAGCTGAGATTTGCAAGATCTCATTTCTATATTCCCGTGGGAACCCTAGACGCCTTTGGCAACTATCACTCATCCTTATTAGACGAGCTCTGTCTCTTTCCTATCAGGTTTGAGGACGCGATCGGGAATACTAAAACAGTATCATACGAGTATACACACATGAATACTACCCTCGATGTAGACATAAACGGCAATCATACCGAGTTCAGGTTTGATTCCCTAGGTCGTTGTATTGCTGCAGCTGTCAGGGGAAAACCAAGCGATGAGACGGGCGACACAGTGAGTAGCTTTGATGGGATTGCCGATGATCATTCAGTGGATGAGTTCCTGCAGGATCCATCAGAATCTCTAGCTGCCAAGCTTTTGGGGAGTGCCACAAAACGAATCCTCTACGAGGCTGGACATCGTGCCGAATCACCCTTCTCTCAACCTTCGGCTGATGGAGAAGAGGCAGATTTCCTGCCGCTGTGTCAAGTGGAATTGACCCGAACTGAGCATGTGGGAAGCTCACTCCAGTCAAAGATAGCCATTCGGGTTGACTATCTCGATGGCAGCGGAAGCACCATACAGAGCTTCACACTCATTCAACGGAGCGATAAAGGCAATACATGGCAGCGGAGCGAGTTAGCTCTGAACAGTCAATCAGGAAATCCTGTGAAGACGTTCGAGCCTTGCGTAACAACATCTCACGCATTCCAGTCTCCAAGAGAGCATGCGGGCGCCACCTTTGTGCTGAACTTTTATGATGCTTTATCACGAAAAGTCTGCATTATCAACCCCGACCATTCCTGGGCCAAGGTGCGATATGAACCTTGGAAGATCACCAACTATGACGCTGGGGATCTCGTGAGCGTCGCTGACCCAGCCCTTGACGAGGATATTGGTGGCTTCATCAGGGATATACCAAGGGTTTGTTACCTTCCCACATGGTTTCAACGTGCTATATCCTTGCAAGACACAACGGAAAGAAGTGCCGCGGAAAGCTCCTTGGGATATAGTGATATGCCAGAGACATTGTTCGTGGACGCGGCCGGGCGTCAGCGAGCGTCTGAGAAGATGGTCGATAGACGGGGTCATCAAGTACGCCGATCCGAGAAAGTGTATGACCTTGCCGGAAATCTGGCTCAGGAGGCCGATTCCCGAGATCGCATCGTCAGCAGCGCAAGGTATGATTTCTTGGGTCGGCTACTTTGCCAGCAAAGCATGGACAGTGGACAGAGCATGACTCTTCCCGACTGTCTTGGGCAGCCTTTTGCCATCTGGAATGCCAGTCATCTCTGCATGAGGTTCTCCTACGATTGCCTGAGGCGTCTCATATCGATCAAGCACATAAAGCCGCAAAGCCCTCAAGCAAGTGAGGTTCTGGTCCTGAAGAATATGTATGGTGAGGATAAGACGAACGATGATGCCCAGAACAACCTTCGAGGAATGCTGTATCAATGTTACGACCAGTCCGGGCTCTTGACGAATCACAAGTTTGATATCATGGGCAACTGCACCGTCTCCACGACCCAGCCTGCCGCCGAGTACAAGGAGAAGCTCGACTGGGCAGCCGAGCCCCCGCCCAGCCTGGAAGCTGCGGTTCACCGTACCGAAGCCTCCTTTAACGCCATGGGCCTAAACAGACTGGTATCTGGGCATGGAGGGCACGTGGTTGCGCGAACGTATGACATGGCAGGTCGCATTAAGACGATTAAGTCGTACACAACGGGAGGAGATAGCCGACCGACGGCTTCCATTAGCGACATTCGATATGAAAGAGATGGCCAGGTCTCTCTCATCACCTATGGAAATGGTTCTAGGACGACTTTTGAATATGGGGAGCTCAATCGTCGTCTTATACAGACCAGGTCCGTTCGGAGCAAGGATGGAGCCGTTCTGCAAGATATTTCTACCTGGTACGACTGCTTGGGTCGAGTTGTTCGCCGGGAAAGCCACGACCAAGACATACTGTTCTCATCCAACAGCAAGATCTCGCCCACCGAGACGTTCTCATATGATGGGATCGGACAGCTGTTAGAGTACAAAGGTCGAGAGCACATCCATGCATCCACAGAGGCTGCTGAACGAATACACGTCCGGGATGGGAAAACGAGACAACCTGAATCAGCCCCCGGAGACGCACGAAAACTGGCCGAGTTCACAGAACGTTACACATATGACATTGCCGGGAATATTCTGAAGATGGCACACGCACCTCTTGGGTCATCTGGCGCAGCAGGGTGGACGCGGTCGTACGAGTACGCGGAGCCAAGCCTCATAGATCCTAATGTGTGCAGCAATCGCCTGACAAGCACTTCAATCAGGAACTCAACCACAACCTACGGCTATGAAGGAGCATCAGGAAAGGAGGGATGCATGACAGCCATGTCAGGGTACTCTGTCCTCCAATGGAACGATGATCGCCGGCTGCAGGCCTTCTCCAGCCAGAAGGTCGCAGATGGCGACACACCCGAGTTGACATGGTACATCTATGACGCAAGCGGGCAGAGGACTCGCAAGGTCACCGAGCGAGCTTCCAAGGGCGGGTCAGATACCTCAAATGTGAAGCTGAAGGAGACCTTCTATCTGCCCCTGGCGGACGTCTCCATTACGTATGGGGGAAAAGGGGAGGTCAAACACACCATTGTTACATACAAGGTGGACGAGCCCACGGTGCCATCCTCGCCGACTATCCTTATTGAGAAGGATTCGAGAAAATCCGCTTCATTGACGAGGTACCGGTTGGGGGACCGCCTTGAGGTCAGTGACGAGGCAGAAGTGGTCTCCTACGAAGAGTACACCCCGTACGGAGTCACCACGTATCATGGTCAGATGAAAGGTGCCTCCCCGCGCCGATACCGTTTCGCCAGCTACGAAAGGGACGTTGAGAGCGGGCTCTACCTGTGCGGCGAGCGCTACTACGCCTGCTGGCTTGGCCGCTGGACGTCTCCCGACCCGCTGGGCACCCAGGACGGCCTCAACGCGTACTGCTACGTGGGGAACGAGCCCGTCGGGAACATCGACCCGACGGGCACCATGGCCAAGGCGTCCACTAGCGGCGCCGGTAGTCCTCAGTCTAAGAATTCCGGTGATCACACATACGACAAAGGCTGGGAGAAGGTGGTGGTCAAGGAGGCCAGCAAGAAAGAGGATGCACACAAGGGCGAAAAGCTGATCACGCTCTACCGAGGCGGCGATCTCACACGGGCATCAGAGTATGTGAATAGCGGTACTGACCTGGATAGAGCGGGTCAAAGCATAATCACGTGGGACCCTGTTAACAAAAGGTACCGCGCTGGAGATTTCAATTCGGCTGAGGTAATGGCTACGTATTGGACAAGCGAGTGGGAGCGTGCTGAGGAACACGCAAGTACACACGGGGCGAATGGAGCCATCATCGAAATAAAGATACCCCGGACCTGGGTTGAACACGATCAGAGGTCCTCTGATGGCAAGATACTGGTTGTTGACTTCGGCCGGTTAAGTAAATTCCAGAAGCAAGGGCTTATTCATGAGGTTCGTACATGCACAGCACCCCCTGCCTTGATATCTTTCCACGCCAGGGCTAACGGAGAAGTTGATAGACAATTCTATTCTATCGCCGCGGGGATAATGACGATGTTATGGAGGGTCTGCTGGGCAGTGTTGGGAGTAAAGGGGTGGATCATTTATTCAAGGTCGGCCATGCGGAGGTCTATATCGGGCTCGAAGCCCAGATACCAACGGAAGACATAAGTATCGGCGGTTTCGCGCGCCAGAACCACGAAGTTCCTAATCGGTGGCCCATGGACCCTGGAAATGCCAACCGGAATCTAGTGGAGAACGTTGACGGAATCATCACCACGATCAAGGGGAGAATGAACGAACACGTGCAGTACTGTTTCAAGGGGCTTGAAATGGTTCGCTCAATCGCTGCGAGAAACGCACACGCAACCATCTGGCGGCATCCACCCGTGAAGACTAAATGATGAGGTTCTATCTGGACGATACCAGTGTACCTGAGTTAATATACACCACACAAGAAAGATAAGTACTTATAATTCGAATTGCACTCTTCTAGCGGGGAAAGATTTAGTATTTTCCTTATAAAATATAATGAACGGCATCGAGTAAATAATGATTAATTTTACATAGAAAATGATAGAGTACTGGTAGGGTATAGGGTAGGTAGTAGTAGTTGACAGATCTTCTAACCCTACCTAAGGGCTGTGCTGTGCCTGTGCGAGCGCTACTACGCCTGCTGGCTTGGCCGCTGGACCTCCCGACCCGCTGATGAAATAGCGCGCTTTGCGGGGTGCTGCACAGAACGCTTCAGCCGCAGTGACCACCAAATCTGGAGCCCGAATTTCTTGCTCCATCACGCTCCGTCAATTGCGACAATGCCTCGGCCAAGTATTTGATGTCTGGCCGCGCCGGAATGGTGTGGGCGGCCTGAACATTGAGATGCACGCTTCATAAATTGAGGCGACCACCAGAACTCACCTTAGCTGACCCTCTGAAACTCGCGCGCGTCGAAAATGCCTCCCCAACGTTCTAGGGGGACGTGCAATCAATGTCGCATGCGCAAGGTAGGACATCGATGCTCATCTTCCACCGCTGTCACTCATGGATTCAGGTCAAATGCCATCGGGAATCATCCTCGGGAGGCTGCCTAGACTGCCAGCGCCTATCCTTCGACTGCTCCTTCGTCTCCAACGCCACCTCAAACCTCGCCCTGGAGCGCAAGCGTAATCGTGCCTGCATCGAGTGCCGCTCCCAAAAGACAAAATGCTCCGGCGATTTGCCCTGTTGCAACGGGTGCAAGAAGCGCGCTAAAGACTGCGTCTATCCGACTCCCGCAAAAGATCGTAGTAGCCCGGGTGGTAGACCTATCCATGCCAACCGGGCTTCTCTAGAGACGCCGACTTTTGAGCCTTCTACCTCTTTGCTTGAGGACTATGTTTCGCCCTCGATTATGCAGCCTTTGAATATTGCTGTGCTATCCCATGGCACTACCTCCTCTCCACAAACATCATGGGAAAGCCCGTCCAGTTTTCACAGCCAGCCGAGGTTGCCGAGTACAAGCCCGTTACCACTTCCTCCTGTTCGCGAACAGCTGCATCTCATCATTGACTTCTTCCGCTACGTTTATCCCTTGCCTGCTTACGCCTTTCTCAACGAAGTTTCCATCGCCCAGCGATGTCTCGATCAGTCACTAGACAAACCTCTCCTGCTCGCCCTCTGCGCCGTCTCAGCTCTCCACTTGAGATACTCCAAGTACTACCCTACCTTTACCTCCTCTTGGATCGCTCAAGCCGAGAACCTCGTCTGGGAGCACATCGAAGAACCGCGCATCTTTTCCGTACAGGCCCTTGTGTTGATTGTCAAGTATCACATCGAAACGAGCAATTACCAGAAGGGATTCATGCTCTCATCGCTTGCCGCCCGTGGAGCCACCGCCTTGCGCCTGCAATACGAACGAACGGACCTTAGCACATTGGCTCAAGAGATTCGGCGGAGACTCATGTGGTGCCTCGTAATGATGGACGTAGGTCTGTCTATTGGTTTACCAGAGTGCGAAGCCTGCAACACGGAAGCTGTCTACCTACACTTTCCCTGCAAAGAAGAGGACTTTGATGCAGACAGAGATGCGCCAGCCGGCCCTTCAGGGTCTCTGCCCCTGGATGGCATCGCCGAAGATGGTCTCTTTGCTTCCGTGCTGCGTACGTCCATGGTTCGTCGCGACGTGATGCGACTGAAACGGCAGGTCATGCTGTTTGGGCAGCGCATCCCGCAGCTTCACGGCATGGTGAGGGAGCTGGACAAGACCTTGCAGGACATCCCGAGACCCCATTACACTGCGGCGGAGCTCCTCACGTACTCACGATCACGGTGGATGACCCGATACCTGGTGCTGCAACTGTCCTGGCATCAGACGTACTGCGATATTTACCGCATGTTTGTGCCTGGGTATGCTGAAGCGGCCCCCGAGCCAGTCACTTCGGCTTGCTCTCCTGCCTACATCGCCAACGCCGCCAGAATGTGCCTACAGCACGCTTCCACCAACATCTCCGTGCTGTCCGACTTTACGGCTTTGGGTATTCAACTACCGGTTGTGGATATTGACGTTGCCATTTGTGGCTATCATGCTTGCCGACTGATCCTCTTTCTGAGCAAGTCAGAACACAAACCAGCCGATTCCGCCTTGACACCCGAGCAGGCAGCGACGGAAGCAACAGCCGTGTTGGCACTACTTCGTCGCCTGTATCCTCCTGGACCAGCCAAACTGCCTGCGAGAATAATTTCTACGTTGGACGGCATCATCAAGGCCCACGCCACTAACAAACGCGAACCAAGCCGCGACTCGTCCGACATGGAGGAGGATGGCGACACCCATCGCCCACGTTTTGCACTGGCCGCTCAACAGCAGCAAAGACTAGGCATTCACAGCATTCTACGGCAAACTCGCTTCATTGACGACAGCAATGATGCGGTCAACGGCCAAACACAAGCACGAGGTAATGACCAGACCTCCGCCCTTCAGCAGAGAGACATTGTGCCCCAGACGTACCCGACCGACGGTTCACTCCCTACGACAGCTTACGTCGGCGCTGCGACAGACTTTCTCCAGAGCCCGTTGGACGAAATGACCGCAGTACCGCAGATGGCCCTTGGAATGGACCCATTCATCTTCGGATCCATGGACAATTGGAGTGACCTTCGCTACCCCACCGACTTTTCAGCTGCTTCCGACAGAGACTACTTCTGATCGAAAGTCGACGCCTGACCCTTCGCACTGGGATGGTCGAATGGGGAGAACGGCTAAATTTCGGTCCTCCGCCAGTTCCCCAGAACTTGATCCGGTGACTCGGTCATCGGCGTTCAAGCATCAATCTCATCTAAGATGCCTGCTTTAATTCATTCGCCGTCAATGGACTCATGCCTTCGACCTCGGCAAGCCAAGAAGTGTCGGTGCCCACTCATGTTGTCAGGCCTTCAGCGATGGTCCGAACCTGCCCACATTTGGACCAGCCCATTGTCCAATCATCTCTCCGTGATCCCCGACACGCCGATCAGCCACCATTCCCGAGAAGCGAAGACCGACACCACCAGTCAGTCACGGGGCATGACACGGTCGTTCGACTTGGATTCGCCCGGTTGACTTTTGATGATTGCGGCCAATTTGCGTGGAGGTAAACCGCTCAAGTCAGGCTGATAACATTGTCACAATCCCGTACTTTGACGTTCAAACCTCATTCATCATCTAAACTGCGTACACTCTATAATCACCGACCATTTGGTAGGCATCAGCAGTTACCATGGCGTCGCAAACACCCCCAAACATCATCTTCATCATGGCGGATGACCACGCCGCCAAGTCGATATCATGCTACGGCGCGGGCATCAACCACACCCCCAACCTGGACCGCATCGCCAACGAGGGCATGCTGTTCAACCACTGCTACGTCACAAACAGCATTTGCACGCCCTCGCGCGCGGCCATCCTGTGCGGCACGCACAACCACGTCAACGGCGTCATGACGCTCGACTCCAAGATCAACAAGAGGATGCCCAACGTGGCCAAGCAGCTTCGCTCGAGTCCCGCCAATTACCAGACCGCCATGGTTGGCAAGTGGCATCTCGGCGAGGGTGCTGATCATGAGCCTACGGGTTTCGATCATTGGAGTGTGGTGCCTGGGCAGGGCGAGTACTGGGACCCGCAGTTTATTGAGCCGGATGGGACAAAGACCGTTCCTGGTTATGCGACGAACATCATCACCGACAAGTGCATTGACTGGATGAAGGCTCGCGACAAGTCGAGACCGTTTTATCTCATGTGCCATCACAAAGCTCCCCACCGGAGCTGGGAGTATGACATGAAGCACAAGGATCTATACAAGGATCCCGTCAAGCTCCCCGACACCTTCACAGACGACTACAAGAACCGTGCCAACGCGGCCAAGGTAGCCAAGATGAAGGTAGCAGAGGACATGACCTACAATGATCTTGGAATCGTGCAGCCAGAAGGCCCTAGGGCTGCGGTTGGCGAGAAGATGATCGACTTGTGGTGGTGGAACGACCGCAAGATCCCTGCGCCAGAAGATGTCACATCACTCAAGTTTATCTGCAAAAACACCGGAGACGTTTTCACCTTCAAGACGAAAGAGGAGCTCGCGGAGTGGAAGTTTCAGCGCTACATGCAGCGCTACCTCCGCACCATCCAGAGCGTCGACGACAACGTCGGTCGCATGTTGGACTACCTCGACGCGGAGGGTCTCACGGAAAACACTATTGTGGTGTATACATCAGACCAGGGCTTCTTTCTCGGCGAGCACGGGTGGTTCGACAAGCGTTTCATCTACGAAGAGTCCTTCCTCATGCCGTTCTTGATCCGCTACCCGAGGGAGATCAAGCCAAAGAGTGTGTGCGACGACATCATCTGCAACGTCGACTTTGCCCCAACATTCCTTGATTTCGCAGGCGTGCGTATCCCGACATACATGCAAGGCGTTTCCTTCAAATCACTCCTCCACGGAAAGACCCCAGAAGACTGGCAGCAAGTCGCCTATCACCGATACTGGATGCACAACGACGTCATCCATAACGCCTACGCACACTACGGCGTTCGCGACCAGCGGTATAAGCTGATTTACTGGTACAATGAGGACTTTGGGCTCGAGGGCGCCAGGCCAGGTGATGCAGATAAAAAAGAGTGGGAGTTGTTTGACTGTCATGAGGATCCGCTAGAGCTGTTCAATTGTTATGGGCAGGAAAAGTACAAGGATGTGGTTGTGATGATGAAGAAGAAGTTGGAGGATAAGATGTACGAGATTGGTGATGAGCCAGTGCATACCAAGTGTGAGAACCAATAACTGTAGATAAAGCACTCCGAGTATATATATTGGGGTATTTACATGGGAAATAACATGATGCATTTCCCGGTCAACGCAAAGCCTCACTACAAGAGAGCCCGCATTGTAGCGCAACACCATGATAACAGACAACATATTTTTCCGCTTCTCGTATAAGCTCACCGAAACTCTGTCTCTCCTTGATTCACCATCCAGAGCACGCGAAGCCAGGGTATGGCCTAACCAGTCTTCCAATCGTAAGTTGCATAATGAGATCCCGATCTTGCACTTAGGGGTCTCGTTGCACCGCCTGACATCCAAGTCAAGTCCAGACGCATTCGAGACGGGGAATCCCTCTTCATTACACTAGTCAGTATGTGTTCAGGCCAGTGTTCACAACATTTCAGGGCGAATGCGAGTCATGTCACCCCACGGGGCCAGCATGGGCTTGTCATGACACCCTTGGCCATCATAGACCGAGATTCTAGGCCCAATAGTGGACAATAGCCTCCATGCCGTACATGTCATCCAGGTGAACACCACGTGAGGGAGAGCGCCGTCAAGAAAGGCAGACCACCCCCAGACTTTCAGCTCCATCCCGGCTTCCGAACACGCAGCATCAGTCCGAGTCCCGGCATCACGGAACAACTTCGTACAATTCACCCTGTCAATGACGATAACTCTATTTCCCCACGAGACTCCATTTAACTCTTCCTTCCCATTAGTTGTCAACCCTTTCATAGCTACCTGACTCTGGCTGCCGCTAAACTAGCTCCGGCCACTCGGTTATCCGACTTCCGTAGTGCTACGCCGACAGCAAACTCAGAACCTGGTCGTGGAGAATTCTGGAGCACCATCTTGCGAAAACCTGGAGATGGTGTGCTAGAACCTTGCTATTGCGTCGATGAATCCGGGGTATGCGGTTTCATTGAATGATGCCTCGCGGCGTTGAGGTTGGAAGTGATATAGAAGTGGCCGATCGCCCGGAGACGACTTGAACAACTCAGGCTTCAGACTTCACATCCTCCGATATTTCAATTTCCACTCGACACCCCTATCAACCTCTCCCAGTCTTGCGTCTCTCTTCGTCTTGTCCTTGAGCATTGTCTGGCCAAGATGCCCTCCAAAGACGAGGTAGCCATGTCTCACCTCGAAAAAGCCCCCTCACCAGTCGACTCAGACTCCCGTTCCCCTTCCGACCTCGCCGCGGACGAAGCCCAACGCGTCGACACGTCTCTTTCGGTCCGCGACTCCCTGCGCTACTACCACCGTGCCGTCTTCTGGTCCCTCGCCATGTCCATGTCGACCATCATGGAGTCCTACGATCTGCTGCTCATCACCTCCTTCTTCGCTTTCCCGCAGTTCAACCAACGTTTTGGCGAGCAGTTGGCGAATGGAAAGTGGTCGATACCCGCGCGGTGGCAGATTGGGTTGACGGTGGTGACAAACGTGGGCATGATTTTGGGAGGCCTGTCGAATGGGTATTTTGCGGATCGGTTCGGGCCTAGGATGGTTATGCTGGTGAATCATATTGCGCTGGCGGCGTTTGTGTTTATACAATTCTTTGCGACCGGCGTGGAGATGTTGATGGTCGGAACACTGCTTGTGTAAGTCCTCCACTCATCTTTGTTTGGTGAGCCTTTACTGACAATTGCAGGTCAATTCCTTGCGGTTTCTTCGCTGCGGCAACACCTTCGTATGCGTCCGAGATTGCGCCCCTGAAGCTTCGAGGATACCTGGTCGTCTACGTCAACCTCTGCTGGGTCATGGGTAAGCTCATCGCCTTTGGCGTCATCACTTCGATGCTGGGCAACACAACCCAATGGTCCTACCGTATCCCTTTTGCCCTGCAGTGGATGTGGTTCCCCTGCATGGTCACCGCCACCTGGTTCGCCCCCGAATCACCCTGGTGGCTCGTCAAGAAAGGTCGCAACGAAGAAGCAGGCAAGGTCCTCGAAAGACTCTGCACGGCACCGCAAAGCGTCATCAACCCGCAGGATACGCTGGCCATGATCTCTCGCACCATTCAATTGGAGCAGGATATGAACATTCAGGGCTCGTATGCGGACTGCTTCAAGGGGGAGAATCTGCGCAGAACGGAGATTTCGATGATTTGCTGGGGATGCCAGATTTTGCCTGGCTTTGCGATTCAGAACTACATTACCTATTTTTTCACCTTGGCTGGGCTGTCACCGAATGATTCATTCAAGATGTCCCTAGGTATGATTTACCTTCGGAGAGTTTGGAGAAGGTCTGCTAACGGCTTGCAGGAAATGCTGGTCTTGCATTTGTTGGCACGGTGCTGTCTTGGTTCATGATGACCAAGTTCGGGTGGCGATCCCTCTACCTCTACGGTCTCATTGCCATGATCCCCGTCATGGGTCTCGTCGGCTTCCTCGATCTTGCCGTGAAATCCAACTCCAATATCCGCTGGGCCCAGGCTGCGCTTCTCCTTGTCTGGTTCTTCATCTACGGCATCAGCATCGGTCCCATTCCATACACAATCGCCGCTTCCGTCGGCGCAGCCTGGCTCCGCGTCAAGACCATCTCCCTCGGCCGCATCACCTACTACGTCCTCTCTATCATTAACGTCATCGTTGCGCCGTACCTTCTCAACGCGAGCGAGGCCAATTTGCAAGGAAAGACGGCGTTTGTGTCGACGGGTTTGACGGTCTTTTTGGCTGTTTGGACGTTCTTTAGGTTGCCAGAGTTGAAGGGTATGACGGCTGAGACGCTGGATCATTTGTTCCATGAAAAGGTGAATGCTAGAAAGTTTGTGGAAGCTTCAAAGCAGTATCAGTAAATGAATCGGCTTGTTGGAAATATGGAGCAGCATGCGTAGCGTCCAATCTGAGTTATTGAGAAATCACTTTCTGCTCCTCATTACGCATGCACCCGAGGTAATTCATAGGCCACTTATGCACTGAAATACAAGTACCGAAAATCAGGCTTCATCTCCTTGGTTTGAAGCCAAGAATTATACTAAGAGCTACTGAACTATTATGCATCCTATCGGCAGACTATGTTAATAAAGATCGGATGTATTTAATACTTGCCAATAGCTAAGTATATATATATCACTTCGATTATAAAGGATTAAGTGTATTGAGGGCGAGTTCTATGGGTAGGTCTCCCGCCTATGCAGGAGTTCCTGGCGCAGAAGCTGAACTCGGCGAGTCAAATCGTGCGGATACAGAAGCCCCCAAGGGATCGGAACAACTCTCCCAAGCCAAGAGTGTTTCAGACGGCTCAACCTCTTTGCATACTGGAGCATCGGCTCATGAATACGCCGCCCCCATTTACCTTTGAGTGGTAATCTCGCGTAGGCCGGCCCAGTCCAAGGCTTGAAGTTGTCAGAAGCGCAGTGGACTGCACTGGCCGCCTCAATAAGTAGAGTCTCATTGAAGCGGCCAACTAGAAGGTAATCTCTAACCTCGCGTGATTCCGTGAGATGTATCGCGTGGACTGGACCGCTAGCCCCCACAGACGCCAAGGAGGCTCCTGCTCTCATAAGGGTCCTGACTCCTCTACAGTCTCCATTTGCGCTCGCGACCATCAAGGCGGAACCAAAAGGCGACCCTTCAAAATTGACCAGCGCACCCAACTTAATGCAGTTTTCCATCATATCGTACTGGCACAACATGGTAGCCAGGCAGAGAGGGCTCCATCCTCGAGCTGGCTGGAGATTGGCAATATTGGCCAAAGCGCCTCGACCCAGACGTCTTAGTAATATCTTAAATTGCGAACTCAAGAATGCCGGGCACAAGTCGTAGCCATGGTCTAGATGCCAAGGGAATGGGGGTGCTTTTTGCAAAGGGTAAGCCAGAGCAAGAGCCAACTTAACCGTTTGCTCATAGAGTAGAGCACTGTGTATCGGGCTGAACCCGGAGGCATCTTCCATTATCAAAATATCCTGCGCACGGCCGTCGGCTTGGCCAGAATGAAAAACAGACATAAGGTCTTGTAATGGGATGCTGTGGCATTGGGTTGGGGACCATTTGCTCTGAACCAAGGATGGAAACGGCGCCCCTGCGATGAGCGGGCTTGATGATCCGCCGATGCGCTTGGAATATTCGTCCCGTAAATTCCGGTTTAGATATCCAGAGGCCCAGACGAATGTAGCCGTTGAAAATAGATAGAATGAATAGAATCCTGTCCTCGGGGCGCCCAATCTGAAGAGGTTGGCTGCTGTTACTGGGTCAGAGTCCCATAAGAGTTCCACCGATTCAACCAGGGAGGCGCCTTTTTCGACGAGCAGGCGAATGAGATCATCGTCATGACTGTGGATGGCAAGTTCCAGTAAGAGAGACTTTCCATGTCCTCTGGGGTATCTTCTTCTATTGATAATACTAGGAATGACATCTTTTGGCTGGATTCGTAATCTCTCACTAGTGAAGTTGGTCAGTGCTGTCCCACCATTAGAGGATATGCATATACACGTACGCGAGGGTCTCAGTCATCTTCTCAACACTTTCAATAAGAATTCTTAGCCCCTCCAAATTCTTAGCCCTAACTGCCTCGTGTAAGGGAAAGTCGGCGCCGTTGACCAAGTCCCCCCCTTCAGCAAGGTAGCTATGCGCAAGTTGAGGGAGGACCACGTTCAGCCGCTTTTTCGTGATGCAATATTCTAAGACGGATCGGCAACGCCCTCGGATGGAAAATGCACGAGTTGCACTTGCCCCCCCATCCAAGAGAAGCCTCACCATTTCGTGCTGACCTTGATCAACAGCCACGAATAGAGGTGATAAACCCGAACGGCTAGATTCTGGGCTCTCGACTGAATAGCCATATTGGACCAAGCTTTTACATTCCTCCAATCTCCCTAGACGAATCGAATCAAAGAGCCGATTTACAAAAACCTTGAAATGTGGCAGAGACGACAGTGGCGCGGTTGGCTTCACCAATGCCGCGTGTGGATGAGCGTTCACGGTAGCAAACGCATCTTCCAGGTAGTTTTGTATGTCATATAGCCCCAAGTCGGAAGCATACATTGCTGGGCTTAAGCCCAAGATGTCGAGACAGTTCGTGGCACCACACGTCACCAGAGCTTTTACCGCAGCGAAATGACCATTCCGAACTGCAATATGCAAAGGTGTGCTTCCATCTACACTCCTAGCGTTTAAACTGGCCTGATTAGAGAAGCAGAATCGTATGCCCAACATACTGCCAAGGACGCATGCCAGGTGTAATGGGGTGTAGCCCTCTCTAGATGCTACGTTGACATCGGGACTGAGTTGATGGCGAACAAGGAAACTGGCACAGTCGGTTCGGCCCAGAGCAACGCTTAGATGAAGATAGCTGATATCGTTCAGCTTAAAGCTTTTCCCGTTTCTGCTTCCAATGTAATCAAATCGCTTTGCCCAATTACTAAAATGTGGGTGTTCGTGGTGATACACCTGCATGATGCCCCGAAGTATCATCAGCTCATCCCTGATGATACAAACACCAACCGGATCAAGTTGGTCTCTGGGATCTGCATGCCAGGGGTCCGCACCAAGCTGAATGAGGGTGATGGCGCAGTCGCATAGACAGCTCTCGATATACAATCTCAAAATGGATGTCGCGGGTGCGGATTGTGAATTTCCTTTGACGTCGAAGCCTTTCTGGATCAGTTGTCGCACCAGCCATGATAGCTGAGGCGAGTCATCCGGATACTTTCCTCTTGATCTCAACCCGTTATTAGAGTTGACAAGACATTGTAAAAGGTCAAATCCCGTGCCCGTGGGGTCAAGTTCCTGAGCACGAATAGGGTCGAATTTATCCAGAAGGCTGAGGAGCAGCTGTTTTCCATCCTCTGTAATACATAGCTGGCTAGCTATAGATCGATAGCAAGCATGTTCTATAGCGGAAGATCCATCTACACGCTGGTGTATGTCAACGCCATGTTCCTGAAGCATTAAGACTACCGAGCTGTCTCCGTAACTTGTGGCTCTTTTCAAAAAGCGTACGCTCTGTTTTGATGCTCTCGTTTCTTCCCAGTGTGCTGTTGATGATATGGCGCATCTCAAAATACTGCTGTTTAATACTGATATGCTATGTGAGCAAGCCTCGAAGAGTGGTACCAGGCCGGAAGCGCGTCGTTCAGTCTCGTATTCAGCAAGAACATTTTCGCGCATAAATGATTCTACTAGTCTTGACATGAGCTCCGCATTGTCCTCCTGGCTGTATCCGAGATTTTTGAATGACTTGCAAGTGCTTGACCAGAGATCTGAATAGCGGCTTCGGGGTGTGAGTTCCAAGAGGACCAATTCCGGTCCGGTGCAGACTACAGAGTTGCCGAGGGAGAATATGCGTTGCAAATAGGACTGAAATGGCAAATTGCCTCGAAATTCGGTTTCATTACCTCCTGGATATAGATTTCCAAGACATCTAGCAGCTGCCAAAGTAGTGGTTGGGTTAATCTCGTGCAGGGCCGTCCACGAATCTTCCACATTCTCTGGAGGACGACAAGCAAAAGCGCCCGCCTTGTCGACTATGGAGGCTATTATTTTTTCTGACCCAAACAAAGCTGCGAGCCCAATCACTGGAGGGTGGCTCTCCCAAAACCCTAGAGGTGCAGAGGAGCAGTATTGTAGGATACTCAGTACATTCTTCTCCCTCTCGTGATGATGGCTATTATTGGAGGACAGCGCTAGGGTGAGCGGCGTTCGTCCTTCATTATCACGGGTTAACAATGCTTGCCACATCTCCTGCGGGCTCACGCTGTTCATGCACTCCAAGATAGTGTCCAGGCGAGAGTCTGCCGAGGCGTGCAGTATAGTGTGACCTCTGACGTTCTGCAACGATAGAGAACACCCAAAGTCATGGAAAATATGCATGATACTTTTGATATCAACATCTGGGGCAATGTGCAGTGGTGTGTTCCCAAAAGCATTTCTCGCTGCCGCATCATATCCATGGTGGAGGAGAAGTTTTATAGCATCGAGGGCGCAGCGTTGAACCGCGCAATGCAATAGAGTCCCCCCGCATCTCGTGTAGATCTGGTCCTTCCGGGGCGCTCGTTCGTCATTTATACACCTTCTCAGTTCGTCCAAATCATTGTTATGAACGGCGGTGACCGCATTCATGATTCTCTGAATAAAAGCATCATCGTCCTCCGGCAAAGGAGCCTGCTGAGTAGCATCCTTAGTGGATGATAGTTCAGAAAACCGAGTCGTGTATGGCATCTCCGCATCAAGAGCCCATTGCCAAACGATTGCCCGAAGCGGTGAAATCCAAGGCATTTCTCCGCGCTCTGAGTCAGCCAGCCAAGTCAATAATTCCCAGGAAGTTTCTATGAGAACGTCGCCGACGGTGGCTGTGGTAGGATGGAGGAGCTGGGCTTTCAAGTGGTTCAAATCGCCGTCTTGTGGGAAACACCCTGATCTCAGAATAGTCGTTATGGGTCTAAAATCGAAGGCAGAGCGGAAATATACCCGCGACACGAAACGAAAGGTTGACTCGGAGATCAATACTAGAGACTTAGATAGAGTAGCCCCTTTTTGGACGAGGACTTGGATCGTCTCTGTGCGTCGACTTCCGGCGAACATTTTTGGCCAAAACACCTCCGGGGCTGTCTGGAATGCTGTTCTCGCCCCGTCACAATGGGGGAAAATGGCGTAGGTGGCCAAAACCGCCGCGTCCGCCAGACCTGTCCCACGAAAGTGGAAGTCTATAGGCGCGCCACCCCGAAGCAAGCTCTCACACATATCGGATGCCCCCAAGGCTGCGGCCAAGAAAATGGTTTGGAAATTCGGGTCCCTCACAACTTCATCAGCTTTAGACCGAGCCAAGTCTCCGGTGCGGTTGAAGTATGCGGCCTGAAATTGGCAGAGGACACTGAATATCCAAAAACTAAAGTTTTTGGTTTTTGACGGGCGGAAGAAGGCTATGGCACCTGCCAGCAATTCGGGGCTAGAAATGCCGTCCACGATACTGGAGAGGACATCCATAGCAGCATAAAGGTAAAAAGGATAGTTGTGATGCAGCTCTTGGAATGCCTCCTCACTCAGAGGTGGCTCACGGTCGAAATTCTGCAGTTGCAAAAAGTTCAAGCACTGGGAAGTTAAAATATTCGCGCTGGTTTCTTCCACGATCAAGAACGATTCGAGGTTCGTACGCGAAGCCGAACCATCTGACAATGCTTTTCTATCCAGGAGGAACTCCTTTACGGAGAAGTGTGCAAACTCAAAGCAAGACTTGCTAACACGGATAAGACTGCTGCACCAACGACTAATGTCTTGCTCGCTGACGGTGTTGCTTCCACTCAGTGTTGACCCTATTTCTTTCGGAGTTGATACAGCTTGCGTAAGCTGTGGAATTGTCAAGGGTTTTCCAAATGCGATGAAACGCAAGACCATCTGAACTATGGCCTGGACGCGGGGGGAATGGTCATATACTCGCTCAAGAAGGCGGCGATAACTCTCGGGCAGATCAGGAGGCAAAGTATTGAGTGCTTCCCTCCGTTCGTCATCGTGAGCGCAGTTGCAGAGGTAGTCGATCTGGCACACGACCCATCGGAACCTGTATACATCAGGCAGGTTAGCATCTCCTATTGCAGTATTGGGAATTTGAGGGTCAGCAGCCTACATTCCATTTGCTCGTTTTACCAAGGCTTCTTGGATCTCAGCTTCAAGTTGAGAATTTCCAAGACGCATTTGTCCCATTTGAATCCTTCTTCTAAGCTCTGCCGAAACGTAGTTGTTTATGTCCTCGGACTTGGCTGCGATAGATATAACCCTGAACTCTTCTTCCAAATGGGTCCGGATATCGTAATGATCGCGACTGAAAAAGGCAAATGACTCTTTAGTTGCGCAGTTCGAAAGCTCCTTTAAGATGTCTACAACGTCTTCTGTCGCCCTACCACACTCGTCTAATCCATCCACAATTAGATACACTCTGGAGAAGACATCAGAAACCCTGTTAATCACTGCCCTTAGCTCGGACAGGTCCAAACTTAGCGTTAGGCGGTTGGGTGGGTGCAGTTCCTCATGGTAGCGTTGCAGAATATCATAGGCCTCTGGTTTCTGCATTGCGAGCTGCGCTGCTAATGCGCCTAGTATGTTCGACGGCTGCCAGGTTCTGTCATCTCGATAGTCGCAAAAGAAGTACCCGACGCCAATATCGGGCTCGGTGTAGCTCTGAGCTATCACCTCCTGAACCACAGCACCAGCCAGCACAGTCTTTCCCGCACCGGGGATGCCACTCAGCCAAATTCTTGAGGCCGGCACTTCCAGCCACCGGATGAATTCCGAGGATTCTGTCAACCAGAGCCCTGATGTGGGATGTCTGAGCTGGATGCTTATATCCAAGCGATCCTGCGGGTTTACTGGCATGAAATAGTCGAGCACGCCCCGCTTTTTGTCGTCGACTAAGATTTTTTGGTTGATTTGCTGAGCCATCTTTATCATTTTGGCCGCATCATTCGTTAGACAATCTAGCTTGGTTAGGGATTCCTGGAGTAACTGAAGCGAGTCAGCACCTAGGGCAAGCGAGACATTCTGTTTTTGCTGCGAGAGCTCAGCAAGCAGCTCCCGAGCCTCTGATGCTGAGAATGGCCATTTGAGTTTTTGAAGAGTAGCACTCAGTCGACTCGACTGGAGATTACTAACTTGGTCCAGGGGCTTCTTGATCCTTTTCTCGATGCGTCTGAGTGTGTCGTTGCAGCGGTGCAGGTGGTGGTTTCTCAGTGCGGGGTTGAAGGTTTGACCCTCCGATTCCAAGGTCAACGTGTGGGCTTCCAGCGCCCTCATGACGCTAATTAAGTCGTTTACTTGGTCTGCTATCTGTTTTATCTCGTCTTTGGCGCCAGCAGCAGACCTATAATATTTATAGACGTTGCGAAAGACCACCTCACCTAGGCTGATTATGCCGGCGATGCTAGCTGACATGCTCAGTGGATCTGACATTTTGAACCGCTAACGATATTAAAACTAAGGGGCGAAGGAAACTGGAGCGAAACTTTCCATCGGATCCCTTCCTCTATTGGGATGATGTATTGGCGACTTCGGGTGAGTTTAATACAGAGTAAGTAGCTAAGAACAAGGGAATGATGTTAAGGCTCGCGGTAAGGCAGAAATCTTATCAACGTGGCTGTGCTTATCATTGGGTGTAACATCGCAGCTTCACTGTTCATGTTGGATATCAGAGGGCAAAGCTGAAATGGATAGATTCAGCCAATAGTAAAGAAGCAGTCCATTACTAAGCTCACATAAATAGTAGATAGAATATTACACGTTTATTAGATGTATAAGCTAAAATATATGTCTTATTAGCTTTTTCTAGAGACGAGCGTTAGCGTAGGTTCATGCAAGTCATAGCCGGTTTTTGTATTCGATTTCATTCAGAACACATCGATGCGCATCCTTTTCTTTGATGGTTTTGATAGTGAGTTGGGGCCCACTTTTCATTTTTCCAACACCATAGTTGAGTCTTTCATAAATAAGAAGAGAAAGAGATGTTTTTTTAAAATATTGTGTGCTGCAGTCACGTGTGTAGCCTGATCTTAGGATAACCCTTGTTTACGGCAAAGAAACCAATCAAAAGAGAAAGAGAGATATTGACAAAGAAAACTGCTCAATAAACTGAGACATCTCCATCCTCATAATTATATACAAAGATTTGACGAGCCAATCTTCAGATTGGAAGAAGATTACGCGTTATTGAGTTTGGTAGAATTTTCGTAGAACGGAGGCACTGGTTCGAGCTTCTGGCGGAGAACAGTCGTTCTAAAATGCCAGATCGCGTTCTTGATTTGATAGCTCGCATGTTCGCGTGTTCCTCTACTGAACACCTGGTCCAGCTCTTCCAAAGTGAGGGCCTTGGTCTCTGGGACAAATAGTAGGATGAGAACCCAGAGGACTATGCACCAGCCTGCATACCACCCAAAACCACCCTGCGGCTGGAATACAGAGACCATGTGTGGCCACGAGAAGGATATAATAAAATTGAAGCACCAGGTCGTGGCGGTGGCAAAGGACATGCCGACGTCACGCACATGTACAGGAAATGCCTCGGCTGAATATGTGAAAGGCACGGGGCCTTCGCCCGGCGAGTAGAATATCTCAAAAAGATACATTCCGGTGGTGACCATGGCTACACGCTTCTTGGTGCCCGCGTCGGTGTCATCGGGGATGAAGAAGGACATGCCCGTCCACAGTAGAAAGAGGGCAAGCCATGGAAACGTGAATAAGAGAAGATTTCGACGTCCCCAGCGATCAATCGTGAATAGAGCAGGAATCGCGAAGACCCAGTTCAAGATACCAGTACCCATTGATGCGAGCAGGGCAGAGTTGGTAGAATAGCCAGACTCGACAAAGATTGTGGTAGAGTAGTATGCGATGATATTAACCTAATTCAGAGGATATCAGCGAATGCTCATGTTTATTGAAATGATCTTGAGCCAGGATCTAGTTTGCTTACACCACAGAATTGCTGGCCAAACATGACTATCCAAGTAGCAAGAGCAGCCCGCCGGTTGCGAGGAATAGTGAAGAGTTCGATGAACTGTGTGAAGAGGTTTTTTCCTCTATTCGCCTCACGTTCTAGTTCAACACCGACATATGTATAATACGTGTCTCGGGCAGCTTGGAGGTTGGTGAACCGAAGTCTTTGGAAGGATCGAAACGCCTTCTCGGGCTTGTTGTGCTGGATGTACCATCTGAGGGTTGCCATTTTTGGATCAGTTGATTGATCTAGAACGTGGTTTCTCGATAGATCCGGGGCTACAGATACACATACCTTGGGGATTCGGGACAGAAATAGACCTGAACACACACAATTAAAGGAAGAACAACCGTGCTCCCAAGCATCAATCGCCATCCGAGATCAGGGTCAATGCCAGTTGATGGGCCAAAAGCTACGCCCATGATGTTCCCTAGCATGATACCAAAAGCCGTCCACATCTGCCATTCTAGATCAGGTTTTAGTGAAGAGTTGTGGTAAAACAAGGACTTCTGTGAAACTCACGCATGACTAGGGCACCTCGGATGGGCGCTGGAGCACACTCGGCAGCATAAACAGGGACAGTGGCCGACTTGGGCCCTATGCCAAACCCGAGGAAGAATCTCGCAAGGAAGAGATTGACCCACGTATTGGCGACACCTTCCCAAATGGAGGTGACAGCTGCGATGAAACACGACCAAAAAATGGTGCCTCGCCGCCCCAGCCAGCGGTTCATTGGTTCGGTCATCCAGCAACCAATGATTGCGCAACATAGGTAAGGGGCTCCGACAATGAGGCCGGTCAGGTTATCTTGCATTGATTTGTCAAACCTTGTCACATTATCGCCAGCAACGTCTAAATGTTCCAAGTATAGGGCCTGAGCGCCATTGTTGACAGTCTCGTCCATGCCCTGGACGGCGGCCGCAGCAGAGCACATGACACAAAGCCAGTAGAGTGTGAAGGGTTGCGACCAGCGATGGGTTTCTTCCCGCTCCAAAACACGTTTGTTCTCTTCGCTGAGACCATTCATTTTAAGGGAATTCTGGGGATCTCGGGCGACCAGTGCTCCTTGGCGGAAGTCTTCGATGAAGTCCATGAGATTGTGCTTGCGGCAGAACTCCTCGACATCGGAAAGAACCTCCTCCTCGGTGCGGGTAGCAAGCGGATTCTCAAACTCAGAAGCCATATTCTCCACTCTCTCTACAGAAGAGCGATGGCCGGTTGTGTGCTCAACCTTCTCCACCTCGGGCGAGAACTCGCCATTGTCTCCTTTAGACTCCATCCGGGACACAATTGTAAAGAATTGATACGAGGTAGAACTATTCCACAAGACTAGGTTCTGCAACACAGTCCACGTATCTTGAAGGCGTTGGCGATAGACAACAATCCGACTACAGGATCGAGATGAGGACGCCAATCCTCTTTATACGTTTGAGAGAGCTTATCCCCAGATGCCGATCACTCCCCACGCGATATCTGCGCTTATCCATAATAAGCCGTTGGTAGGCTCTCTGTTCCACTTCTCTAAAGTGCTAGTGGGATTTCCCAGAGGTGCAACACGGGTTCCATTGACGTCGTGACACCCTTACATCGACGAGATTGACAGAAGCGTAAAATATGGCTTCACACCAACTTCACTGATGTGACCTCCTGTGACGTCTATGGGGGTTGAGCTCCATTGTTGTTGGGCGACGACTCACTTACGAGAACGGCAATGATTATACTACCGTCGGATATCACGGCACGCTCCCGCACGTCAGGAGCAACCACTTATTCCCGAGGAGGGTAGATCACTGCTAAGTGACGTAAATTAACAGATGTGCTTACAACATATCGCACGGTAAACATGACCAACCAACGTGCACTCATGTGCCTGTCATTTTGATTGCTTGTATTGGTGCTTTTCTCATTCTCCACCACGATATGTGTGTAAATAGGTGCGTGAATGTCGACGGACTTCACCTTCCACACTGGGTAGCAAATCCCATTTTAGCAAACGATTAATCAACCGATATTCGACACAACAGTGGTTACAATTGGATGGTTTCAGTCGCTCTGTAGAACTCTTGTTACTGTCGACACCGTGTGGTGTTGGGCCAAACTTAGTAGTTGTTCGCTCCGATCATAAGAAGTGGCGTCACGCATGACGTCTTCCCCGTGCGTAATCCAAATCTTTCATCGATTCCAAGAACAAAGGTCCCTTCTATACCCTAAGCCCATTCGAGTCAGCAAATTAGTATCTTCCCATTCTTAAGCTCTCAATGGCTCTCATTAATTGCGCCCCACATATAGTCACTCGCCATCGCGTTCAATCACCAGAGGACATAATATAGGTGAGCACACTAAGATGGGCGGTGGAAGACCTTAGCCGCGCTACAGAAGCCAGGATCGACTAACAGTTACTGAAGTCTCTATGAATGACTTGAAGGTTCAAAGGTTAATTTAGCAAGATGATCATTCGCGCTGCAACGTCAACACGAGGACAATTACCTCAGTGTGATTAGTTATTTGCCTTGCCGAGTTATTGGCTTTTCTATACATATGACTAGGGAGAGCTAGACTGTCAGCGGTAATATCTAGATGTCGGAGAGAAGGAAGTAAGTGAATTATTCAATGGCTTTTGCCAGTCGTTTACCTTATTTGTTCCAGAATGTTTGGCTATAGGGTAGGTAGTAATCTCGGCAAATCTAAAACAAGTTCCGTTTTCCTAACTTAACATTAGGTCGGTTTGCGTTTTTTTTTCGTAAATGTGTCTTATCAAGTTAGAAAAAGTTCATGATGCTAGGAAATCTACTATCTACGTAGGGAGTTTATGGAATCTCGAGTTCTAAAGGGACGAATAGGCTCGACCAATGCACGCCTTCAACGAGATTGGACCGGAGAATAGAAAATCCGACACCGCCCTAACTCCCCGCGGATGAAATTCGAGCTCATTGCCGAGTCAGGAAATGGCGGCGGGTCCGGCGGCGGTTCGGCACTCGACATCCGGGCAGGGAACTACCAAATGGCCTTCAAGCAGTCAATCGCTGTTTTAAGCAATTAAGGTCTCCGAGTGCTCCGTTCACATTGTGTTCCTACTGAGTTTCCGGATTTAGGGGATAAAGGTCTGGGCGCGAATCGATTGTGGAATTAAGTGTTGGTCAGACAAGACAGACACGAGCGTTGATACCATCAAAAATCACCTAATGCCGATTAACACCGACTGTGGCTAATAAACTCAATATCGACAAGGCACGAGAGATCAAGGTATATAACTAAGCGGGTCATGGCGACGACTGTGTCTAGTCTAGCAAACCGTTTGCCCTCACAATTGACGGTAGAAATAAGACTGCAGCTTTACGACAGCAGCACCATCAAAAACAACAACGGACGATATGGCTTCAACAAGGGGTCTGGTTCTTGTCACCGGCGCAAATGGCTTCATCGGCGCGCGCGTCGTGGAAGCATTCCTCGCCGCCAACTACTCGGTCCGCGCAGCATCCGGAGCCAAAACTCAGCGTCCAGCCTGCTTGGAGCCCTGCCTTCGCACGCCTCTTTGGGCAGTCTCACAGCCACGCTTGTCCCTGATATTACGAGCCCCGGCGCGTTCGACAATGCTGTACATGGTGTGAAGGCCATTGCACATCTCGCAACTCCGGTGGATTTTTCAAATACCAATGTCGACTACGTCATCGGGTCCGCTGTCCAGGGCACAGTCGGAATCCTGCAATCTGCCATGAAAGAGCCCAGCGTCGAGTCGTTTGTCTACATGTCTTCCATCGTGGCTGTCAGAGGACGTGGGTCTCAGTGGGAGGGACGAGGAGTGACCGAAAAGGACTGGAACACAGAGGCCGAAGAGACGCTCGCAAAGTCGGGTTCCAACGTCACCGGCCATCAAATCTACGGGGTTAGTAAGGTCAAGGCAGAGCGTGCATTCTGGGATTTCCGTGAGAAGAACGCTGGCAAGATCAAGTTCAGCATGACTGCGGTGAATCCTGTATGGGTTGCTGGCCCACCACTGATTATGCCCGAGGACCCCGAGAAGCTGAGCGATACTGCCATCATTGCATATCGCATCATGAATAGCGAGGATGTTCCTCCAGTAGGACCCGGCAATGGGACGCACGTGGACGTCCGTGATGTCGCGAGAATGATTCTCTTTGCCGTGCAGAATAAACAAGTGGCAGACGGAGAACGGTTCATCGCTGGTGGAAATGGTAACTTCGCCAACGTACAGGCTTATCGGGATCTCTTGCGCAAACACTACCCTGGAAGGAGTGATATCATCGGGGAGGGCGAGCCGGGGAAGGGCTATTTACCAGATTATTCTGAGCCTGCTGATGCGAGAAGGGTCGACGCAAGCAAGGCTGCCAAGGCAACTGGCCAAGGATGGATCCCATTCGACAAGACAATTTTAGATGCGGCAAAGGCATACGAGAGATACTTCTAGAAGATCCAATTGCTCACTGCACATAATGGATGAGAATAGACATAATTCACAAACGCGCATAAGCCTTAGAGACGCCGAACATTCCAAATCGTTTAAGTGATCTGTCCACCGGTAAACTGCTGGGTTCGCCTGAATCTTGCATTTGGACGAATTAAACAAGATAGAATAGCCGGATATCTCTATCCTTTCATCTTGAAGTAGGCATCCGGACGTCCGGTTATCTCTCATCAAGTGCTCAAACGAGGTGTTAGTCCGGGCCGGCTATGATGCTGAGAGTGGATTAGCCATTATCATCGCCATGATACTAGCGGCACGGGTAGAGATCGGTTCTGTGAGTGGAATTGATTGCACAAGCTCCACGACAACTTTACCAATTCGGGAAATGTTTATCGAGTCTAAGCACATGCGGTTCGGCCATTGAAGCAGCAAAGTCCTGGATTGAATGTCGATTGTTGACCGCAGAGGAAGGTCTTGATTGCAACACACTGCATTCACTCGAAAACAGGAACCAATCCGATATATTCAACTCTTGCATCGGTATCTTGCATATAGCAAGAACAACTCATCTTGGTCAATCTGCAACCACTCCCTAACCTCTTGTCTTGATAAACAGAGCGAAATTGTTAAGCTATGGCTAGCCTACTTCCTTTCCAATTGAATGACCCTACATTATTTCATCAACAGTCTCTCATTCATGGACACTGGACGACTGCGGCCACTGGTCAGTCTTTTGATGTGGTTGATCCCGGCACAGGCGAGGTCTGGGCGCAGTGCCCAGACAACGGGCCCGAGGACGTGGATGTTGGTGTCGTCTCTGCCCATCAGGCCTTTGTTGAATAGGCTCCATTAGCGCTTCCACAGCCCCCGACAGGAGGGTTCTTGTGATCAAGCAGCCTCTAGGTGTAGCCGTGGCTCTTGTCCCTTGGAATTTCCCTATTGCCATGATTCTCCGCAAGCTGGGAGCAGCATTGGCCGCCGGATGCACAATGGTCGCAAAACCATCGCCCGAGTCTCCTTTGACCTGCCTCGTGCTGGCTGATCTAGCCCTTCGAGCCGGGTTTCCACCTGGCGTCTTTAACGTCTTGACGACCTCGCTGGAAAAAACTCCGGCCCTTTCAGAAAGGATGTGTGTACATCCACTGGTGAAGAAGGTCACATTTACCGGCAGTACAAGAGTCGGCAAGATTGTAGCTGGTCTCTGTGCTAAAGGTCTCAAAAAATGTACTCTTGAGCTTGGGGGCAACTGCCCCTTTGTAATCTTCGATGATGCTGATTTGGATCATGCTGTGGCTCAGCTCATGTTGTTAAAATGGAGACACGCAGGCCAAGCCTGCATCTCGGCCAACCGGGTTTATGTCCAAGCGGGCGTGTATGATGAGGTCGTCTCCTTGTTCAAGAAGCAAACAAGCCAGTTCGTCATCGGCCGTGGGGCGACTGTAGGCACAACCCTTGGCGCTGTTACCGTCCCCAGTGGACTGGATAAAGCAGAGGACCAAGTAGAGGACGCGGTCTCACAGGGGGCCAGTGTCGTTTTAGGGACGGGCAAGCGCCATACGATCAATGGCAAGGGCTATTTCTTCGCACCAACCATCTTGACCGGCATGACGGCGTCTATGAAACTGAGCAGAGAGGAAACGTTTGGGCCTGTTTGTGGTTTGTTCAAATTTGAGACTGAGGAAGAAGCCATCAAGCTTGCGAATGATACCAGCCTGGGGCTCGCTACTTATGTGTTTTCTAAAGATTCCGATAGATTGTGGCGTCTGTTTGAAAAGATGGAGGCTGGTATGATTGGTCTGGTATGTCTTGAAATTTGCCATTTGGCTCATCATCTCTGAGATTTTGTCCTTTTTTACTAATATTGCCCACAGAATACTGGGAACGGCAGTGCAGCCGAAAGTCCATTCGGTGGTATCAAGGAGTCAGGTTACGGCAAGGAAAGCGGGAAGGATGTTGCCGTCAATGAATATCTGATCTCTAAGACTGGTACCTTGACAGTAGCCTCTTTAAGGTCCCGGATTTGATAGTCGTTTCAGGAGCCAATATTTCTTTCGCTCACGTCGCATATCTGTCGCATATCTATATAAACAAGCCATTTGATTTGTTGTAGATGGTCACGGTTTTGAGTGGTATAATTCTGAAATCATTCGCTATTGCGTGTTGAGTTTTTGCGAGCTATTTATAATACCTAGGTAATTTTGAAGTATATGCTACTTTGTGTAGACCTGGGTTAGTGACCTTAGTTGGTCTAATATGAAAGAATCAATCAAAGGGTTTAAATAACAACTAATTCAAATGCTACTTAAATGTTTATCGACTCTATAGCTTAGAACCAAGGTTTACATGAACAGCCTTGGCCTGGGTATACGCATCAAGCGCATACTTGCCTAGTTCGCGCCCAATGCCAGAGGACTTGTAGCCTCCAAACGGAATTCCAAAGTGCGAGTCCCCAGAGGAGTTGATCCAAACCATGCCCGCCTGGAGTCGGCGTGCAACAAGGTGTGCTTTGGACACGTTTTCTGTGAAGAGCGCTGCAGCCAGTCCGTAGCTCGTGTCGTTGCACTTGTGAACAACCTCGTCTTCTGTCTTGAACTTGGAGATGACAACGACAGGGCCGAATATCTCTTCCCTCACAATCTTCATGTCTTCTGTTGTCTGTAGCGGGGTTCAAGTGTCAGCGGTAAATCATGCAGTGAATTTATGCGTTGCGGGGACTGACATCGACAAAGACTGTAGGCTGGATGAAATAGCCCTGGGAGCCGGACCTGGCGCCCCCGTACAAAAGCTTAGCTCCGCTCTTTTTACCTTCCTCTATATGTCCCAAAATCTTGTGGAATTGGGTCTTGGATATCTGAGCTCCATAGTACGTGTCTTTCTTGAAGTTGTCACCAACTTTATCATTGTCCTTGGTTACCTCGACAAAACGTTCGACAAATTTGTCGTATATGCTCTCTTCAACATAAATGCGAGAGGTTGACGTGCAGACCTATCTTTCAGGTTAGCAATTGTTCAAAGACCTGCAGACGAAAGGGAACACACACCTCTCCCGAGTTCTCCATGATGCCAAAGTGTGTCCACTTGACAGCCTGTTCAAAATCGGCATCGGCAAAGACGATACTGGGGCTCTTTCCGCCGCACTCAAGAGTAACATTTTTAAAATTAGAGGCAGCAGCCTTCATGATGGATTTACCTGTCCCCGTACTTCCAGTGAAGGCGATCTTGTCGACATCGGCGTGGTTGGCCAGAGCACTACCAGTCGTAGGGCCAAGACCGGAGATGATGTTAACAACACCAGCGGGCAGGTTAGCCTTAATGACGAGGTTACCAAAGTAAAGGGCAGAAAGCGGCGTCTGCTCTGCAGGCTTCAGTACGACAGTGTTCCCGCAAGCCAGCGCTGGGGCAATCTTCCAAGCAAGCATCATAAACGGATAGTTCCTGTCGCATACATGGTTAGCCTCCCGTGGAAATATACTACATCTCAATTACTCCTCATGTCCTACGTACCAAGGAACAATCTGGGCACAGACACCTAATGGTTCTTGAACGACATATGCCAGCTTTGCAGGGGAAGTCTCTATGGTTTGCCCAGATATTTTGTCTGCCGCGCCTGCATAATACCGAAAAACATTATAAGCCTCGTCCAGATCACCTGCAAGCGCGCCGCTGAAGGTCCATACAGTGAGCAACAAATAGCCCGAGCTTGATCAGGGCAGGGTCATTACCTTGCCGTTGTCGTAGGCATCAATGGCAGCCAAGAGCTCACGATCGTGATCAATGAGCTCAGCAAGTTTGTAAAGATATTCTCCGCGCTCTATAGCAGGCAGTTGAGACCAAGGACCATTGAAGGCTTGCCGAGCAGCTGCTACAGCCTTATCCACATCGGTAGGGGAAGCCCCCTGAAGCTTCAAGATCTCTTCTTCGGTTCTTGTATGTTGTTAACATATATACGATATTTCGACTGTGGGTAGGATCTATGGAAAGTACTGACACTGGGGATACAGTGCTAAAGTAGTCACCGCTGCCCTGCACGAATTGATTGTTGATGAACTGACCAGTGGGCTGCTCATACTTGGTGCCGTTGGGCAAAAAAATGGTGACTGTCTTGGCCATTATGCTTTCTCCTATGTTTCTTTTAGGAAGGTAGTCCAAGCGTCCAAAATAGGGTCAGGATATATAAGATGAAAAATAACGGATTAATACTGCCTTCTCAAGAGAAGATACTCGGCCGAGGATTCATATACCACTAGGATGCCTGGAGTTATGGAGCTAGAGAGGCCGGCGCGATTGAGTGACGAGTATCTTGGCAGCGATAGTACTGAGAGCAAAGAATATTGCTTGAGGAAGAGCTAATGGAGAAGGCGGAGGCTAAAGACTTGAGACAAGGATCAAACCTGGTGTTGGTCGTGGGGTAGATTGTCTGCATTTCCTGACATGGCGATGTTAGGAGACTCCACAGTTGTAGCCGAGGACAGGCTAATATCGTACATGAATCATGATAACACAGTTGCCCCATCAGGCATAAGCAGCCAAAACGGATCTTGCGTATGTTCCCGGAATGAGGGAAGATGTCTGCCAATCGAAAATCACATGGCAGTGTAGGTAGCTAACCGCAGCTGGCACAGTGCCAATGCCTCTCTTGCTTCGACATCAGTCGTAGCTTCAACTCATATTCGTACATAAAATCCCAAATACTTCTTCCGCTTACTTCCCAAACTACCTGACAGAAGTGATAAACTCGTATCCAATCCAACGCCGCATAATTAACGAGCATCAACATGCCTCGAAGCAAAGAAGGATATACTTGGACGCGCTCTGGGGAAAGCTTTGGCCTTGAGACAGAGGCCGTTGTCTCGGGCACCAATCCATCTCAATTAATGCACACATACGACGTCATTGTGATTGGGGCCGGCTATACTGGCCTTATTGCTGCGCGTGATCTCTCAAGGTTATCCAATGCCAAGGTACTCATCCTAGAAGCTCGAGATCGGATTGGTGGACGAACTTGGACCGCCTCAGCCCTTGGGGAAGATCTCGAGATCGGTGGTACATGGTTTCACTGGTAAACACTGTCATCATCTACACGTCATTTCAGATATTGAGTACTAACGTGAGAGCACAGGAACCAGCCGCATATCTTTGCTGAAGCACGTAGATATAACCTTCACAACAACATCAAAACTTCGAACGGAACTTTCGGACCCGAGAGAATATATTTTAAAGATAGGCATGGGAAGATGCACAAGCTCTCAGAATCAGAAGTGGATGCTCGCATTGAACCGATTGCCCAAAAGTTCTTCAGTATAGACGGTCTTTCAAGCCGGGAGTTGATGCCCTATCCCCATGATCCATTCCATCGTCCTTCACCATGGACGAAGTATGATCATCTGAGCATGAAGGATCGGCTCGATCAGGTTGATGGTCCTGAACAAGATAAGGCGATATTCGAAGCATTCATGGGCACAATTGGCAGTGACATGGGCTCCAAGATTGCCTTTGTCGAGTCACTCAGATGGTTTGCTCTGGGAGGACATACTGTTTCTGGCATGTTTGAGATCATTGAGTCGTACAAGTTTGGACCTGGAGGTCAGACAAGATTTGCTCAAAGCATCCTCAATGAATACAGGGGCCATCTGAAATTCGAGAGTGTTGCGAAGAAAGTCGAAGAGACGCCTCGAGGGGTCATTGTGTCCACTCGCGACGGCGAATCCTACAAAGCAAAACACGTGGTTTGCACTATTCCGCTGTAAGTCTCCGATCACTTCTTCATCTGATAGTCTATTCATCTGCTCATATAATTGCAGAAACTGTTTGGGGGACATCGAATTTTCTCCAGCTCTCAGCCCTTTACGTCAAGAAGCGGTAGCTCTAGGCCATCAGAATAAAGGCATCAAGGTTCACTTCAAGCTTTCCACCCCAGAGAAGGGTTGGCTCGCTGTCGCGGACCCAAATGGCAATGCTCCCTTCTGTCTTGTATTCTCGGACCACAATGGCACGGGCCAGAACGAGGGAGCCGGCACGTATGCTATCGGGTTTGGAGCTAACGACCGTGTCATCGACAAAGAGTCGTCACAAGAAATCATTGCCGGTCTCAAGCACCATTTCCGGCCCGACGTTGAGGTAGCCGGATACGTTTCTCACGACTGGGTCAACGATCCTTTTTCAAAAGGGACATGGTCTAGTTGGACTCCAGGTTGTATGACCAAATATCTCAACGAGCTGCAGAAGAACCATGGTAGAGTGGTCATGGCAAGCTCGGATTGGGCGGATGGTTGGCGAGGCTTTATCGATGGTGCTATTGAGCGTGGAGTGTTGGCTGCTAAGCAAATTCACATAGAACTTACTACAGCTGGAGACATTGAGTCTCGTCTTTGAGGGGTGTTTTAGGAAATGTATGTATCTATCTTTCGTCCCGTTAGTATGATTTGACTTTGAAGATTATGTGAAGCACAGTGTGCTGCATATGGATTTTCGAATAATTTCTAACCCTCATTCCCCCGATCAGGTGAATCGAATTTTCAATATGGACCAAGAATTCTTAACACTCATCTCTTTTCATTGTTTACCAATTTGATTTGAGTACGAGATAGCAATGCTAGTTCCTTCAATGCAAGGACAGTTTTCACCAAGAACCTAATTGGAGCCTAAACATCAGATGCCCAGATTTGGGAAAGGCATGAATCATAATTTCGACAAGACTCAATTTTGAAAGAAAGGTAATCAACAAAAATCAATTATCTATCCAGCCCTAGAAAACCTTGGGATAGGTGAAAGTGTCGTCTAATTAGCATTGATCCCATCACTTGCCGGTGGTCCCTTGTACACTGGGGAAAGTGTCAGTACTCTGAATATTCATGTAAAATAAATTGACGTGACGTACCGTTTCGAGCATGAATAAAGTACCAAACAGCAGATATGGCTGCGAATCCCACGAAAACAACGCTCGCATAGTTCATCGTGACGGCCGTGACTGGCAGTACCGTGGGCATGCTGAAAAGGACAACTTGAAAGAATATCCAAGCCACCGCAATATAGTTGACAATCGTGCCAATGATGGGACCACAAGTGAACCGGGCCGAATTGACATCTCGACGGCCGTGAAAGAGACTGATGGCGACAGGGATCACGTAGCTCACCTCTAAGGCCATAACACCAACAGAGACAAACGCCGTGAAGGCCGATGAACTTCCCAGATTGATGAGCCCGAGAAGAGCCTGCACGATAGTTAGCAGCAGGATGGCCCATACCGGGGCACCCCGCTTCTCGTCGATGTGCGACCACAAGCGAGAGCCGGGAATTGCTTTATCTCGAGCAAAGGCCCATGTGCAACGGGAGGCGGCGACGGTGATACTGAAGCTACAAAAGATGACGAGCAACGGTACTAGGATCATAAGCCCGAGCCCACCCGCCTGGGTTCCCATGGTAGACGCAAATATGACAGGGAGTGCCTGGCCATATGGCGCTGCTAGAAGGTCCTCGAGCGGCGCGAGAGTAAACAAGATGGGAAGAATGAAGACGAGGCCGGCAATGCCCTGGGTAGGCACGGCGAGGGTCATGGCTTTAGGTACCTTGACGGCCGGGTCTGCACACTCCTCTGCCATAGCCGAGATCATACCAAGAGCAGAAAACACATAGGCGGAGGGTAACAGACCGACGAAGAAGGTAAAGTTTCCCCAGCCAGAGAATGTATCTTCGTAGTGGCCCAAGGCGTATGAAGCACTATGGCGGCCTGATTTGGCTGACACAGAAAGAGCAATCAAAACAATAATGATTGTCAATCCGATGAGTCCGGCGCTTATCGTATCAATCAGAGCAAGCCAACGGTTTGCGTATACGCATACAAGAGCCGAGAGGAACAAAAGAGCGTAGAAGAGAAGTGTCAGCTGCCAGTCGGTTGCTTCCCAGTCGGGATTGTACATGGTGATTGTGCCGGCCAAGAGGGATGCGAAGCCGAAGTTTACGGAAAGGGTGATGGTCCAATTTGCAATAAGCCAAACCCATCCCGTGATAAAGGACAGGGTAGTCTTGCACTTTGAAGCAACTTGGAATGACCAATAGTAAGGGCCAGCCGATGTTGGATACTTTGAAGCGAATTCAGCAAGAGACAAGGCCACACATTCGCTCAAGATAACAACCACGATCCAACCAACAAATAAAGCGATTGGGCCACCACCATAGATAGGGCTGATAATGGGGCCACCAATGCCGAATGGGACGCAGGCAATGGCAAGGGTTTGAAATAATAAGGTTCGAGTTGAGCGGTTCCTCCTCATATTTGAAGGAACGTAACCAAGTCTCTCGAGTTGCTCAATATCACCGGTCTCTACATTGTGTGTAGTCCCATTTTGCACATCTCCCACGTGTTTTCTGGGAGTTTGTTTGATTTCCATTATAACGATTTTGGTAGGAACCGATCCTCCTCTGAGGGTATTCAGGGTTTATTGAGTTTAGTGAGCCTATCAAGAAAGGGCACGTAAGATGTAAGGCCTGTCGTCAAACTAGAGCTCTCAGTGATGTGGGTTTGCAAATATATACGCATCTATGTGAAGTCAACGCAAAGATAACGTTTCACGAACAACTATGATCCGTCCCAAAGTCCATGGCAATCACGCTTGTCTATTTCCAAGCTTTCCTTCATCCTTAGAGGGCAGTGGAATAGCGTCGCCTAGATAACCCGCTATCGGCTAGTAGGTGGTTGATAGTAGCGTGCTTGCCTTTCCCCGTCTCTTCCGTGCTGCCATTTTGCGGGGGTGGGCCGGCCATAATCTCAATAGGGGGTTGCCGTTTGCTCGGGTTATCATCTCAACGAATACATGAGTCAACGGGCTTGCTATTATGATTCTGACGGAGAGCCCTCCGTGGCCGAAAGGATCACTTTACTAGTATAAATCCGACAATTCGAGTGCAAAATATTCATGGCCTTAATTTCATAAATAAAAAATATCATTTACTTAAATGCTGCGGGCTTTCTGGGCGTAAATATCTCAACCATGATTGAACACTACCTTCTCTCAAGCTTGGATCAGTGGTACATCGTACTTCGCCCCAGAGCTTTAAAGGCTTCGATTATTCGAGACCCAGTTGCCAGATAACAAAATAATAACGACCCCTAACTAGTGACCTCAGCTTGCACCAAGTTGCGGGCTAAGACTTGGCTGGTGATATCGGATCAGCAAGCCATCCTCGTTTGGGAATTAAATAGCGAAGATGGGGGGGTATCGTTTAGAGAGACTCGAACAAGCTAGATCAACTTTACCCCGCATCCTAAACAGTGACGTTGAATAACCCGATTTGGAGTAGCCTCGGCTTGATCGACAGTCGTGGGTCACTGCCGGTTTCTCTTCAACGACCGGAACCGTTCCTGGAATCCAGCACTTTAGCACCTAGACAACTAAGTCTGCAATTAATAGACCGCTGTTGTCAATTTTGATTGAGGGCCGAGAATCCAACACTCGGTACACAGCCATTCGTCAAAAGGTGAGTTACAGTAAACATCTGATTTGACATTTCATGATGGCAAACCACAACATAGCTCGCCTTCCAGTTCCTAATCCCGTTGACTCATTCTGGACTGCGGAGCCCAAAAAGCTCGACAATCATCGCAGCACCGAGGGGCTGCCGTCAAATGCCGATATCGTCATCATTGGCTCGGGCCTGTCCGGAGTGGCCACAGCGTACTTTCTGCTCAAGGACAACCCGAACCCGCCCTCCATCGTTCTACTCGAGGCTCGCGGGATTTGCTCAGGCGCCACAGGAAGGAACGGTGGCCATGTGAAACCGGATACATACTCAGACATTCCAAAGTTTGCAAAACTGTTCGGCATTGAAGCAGCCGCTGAGCTAGCCGAGTTCGAGGCATCCCACGTATACGCGGTCAAAGACCTTGTCCAAAAAGAGAGGATTGACTGCGACTTCCACGTTACCAGGGCCCTTGATGTGTACCTTGAACCTGACCATGCAAAATCAGTCGAGGCTACATATAACAGCGTTTACAAAGAGGGGCGGGTGAATCTGTCTGATGTCACGTTTACTTCCGAGCAAGACGCGGAAAGGGTAAGCTAACATGCTTGCATTCCCACATATATGGAAAACACAGGCTAAATTGATTTCTTATCAGATTTCTGGAGTGAAGAATGCCAAAGCCCTTGTTTCATACACAGCGGCTCATCTCTGGCCTCTAAAGCTTGTTCATGGCCTTGTAGAGAAGCTTATCGGGAAAGGGTTAAACGTCCAGGCCCATACCCCGGCGGATTCTGTCCAAGAGTCACAAGCAAAAACAGGTTCATGGTTAATCAAAACAAGCCGAGGCGACATTGAAGCAAAACAAGTTATCCATGCCACCAATGCCTACGTATCCTACCTCCTTCCGGAATACAGACAATCTATCACGCCCGTGCGTGGAGTTTGCTGCCACATCCAAGGTCCTCAAAAGAAAAAGAATCCCCACTTACCAAACACATATGGCATAAGGTTTGACGAAGTCAACAATGATTACCTGATTCCCAGGCCCGACGGAAGCATCATCGTGGGTGGTGCCAGGGAAGCATTTTGGCACAAGAAGAACCAGTACTTTGATAATATTAGAGATGATGAGCTTGTCAAAGAAGCAAGCAGTTACTTCGACAACTATATGCAGAAGTACTTCCGGGGTTGGGAGGACAGCGATATGAAGGTACAGAGAATCTGGACAGGCAGTGAGCAGAAACCCACCAACTTTAAAATCATTCCTATACTGACTCCGCACAGTCTTGGGTTACAGTTTTGACTATATGCCTCATGTTGGTCAGGTTCCTGATAAACCAGGTCAATTCATCATCGCAGGATTTACCGGTTATGGTATGCCCAAAATCCTGCTTTGCGGCAAGGGACTTGCTGCCATGGCACGGGATGGAGTTTCATTTGAAGCAACCGGGCTGCCAAAACCGTTTAAAACAACGGTGGTCAGAAACAGGTCTCAATCAAACCCCCTCAAAGAGTCTCTCCAAACACTATGGGAGGAACAAGCAAAGCTATGAGTGCTGATCTGCTTAGCAAGGTGGAAGGGTGGTTGGAGATTTGGGCTGATTAAAAGACAAGAATAAACTGCCAGTCCAGATTTTTGGTGAGGATTTCAACATACCTACCTAAGAGAAAGAGAATAAAGTTCAACAGCAATGGAAGCTGCCAGAGCCCGACAACTCAACACAATGAATACGGAGGATTTCAACATAAATGTCCTGAAGAATATCCTTTCTCATAGAAAAGATCTCGTAATCTCACCTCAAGTACAGATTGGGCCAGGTAACTCTGGCAGGCTAGATAGAGAAAGAGGTAGATGGACTCCACGAGATACAATCCCGCGTTCACATAGGAAGATCGGCATAATAACAGAGACGTACATTGGGTTCCATCCACCTTCTGATTAAATCCCTATCAATAACCGTTCCCACCAGGTGTTAGTGCCAGTGATAAGCCACCAACCACCGATTTAGCTTGGTTTTAATACTCGGTCTCTTCAGAGTGCAGCATGAACCCCGCATTACCCCATCCTTTCCACATAAGTACATGAGCAAGCTCCCTGTACCCCTCGGTCCCCGTGCCAGAATCCTCTTGGAAACAGTTTAATGCCGTTATCCTTCTTCTTAGCACAATAAGTTCTTTTTCCCTATCCTCGATTTTGACGACATACATCATAGACAAGCCGCCATCGAATGAAAATGTCGCCAAGCCGTAGGAGCCGAAATGGTCAGTACCAATTCAAGCTCGTGACCCAGCAGCTTTTAGAGAGGCTCCTGTATTGACATGACTGTGAAAGGATGCGCGAATTGCAGAGCTAAGCGTCAGAAATGCGACGAGGCACAGCCAGCCTGTCTTCGATGTCAGAGGGCTGGCCTGGAGTGCAGAGGATATATCAATGCACAAGAATTGCGGTGGCGGCCAGTCGACAAAAGAGACTTGTCAGCAAGAGTGCATGCAAGAACTCAGAAGTCGTCGTACAACTCGAATGTATCGAGGTGCTCCGGTCCGACTCTCACGCCCGATGAGGGACCTTTATTAAGCAATGGATGCCAAGAGTGGCAAGATAGTCTGACCGCAGGCAGCATCTCGTCTGCAGAGTCCGAGTGTCTCATCCTAGACGAGTATCTCCCTACTGACATCAATGAGTGGACATCAATTATAGGTGAACTACCATCGGATGTGAGCAACGCGGATCCGTATAACCTCCCCGTCGACTTCGATGCCTTTGATCTGGATTTCGAGGGCCTTTTGCCAATGCCAGCTGTCATATTTCATTCCGGAATACCGACAACAGAACCTCAAGCGAACCCATCAACCATGATCGAGCTAGACACCGTGACTTTGGAGTCCTCCTATGCCACGGGAGAAGGCACGGTCTTCGCCAAAAATCACTCTATGCCCTACTGCACCTGTCTCGTTGAGCCCCCGGTTGTCTCTCATTCAACCAAGCCGGAACGTACACGATATGCTCATTGCACATTTTGATCGAAAAACATGCGGCATCTTGTCTATCAAAGATGGCCCTGTTGAAAACCCGTGGCGGACCTTGATATTGCCTCTCTCCAATGGTTCACGGGCCGTGGAACACGCCATTACTTGCATGGCTGCCTTCCACGGCGCCTACGACTCGCCCGATCTCTACACTCATGGCACTGCCGACATGGATAAAAGCTACAAATGCCTCGCGCTAGAGGAGAAAAAACAGCCTCTGATCCCGGCATTGGCAGCCTGGGTTGGGCTGGCCTTTGCTGAAGGGTGGAAAACGCCAACAATGTCCAGGTTGACGCCCCTGGTCAATGCTAGACGACTCCTTGCCGAGCGATTGACAGCAAACCGGACCGCAATGTCCTTGACCAAGACCGACACCGCGCGACTAAAGTACCTGATCAACGCGTTTGTCTTTGTACATACAATAGGCGGCATCACTTCTCGGCCTGACGAGGAAGCACCGCCTTTGCCTGCACAGGTTGTGTCATTTCTCACGCCCTCGCCAGACGAGGCCAGAATGGAGACTGATCCTCTTCTTGGCTGTGCCGCATCCCTCTTCCCCTTGATCGACAATGTCGTATCGATTGTACAGAAAGCCCGTCAAACACAAAGGAACAGCTTGACACTGGTCAGTCGCGCCAGCGAGGTCTACGAGCAGCTTGACCAATGGCAACCACCCCGTCTCAGCGTCATGGAATCGCTCGAGGACCGGACCCAGGTAATCCTGCATTCCATACAGACAGCCCAGGCGTTGCGGTACGCGACACTTCTGCATCTACACCAAGCCGTGCCCGAGATCCCCTTTGAATCGTCTGCGGACCTGGCTCGAAAGGTCCTCTTGAAGCTAGCCAGCATACCCTCGTCAAGCGTCGTGACTAGTTTGCACATCTTCCCGTTACTAGCCGCCAGCGGCGAGCTAACAGACCCCGAGGATCGCGAGTGGGCGGAGCAGCGGTGGCATGCCATCATCGGGCGACTGCGTGTCAAAAATGTAGACACGTGCTGGGATATTGTTCAGGCGACCTGGGGACGTCGTGATATCCACGAGGCGGCGAAGGTGCCAGCAGGGCCCAGAGCAGACTTTGAAATGGACCCGGCGTACACGGTGAGAGGAAAGTTGCACTGGCTGAGTGTGATGGATGATCGGAACTGGCAAGGTATGTGGCATCTGCTACAAGATCAAATATCGACGCTACCGGCTGACACTAACCTCATTTCCAGTCTTTGTCGGCTGATAGCACGATGCTCGATTTAAAGACCGGGCTGAATAAAACTTTCCAGTCCCGGAAAATTTGGAGACGCCCAGGACTAGAGTTGTCTTGATATCACTATTAGGGGGGACAAGATATATCATTACGCAAGTAAACTATTCATACCTACATACTTTAGAGAGGGATAATTGAGCTTCTGAAGAACTACTTGAGCTACCGATTCGGACCATAGACTAAGAGAAATCCAGGCGCTTTATACCGAGACCGATGGTAGATCATCTCGTCGAAGCAACATTTCTCCTCCGTTAAGCGTAGACCCAGCCTTTGGTTTCTTTATAATCCCTGCCTCGACAAGGTCTAGTGCGAGCTGAGCAATCAATCCATCACATCCTTTGGCCACCATGACATCGACTGCTACTGGAACAAGCTCGGTATGGTTAGTGATAGTGCTCTGGGCGAGGATCTCGCCGAGCGAGAAGACGCTATCCGAGGTCTCTGCATCTAAGCAAGGCGGTAGCCGGCTCTTACTACCTCATCTGCAGAAATTGATGCGCAGTATCCAGCCCATGGTCCTTCTTCGACATAAAAGTGAAAAAAGCCTATGATACGCCCATTGCTATCCCAAATTGCGGATCCACAGACACTATCGGGGACCCTTGGTTGGGTACCTAGTGTGTTCTGGCCAGCCCAAGACCACATAAAGATATTGTAACTCAGTGCATCTTCGGTTGGGTGAACAGGAGGTACAGACGTTAGCTTGAAGCTCAGAGCAATTACAACGCCTGCTATGACGCCTGTAAATGGACTGTTGAGCGTAACCTCGAGACTCATATCGATTCGATCATCTGCTACCTCACCTAGGAGTCTAGTGAAATTTGGAATATCCTCACCCTCTTGATCGAATGGGGTATTCTCGAAGTTAATGCCATTGTTCAACTGGACGAGTGCAACATCTGTGAAGCTTATTTCAACAACGGCCTCACCAATCTCCTTTGGATCTCCAACTGGTTGAGCCTGGAAAAGTCGCCGGCTGCGTCCGATGCCATGTGATGCCGCTGTCATAAAACGGTCGCCTGCAAAATTCTGTACCATAACCCCGGAAGTCGTTACTAGCGACTGGCTGTGGTTAGCTGCAATTGGGCTAGAGATAGCAACTCCAGGACGAAGGGTTTCGTATGGTGTCTTGTCCACAGTCCCCTGAGTAGGGTCTGGAAGTGTTCCACGAGATGCTTGACGTCCCTTTGGCCGATGTAAATCTCTTTCGTTGAGGTATCTAGCCCAGCATCTAGCAATATTGCCAGGCAGCTTAGAGCAGATCGAGGGGATATCTATATTATCTTGGAGAATAATATGGAAGGTTCTTTCTGCATCAAATATAATTTCTACCACAGCTAGATGTGGTGAATGAGTAAAGAGACCACGGATAACTGTATCACCAAGATTGCGGTAAGAAGTAGTCGAAGATATAGAGTGAGCTCGGCCATCAAGGTCTTGGCAAATGCGTATTTTAAAGTTGCCCATTGTTGATATAGGAAACATTGGGCCTTTACCCTGGCTTGGGGAACCTTTACTCTCACCAATAGTAATAGGTAGACCCGCAATAGTAAGCGGCAGTTGTACTGATGGGAGTGACTCGACTGTAAAGTTAATATATGCCCGGCAGGGGCTTATAGCGATACTTGTGGTGCCAGGGAAAATAGCGAGTAGAGCTTGGAGTATATGGCCCTCGAGCATGATGCTCGGATCTCGTAGGTCGAAAGGAAGTTTGATGTGGCGCGGGTAGGCGGTAGTGCTGCTTGAGGATGCTGCTTCTCTTGGAGTTGGAGCAAGAGACATGATCACAGGAAGATTTTCGCCCTGTGGATCATCCACGGCAAGAGATGACATGGATCCAGCCAAAGTGTCCTTATGCCAGGGAGGTGCAGAGCTGCCGGTAGATGTATCTTTCCCAGGAGCTGCAGATGCGCTCGGGGGAATATTCTCCTTCTTTGGGATACCCATGATGAAGGATAGCTGGCGGTCAGCTAGAGATTGATAGGCGCGTAAGAAATTCGTCAAGGCTGATTGAGGTATTGTGAAAGAAAATAAAGAGAGGTAAGTTTTCAAGACTGCAGCTAGAGCGAGATTCAGCAGCTTAAATCACGTGACATGTACCCTACTTTCTCTCTTAGCCTAGATTATTTGCAAGGCCGTATACCGTGTATCTTGCTAGAGCCTCCTCGACTCGCCCTGGATGGCTCGAATGGCATCAGTTGGCTGATGAATATTGATGGACCCGACCGATTGAACTGAACCTTCGTATGGTGCAGCAGTCAAATATGAATCGCGTGCTGCTGCAAGTGAGGCGCTAGGTCAGGACAAGGATCCGGTTGCGACACCTTGTTGGTTCAAACTTGCCAAAAGGACCACGCTAGGTGCGTCAATGCGCATTTTAGTTCGATAGGCAACCAACGACATCTGAATGTGCGATAATTTCTGAAGGCCAACAATAATGGCACCCGCATCTAGCAGATTTTGCATCACGGCGGAAGTGTGGCTGGCTGGAGGATAAAGACCATACCACGCTCGATTGCCGTTAGATCTCCTTGCACCAGCGAGGGTGAAGATGTCTTTGACTCCAACGCGAACACCAGCTAAAGGCTTCTCCTTGGTCGGTGTGAAATAGAGACGGGATGGTACGCCAATGGTTAATGAGGCCGAGGATTGGACATGAGCGGACAAGGTTTGGAATGTCCCATCCGGCTTCTGTAGTAAAGATTGAGTGAAAGCGCCGGCGAAGTCATCGTAGAGGCGAAAAGCTTGATGGACCTCTCCTGTATAAGTGTCGAGGAAATAAGGACCGGAAGGAATCTGGCTACGCTCTTTCAGAGGCAGGATCTCGGATTTCAAGTTGGCGTAGTAGGTCCCGCTCACAGGCCTGGATCCAGATCTGCCAGAGCTGGCGAGGATGATGGTGTTAAGAAATCCAGGCTGCCAAACGTCGTCGATTGTTGACCAATCGGTGAGGAGACCAGCTATATTGCTATTTGTCTCCGCAATCATTGTCACGGGCACAAAACCGAATTGGCCGCCGCGAGTTTTGGCGTCAAGTGGCTGATCATATGCTCTTCCCTGGGAGATTGGCGAGATGAAGTAATCCACGTCGTTTAATTTGACAGACAGCCCAGATGATTCGAGACTTGCAGACACGATTTTTACGGCCACAATAAGCAAGGCAAGTGTTTTACCAATCATGGTTGCAATTGAAACGCACAGCAATAAGTAGTAGCTGTTTTGAAGAGAAGAATGCCTGGATATGTGCACCCATGCTGCGAGTTTGTTTCCCCGTGGCCTGGTGTACAGTATTTATCACCCTGCTACTTGTCTCAATGGGTTGCCATCCTGCTAATCAGACTTGGGTTATTCGAGCCGCTGTATGATTGGGCTCAGTTGATCCTGACCTTTGGAGTCTATCACGTGAATTAGGTAGGCAATTATATGGAGGTCCGGGAGTGAAGATTACGGTTCCTGGAATCAGAGCTATTCCTAAATGAGACTGTTCTAGCCGCCGTGCAGTAAACTTGCAAACCTGGCCTATGCGGCTGTGATGGCCGTAGTCGTGCCAGAATCTGGAGCTGACTAGCTAATCTCTCTGCTCTGCAAAAGCATGACAATTTGCATCTGACATGATTCCCGGAGGATAGTGTTTAATACACATGTAAATTTGCTTCAAGTCCATCTAGATGTAGGATGGGGCTTATCGTTGTCCCCACTCCACCCCATGTCCACAAACGCCCATGTCCTTCCCCTTTATTTATGGTAACCTACCTACCAAGTGGGTGGCAGGAGAAATGAGACACCTAATGGAAGAGTTGGTTATAAATAAACTACTTTCTACCATTAATAGAGAAATTTAATAGTATAAAATGCAATTAAGTGATAATATCCGCTATATTGTCTCTATAGTATGTATTATTAATATTCAATAATCTGATAATACCGATCGCAGACTTGGCAATAAGCAGCTTATCAATGTTTGAGTGTCTCAATTCCAATGTCACCCACTTGCCTAGGTACCTCGGTACCTACGGACTAGGACCCACATCACTAAGACAGAGGATGCCATCGCATACCTTGTTCACCGAGATGTTGCTGAGCTGCATTCGCCTCAAATAAATTCAAGAAAAAAAAAAAAAAAAAAAAAAAAAAAGGAGAACAATAATATGAATTTTCAATCCCCATGATATGGAGGAAGGATATTTTGCAGCAACTCAGCATTAAAATTGTGCTCCACAAAGAGCAAAGGTTACAGGTTGAGTTACCCTATAGCCAAAATCCATAAGGACGATAGACTATGTTCAACTGCACACAATCAATGAATGGAATCTTCCCAGTGCAGTTTGTTTCCTAGCTCGCAAGTCTATTCCTCTGTTAGATTGGGTCGTCGATTATTGACCCCATTAACGCGCCATGGTGGAGATGTTGAATGATTTAATGTCGGCGGTAAATAACTACAGGCACGAAGACATACATGCTCGAATCTCACAATTGCCTTATGAGGATTCAAATCATTTAAAATCGCGAAATTGTTGAAAAAGCCTATAGATTTCATTTTACAAGGATTGGACCCCATTTTACAACGCCTAGGATGCGTTGTCAAACTACCTATTTCCATTTAGACTTAAAGGCCCCCCTGACTTCCCGCTACTGCTCGCTTTCGTCACGTCCGCTGGGTGCACAGGGTATGAAAGCAAAGTCTTCGATGTTTACCATTGTCATCCGGTGGGCCACCGACGAATGCTGCTCATTTGAATCCATCGAGAAATTACACACCGTTTCGAATGGAAAAGGGTTGATTCCGAGAAGCTTTGTTCCGCGATTGAGGAGGGATTGGAACCAATTGGAGAACTTAGTTTGAAGACTGCTCAAGGTGTTAGCAATTACCTGGCAAGTTTTCTGAGCATTTTCAGAGAAGCCGCCCTAGAGAGGATCCTTAGGGATCCAAATCCAGAATGGCATCGATAATGGCTCAAACTTTTGCGGGACACTGAAAGTCTAATTAGGCAAGGCATGTAAGGCAAGTATCGAAGGTTTATAGCAGCCAAGATGGATAGTAGTTGGGGCATATTCCTTTGGGCTCGACAATCTCAGAAGTGGGCCAGCCCAAAGGCTCTTCCACACATGCCTGCTTTCCATTTGAACGGCAAGATTTGCTCGTAGACGGAAGATTAGACGGGAGAGTTTGTAAAAGCCACTTGGGAAAAAAACAGTGAAGGAGATTCTGCACCGTCACTCGACAAACTAATCCTGCCAGAAATTCTACACGCTTATATATATATCACTTAGCATACTAATATAAATCAGGTTAAATACAAAGCCCATTCAAAAACGCCCTCTTTCAATCAATACAAGGCCACCGAGCTACCTTACACCACGTTCCACGATATATGCCCATAATGCGGGTTTTTAAAGGTACTCCAGGGTATCATGATTCCAGGACTACCATGCCAGTCAAAATTCCTTCACTTAGGAATAATAGCGCTCCATGATGTAGTCCTCAAAAGCACGCTCTTCAAGGTCGTCGTCGAGGCTGCGCTGCTTGGGCTGACCCCTGAATTGCTGAATAATATCGTTGATAACTCCAACAGTCTCAATGCCTTTGGTAGTACGATCGAAGGACTTGCCGGCGTTTGCCTTGATGGCACCTCTGATTCTGCCCCCTTTTCGAACCTCAAGGCTGCGCTGCTTGGGCTGACCCCTGAACTGCTGAACAATGTCGTTGATAACTCCAACAGTCTCAATGCCTTTCGTGGTACGATCAAAGGATTTGCCGGCGTTTGCTTTAATGGCACCTCTGATCTTGCCGCCCTTTCGAACCTCAAGGCTGCGCTGCTTGGGCCGACCCCTGGATCGCTGAAGTGAGCCCTTGACAACTGCAGGAGACCCAATGTCATTGATAGTAGGACGGAAGGCCTTGCCTGAGTTTTTTTTGATTGCATTTCTGAATCTGACATCCCTTCGAGTCTCAAGTCCGCGCTTCCGGGCCTTGCCGCTCCATTGTTTGATCAGTTTAGTGAGAGTCCCAACAGCTCCTACACCAGCGGCACCACGATCAAAGGCCTTGTCGCTGAATGACTTCGTTGGCTGGGCTGGCTGAGGTGGCTTGGCTGCCTCAGGAGTTTTGACATCTGCTCGAGCCTGAAGACCACGCTTCTTGGGAGGCTGACCATTCAATTGTTGAACAACATCATTGACAGTCCCAATGGCACTAACGCCAGACATGACGCGATCAAATGACTTCCCAGCGTTTGCTTTAATGGCACCTCTGACCTTACCTCCCTTTCGAGTCTCGAGGCCGCGTTCCTCGACAATACCAGTGTTGGGGGTAGCCACTGTGCACTCAGCCAGGCTGAGGGCGATAATGGCGGTAACGACTTGCTTGAGGCCAACCATTTTGAGCAGAGTGTCAAGTAGGTAGTCAAAGATGGAGAAAGACAACTAAAAATGGGTCGATGAAGTAGATGGTGAGTAAGAATACCAATGATGAAAGAGATGGTGAGAAAAGAATCGAAATTGTTGGGCGAGCAAGAATATAAATGTCAAGAAGGTAAGAGTGGAAGAATGCAAGAAGAGATCAACTCTTGTTGCAGATTGTTTTTTAGTGCTTTGGATTAATGAGGAAAAGGAAAGCTGTCGGCCTGGAGCGAGGAAGAGCCTCTAAATACTTGTTTTCACTGCTTCTTCGCAATAGATCTTTGGAATTCGCAGTATTGCCATCTTGATGCTATTCTTAAGTCTGAGTTGCAGATCTTCACCCCATCAACGATGGAGATTGGATGATGTGCCCCGCCAGGAACTGTTGGGTGTTATGGCCAGGCGTACTTTAGTTTAGTGCAAATCCTACCGGAAATGAGGGCAAAGACATACAGAAAGGAGTGAATAGCGTTCATCATACAACCAATGGAGACTGTAGCAAAAACAGAAAAACACTCGTGGTTGTTGGTCAGCTGCAAAGAATCATACACAACCTGGGACAGGATAGCCGTCCGCTCAATGGCTGGAATGGCACAATCTCTCACGTTTTACGTTATCTCGTTTCGGGGATAATTGATCCTCTTTGCGGCGCGAGAGATCCTTTGGTTGGACAATGAAACAAAATATGACGACCAGCCATAACACCTGCCTTCAACGCCGCATGATTGAGGGCAAGCCAGAAGCCAAACCATGGGTGTGTGTGTAAGTCAAGACAGCCTTACCTGTTTACGGGGGTCCGTTGACGAAACAAAATTGGGCCATTCAGTGTGCCACACCTTTGTCTTCTAATCCCAGCATCTATCGCCGCGTTTGGTGCTACTCCTCAAGTTTCCCAAACGGAACACGCTCGGGCTGGACTCAATGGAGGCCTCCGTTATTTTTGAATATGTTTGATTTCAGGACAACGGACATGTCAGCCCCCTCAACAACCATAGAGTGCGAGTTATTTCTACATTGGGTGATCCCAAATCTAGGCTATCTGGACAAGAAAGCAGAGAGAATGCGTCGTTGTAAAAAAGGTCTTTGATAGTGGACGATCTCACGTGGCGCCCGACAAAACGCACCTAGATCGATTGGACTTAGGTAATCATCGTCTCTACCTATAGCCAAGGTTAAGGCTAGACAAATTGCTTCACTCAACCGATACCACCCACATCGGAAGAAGTGGGGCAACCGGCACTCTAAAACAGACGCTTGGACAATCTCGTTTTTCATGGCAGATTCCCGAGTACCACCCACATACGGGTAAGGATTACCAGGCCTCCACCAAGTAGCGGCCTGCAGCACTGCTATTTCCATCAACGCCTCGCCGAGGGGGATCGGAGACGGCGATGGAGCTAATGCGGTCTATGGCGGTGCTCGATGAGGCTGTGTCAGGGCTTGAATGCCAGAGACACTGCTTGTGCGGATGCTGCACGGGCTATTCAGTTCAGCAATCAAGTTGTTGGTCGCCTGGCTGTGCTTATCACCACGAAGAGAGAAATGATGAGCATAGCACGAGGTGGGGGTGGCACAGGGGGGTTCAGGGGCATGGACTGTGCTAATAAGGCAGCGGGACGTGATTTCTCATCGCCGCCCTCGCCGTGGATGCCCGCAGGGCCGCCGGCCGGTCGACCACGGCCGGGCCACCTTATTTATTGACAGGGGAGTCGGCGGCTATCAGTGAGGCCGTATACTGGATAGTTCGAATGGCATCAGTTGGCTGATGAATACGTTGGGTCAGGACAAGGATGCGGTTGCGACACCTGTTGGCTCAAAAGTACCAAAAGGGTCACGCTAAGTGCGTCAATGCGCATTTTATTTCCATGAGCAACCAACGACAGCTGAATGCTGCTGCTGCGCCCAATGATTGTTCATGCTGTTGGTCAGACTGTTGGGGCTGGCCTGATCCTGCTGGCTGTAGCCTGCAGTCGAGACGACCCCTCCTCCACCTTCTCCCCGTCACAAAAAAAAGGACTTCTCAACTTTCTACTCCTCCTTCTTCGTCTTCTTCATCTTCTTCATCTGACGTCCCTGTCGACGTTCGTAATTCTCGCTCTATTTCTCGCTCTTTCCCACCACATAGGCCGCCCCATCAGCATACTCAAGATGCCGCAGACTGAAGCAAGATCTGACGATGACCTGGCCATCAAGGTCGAACGCGACACCTATACCCCTGGAGAGACCGTCACCGGCAATATCACTCGCGTAAGTGCCTTGGTCGATTCCGAGGTTACTCTCAACGTTGTGCTTCATGGCCGAGCCAAGTCCAAGTTCATGGACCAAAATGATCACGGCGCCAAACCCCGTCGCGGACGCTACGAACTGCTCAAAGTGAAGCAGGACGTATTCAAGGGCCCTGTGCAGATCCCAGGCAACGCGGAGCCCCGTCAATGGAGTTTTGCCGTCCAAATACCCACACACGTTGATGCCAGTCATTACCCCGGCAATCACAAGGGGGAGGATGCGCTCACTGACATTGACCATGAGACAGTCAGCAAGATGGAGCTCCCCGGCTCATTCATGATGGGCTATAGCTCTGGTTATCTTCGGAGGGAAGGCTTTGTCGAGTACTACTTGGAAGCCGTCTTTGAGCACAAGCGAAGTGGCTCCACGGAGACGGCAACCGCTGTGGTGCCCATCCAACTTCGGGCACGCAATATAGCCCCTCCTCTTGTCGATTTCTCCTTGGTCCCCTTCGAGAATGAAAAGAAGGTTACTACCCAACGCCTATTGCCTGGAATGGAGAATGCAGAGTTGTCGGCAATGGATAGCGTGAAGAAGTTTTTCGGCACGCCTTCGGTACCAGACTTTGCATTCAAGATTGAAGTCAACGCGCCGTCGGTATTCCAAATCGACCAGCCATCGATCCCACTTTTCATCCGAGTCGTGCCAAACTGGTCGGACTCGAGCAAGGAAATCCAGGGCAAGCCCGCCCCAAAAGCAAGGGTCGTCAGCTTCAGAGGAGTACTGGGGTCATACTGCCACATCCTATGCGCATCAGGTAAAATGGGCTTTGCTCGCTACGAAAATTGGTGGGAGGAGGATCACGACCTCGAAGCCGATGGGTGTGATCTCGATCGGCTGGCCATTGACGTTCCGTGCGGCGACGACGTTGAAGCCGCGGACGTTGGCGCCGCTTTGCACCTGCGCCTTCCAAGATCGATATTCCCGAGTTTCACCACTTTCAATATCCACCTCCGCTGGAAACTGAATTTCTGGGTCTATCTGGACATTGCTGGCGAGGAGACTCATGTCCATAGACACATCGAACAGGTCACTGTGATTCCGGCTAGCTCCGGACCCCCACCAGGCGTTTGAGAAGGCGTGGAAGAAAGACATGGAACGATGTGGCATGCCCGAAGGAACGACTGTTCACAACCTGTGGGTTTTAAATATACTTTATGAAATGAGTAAAAAAAACCTTTATTTCCAATCTAAATTTAGGACTTGACTTTTATTCATCAACACTATCATGTCAAGCCTCTTCGACGGCAAGTGAGTCATCGGTGTGAAGGTTTCTAGACTTTTCCTTCCTCATGGCTGCAGCCTTGGGCTAGCGAAGCTTTTTTCAACCCTTCGTATTCATTGTGTTGAGATGTCGGGTCTGGCATCTTCTATCGCTGTTAAACTTTATACTCGAACTCTCTTCCATGAAGCCTCTTCGCTCTAGGAGGCATCGCCCTGCGCTTATATTGGAAGATTTGTCAGTTCGGTGTGGAAAGAGGTCAGAATTATGTAGGGTGATATCGCTGGAATACCCATTAAGGCCCGGGAGTCTTGCTCCATGGTCTTGCCATCCCTGGGATAGGGAGGGTAGAGACATCAGTAGCTATGAAGAAACAGCACTCAGCTGCGCACCGGCGGGCTTGAACACAGTTTCGTACTACATGATAATGGAAAAATAAGACTGAATTCGTTAGTAAAGTAATCAACTTAAACTACTCGGATATCTTCCATAAGCATCCTATACTCTTCCTCAAATCTGTCGTTAGCGGGGCCTGTCTGCTGGTCAGTACGAGCATCCGCCATCATCTGCGTGTCACAAATTGCCCTCTCCCATCTGCCAGAAGCATCAGTGTGTTGATGACCTTCATCGTCGCGAAACGTGCCGTTCATAATGGCCAGATCCCGAAGCTGCTTCTTCTTACGATCGTTTTGCTCCTCAGGCGAGGAGATGGCATCGTCGACAACCTGCTGCACAAGCCGCCTCGCCTCTTGAACCTTGTATCTCGAGTCAGCAGAAATGAGAGCATGAAGAGGCTGGCCACTGTCATCTTCGGAGCGTACCGGGCCCCCTCGTCGGACGTTAGCCCTTCCTTGCTTAACAGAGCCCCGGCCGCGGAGGGAAATATTCGCTGCGCAACGCTGTTGCAATTCTTTGAGACTTTGCCCTCTTGGTCCAAGAATCTGACCAATGAAGTTGACGCCGGGATACTCGGTGCTGGGGATGAACAGGCGATCAACGAACTGCGTCGGGCGTCGGTAGTCGGTGGGCGTGCGGTAAGCAGGCACAGCCGCGACTATGCCTTCGACGCAGGCGTGCCTCTCAGCTACGAGAGCATGGCGGCGGCGTTGAGAACGCGTGTTGGTGCGGCGGCCAGCCGCGTCGTACTCTGGGTCGGGAGACGCGGCACGGCGGGATTGCCTCACCTCGCCTCGTCCCGGGAGAGTCGATTCCGGAAGCCTGAGCATTTTGGTGATCTCAAGAGTGCGGAGGTGCCAGACATATATTTCAAGTTGCTCCTGTGTCATTTTAGCCCAGATAGCCGTAGGGAGAGGGGTGCCGTCTTGATCCAAAATGTGGGTCAATTCGGTCGGCGATGACCATCTTGAAGTGCGGCTGTACGGCATTATCACAGCCAAGGTCAAGAGAATCTTGTGAGATAGTCAGTAGAGAAGTATTTGGTGGTGGTCAATTTATCGGCTTTGAGATTGTTGTTGAATGCAGGTGTAGATGATTATGTGCGAGTGTCCGCAGCCAGCTTCTCCTGAGATGGGATTATGGGTCATGAAAGAACAAGATCAGAAGGAGAGGATTGGGGCGTGCTAGAACGTGGATATTTAAGTTGAAACACATGGGAAGGAGTCATTGAATAATGTTTGCTGAGGCAGAACTCTATCTGTCACATGATATTCAAGTTTCGGTAAGTTTGCCCAGGGTGAAAACCCTAACGATAGGAAACTCTTTTAGCAGTCCTACTTATCACACCCTATGCCCCACAGGAGCACAACTTGTCTCTCTTCATCTTATTTCACAATAGTTGCTCGGTAAAAGATGGTTGATTAATGAATCATCTCTTCCGTCCAAGTTGAGCTGCAGTTATTAAGTACTCAGAGTAGGGATATAGTAGAACTATTCTCTTCTGATTCTCGGTTGAAGTGCTTGGATTAGTGTAAACCGAAGGAAGGAAGCCAGGTGAAGGTAGCTTTAACAGTCATTCGACGAGCCGCTCGTCTTGACGGTGAGTGAGTCATCGGTATGGATATTTGCAGACTTTTCTTTCCGCATGACTGCAGCCTTAGGTTAGCAAAGACCTTTTTTAAGCTTCCTTAATCATTGTGTTAACTTGTCGGGTTCTGGCAGCTTCCATTACTGTTGAACTTTACTCTCTTTCTCTTACGTACAATCAAAAGATGAGATAATCATGCCTTTTAGCACTCTCCGACTATGGCAGCTGCAATTGAATTAGAAGTTGATAGAAAGAGGGGGGCAAGGGCACTGATTTGCATTAAAAAACACTTACAAAATCTCTCCAGGACCACACGTGGTCGAAGCTATGTAATTGGTAAGAGCGTTCCTTCCACACCCGTTCTAGTATTGTGGTCGTGGCCAGATTTCTGAAATTCGTGTCGTTCTTCATTTCGTTTATCCGCATGAGGATGTAGTCGTGCTGGAAGGGTTCTGTCGACTCAGTGCCGGCCATGAAGAGGGGCCACAGAGACCTCCTCGCACGACATCTCGAGAAGACAATCTTAGAGACGGCGTTTAGTATCTTTGTGATGAGAACCTGGACGTGCTGGCTGGTAGATGGAGAGTATTTCTCAATCACGCGGATGCTATGCAAGAGGAAACTGTGCCGAAAGGCGTTAGATAAATGGTCATTCCCGAGTGTTTTGGTGGACTCCGCTCTGGATACTCAATTTCAACATCAGCATCTGTCCGGGCATACTTACTGTGCTGGTGAGGAGATCCTGTGTGGATGGTTCGAATAGCAGCATTTGCGGTATCGGATGACGTGTGAGATGCTCTGTAAGTCATCTGCCGCAAGGCTTGCCACAGGGTTGGGGGAGGTCGCATTCTAGTAACGAACATGTTGCACCCATGAAGATTAATATAAAGAGGTCACAAAGGACACGGCGGAATTGACGTCACAGTTCAGCAGGAGAATCAAGAATTTATGAGGAAATATGGCATCCACGAATAATACCCTTGGGTGTTGATATATCCCCCTACAGCCCAATCTCGTGCCTACTAGCATGCATCCATCGTCAAGGCGATCAGATCAAAGCCGTGCGTTGGCTGTCATATAATCAATGCAATGCGGATATTCCACTACTGCAAATTCCAAGTCCTTTGTGAGGTTAAACTGGGTTCCAGCTTGAATCTTTCGTTATCCTGATTTGGCATTTCTTACGCTTTACTCTCATTAGGTAGGTCAAGTAAATGCAACCAGGCAGGTGTACAGAAGATGGACAAAAGTGACGCGTAAAATGGGTCTTACCCTAGATCTAAAAATAAACCTCTTATTTTTAAACTTTTATAACACTTGAATAAAAATATATAATTAATTTTTAAAGAAGCTTTGGCAGCGACTGGGTTAATGATTCCGGGTCAGAGACCGGGCTGGGTGGATGGGCGGCAGAATCGCGGGCTTAATTAACAAGCAGTGTGAATCGGCCGTGTCGCGTATGAGTGATATGGTGATTGGCGGCAGTGACATTTGGCAATTTGGTTTAGAGAAAAATGATATACTTATTTACTTAAACTCTTTGGAACTTCTTGAAGATAACTTCTTGGGTAGCAGTAAGCTGTAAGAGTTAAAGACATATCGAACCTTTCTCTTTAAAGAGGTTCATCATAGCGGTCAATTCAACCAGTATATCATTTAACCAACGGACCCTGACCAGTGGCCAACAATAAATCGGGCGTTGTCTCCCGTCAATGGCTCGCTTCCAAATTGCAGAGCTACCATTAAAGTTAGAGAATATATAGTCGATTTTAAGCCTGGAGTGACTTACTTAGTAGATATTGTGAGTTGGCTGGGAAGCCATGATTATTGGTAAGGTAGTTGAAAAAAGGCTTAATGTCTGCGTTGAAAGAACTGATCTGGCTAGTCGCAACGAAGGTATAGACTCGCATATTTCCGTTCAAGCCGCTGTAGAGGCTCCAAGTCCTTCCACCAACATTGGCCGACGCAATTGGCGAACCACCAATGGGAGTAACTGGACCAAGATTCCCAAGCCTTGTTTATTACTTTTGGTAAGTGAAGGTTCTGTATGGGTATGTAGTCAAATCTTACCAAATCATGAGCTCGTAGTCTCCGCTGCTCGTGGAGTGGTTCGGGTCAGCTGCTGTGAAGAGGTCATATGCAATGTTGCAACGAAGATTCTGTCCTTCATATCTCCACTCGGCAACTGTTGGGATGCTGCCAATGTTGGCAACTAGCTTTTTGGTAGGAAGACTGCGACCAGAGTATGGATAACTCTTCACTGATCCTGAACCTCCAGACCAGGTCCAGTCAGTATGCCAGGAGACTCCTCCGCTGTTGACGCTGTCAACGTATGTACACTGAGTGCCAGTACCGGCACTCGCCCCCCATTCATTATTGTTCAAGTACCAGACGTCTTGGGAATAATAGGCAAACTGATCGCAAAGGCTTTGGCCATGACTGAGCCACACGGACGACAAGGCGAGGATCAAGGACGGCTTCATCTTGTTGAAATACGTTTGTAATAGTTGAGATCGGTATCAAGATATGTAAGTAAACTGAAGGCGCATAATGAATTATCGGCTTTTTGACGCATTTATATATTTACAGCCTACCGGCCTCGGGACATCTGAGTTCGGAAAAACGATGGCCTAGTTCTTGAGTGAGAGACTTTCTATGGTAGGAACTAACTCATTGCCCTCGTGCACCACTGGCGCGTTTTACCTCTGCCATCCAGCGGGCCCGCAATACCCCATGGGGAGATTGGATCGAAATGTACCCCACAAAGTAAGACCGTGAAACGCCGAGAGTAAATGCTACCTACCGCAACTATTTTTGCTAAGCAGCATTAGGTAACGGTTGTGTTGCAAAGACTTGAATATCTGTTCCCGGACTAAAGATGGCCGATTGGCCAGCCCACTATCCCGCTGGCACTCTTTGCTCCTCACGAGCGGACTCTAACTACTCTACATACATTGATGAAACCAAAGCAGTGAGACTGAGAGGATACATGTCGGACTAGAGGAATATCCTACATCACGACTAGATTCTTGATAACAAAGAGTAATCGTAAGTTGCGCTTAAGGGAGTTTCCTAGTAGATAATATTCCAGTATCCTAGTGGTGTAGGTACATGTAGTTTACAAAGTGCTGACAGTAATAATGACTATAACCTCAAACCTCAGAAGCTCTTGAAACACTGAGCTCTTTATGTTGAACTTGGAGCTCCACCTCCTTACCCAATTGCTCCACATCCACCCGAGCGATAGCATCATCACCGTCAAAGATGGTGGCTATTTCTTCAAGAGTAGGCCCTTTGGTTTCAACATATACAAAGTACACAAATACAAATTCGCAGAAATCCCATAGTGTATAGAACAACATCAGGTTCCAGTGGTTGGGCATATTATTCCATGCCAGTTTGTTGGTTTGGCTAGTATTCGTCAGCGTGTGTTTCATGGCGGTGATGCGGATCACTCACTTTCCAAGCGCAAGGATAGCTTGCACAGTAATATTCATAATCATCATGCCCTTGGCTCGAAGATGAAAAGGAAGAATTTCCAAGGCATAGGATACGAGCAGACCAGCAAAGCCTACATGGTAGAAGAGACTAAACAGCCAGACAAAAGCAATCTGGCCAGTACCTGCTGCTTTGTTTGTGTATACTTGAGTGCCATTCGCCAGCGTTTGACTAGAATTTTCGTAGACGGCACCGAGGATAGTCCAGAGAGCAAAGGATGCAAACATGCCTGCGGTGCCTAGTAGGAACAGTGGCCGTCGGCCCCAATGATCGACAAGAAGTGCCGTACTTACAGCAACAAGGAGATCCATGATTGTCTTGCCAGCAGAGAGCTATATGATTCATTAGATATCGATTATTGATTTCACAAGAGGATTCAACCTACAGCAAGTTTCTGGTTCTGTTCCGTGATACCAGCTCCCACATAAACGATATCAATATAGTTTGAGAACAGAGCATTACCTGAATACTGGGAGATGACACCCAGGGAGATAATAATGGCTAATCTCCATCGGTTGCCGCGAGTCTTGAAGAAGTCTAGATATGTCGCATTCTTTTCTTTTCTGTTCTGGATTGCGTCTTTCATCTCGCGATATTGAAGCTGTACCGTGACATTGTCAACGTCTCCAGCACCGTGGTACTTGGTTAGCATCTGAAGTGCTTCTTCGGCTCTATCCCGGCTTACGAGCCATCGTGGGGACTCTGGAAGCCACCAGACGCCACAGAGTTGTATGACAGACGGGACGGCTTGGATAAGGGTGATTGACCTCCACGACCACTGGCTGTTGATTGACGAAGTACCCCATCCGATACACGATACGCCTGAGATTTACAGTTAGCACCGGTCCTAGTCTCGGCAATCTGTCCACTTTGTCAAAGATCCTTTACTTACACAGTGACCCCAAGCTCCACAAACAGTTGTACACTGTTGTAAGTGGGCCACGATGCTGGGGATGGCAAATCTCCGTCAGGAGCAGCGGAGAGCACATTTGTGCAAATGAATTTCCAAAACCTAGAACAAAACGGCCAGAGATATACACTGGCGTAGGATGAAGAGGTTTCAATTAGTTATCGACTTAGAGACGACGACTAGGAACATATTGAAACTTACTTCCGTAGCCGTTGCTGAACGCACCCACAAAAGCGCCCAAGATCATCAGTACGCAACCAATAGCAATCGTAATCTTTCGACCAAGATAGTCCGCCATATATGGGACGACCAGGAAGGAAGTTACCGACCCAATGTTGTACATGTTGATCAGGATACCGAGCTTGTTAGCATCAGCATACTGAGGGAAGAACTCCTTCCACTTGTCCATCTGCTGTGATGTGTTGACCATCATTCCGTCGTAGCCGGTGGTGGCCGATGCAACCAGTAGGAAAATGCAAAGACAGTAGAGCTTCCTCAGTTGAGGCTCCTTGTACCAAATGACTCTATCCAAGCTGGGAGCATTCGCATGTCGAATATTGAGGTGCTGATCTTGACCCTTGGGTCCAGCAAGAGTCGTAGAGTTGCCCATGTTTAGTAGATTCTGAGACACAATTTTGTTCACCAATTCCGTAAAGAAAGAGCACTTGAAGCAAATGATCAATCTCTATGATGGCTCTGGCATGCTGCATCCCATGACTGATAAAGGATTTGCGTTCATGCGGCGTTTGTAACTTGGCACAATTTGGAAACAGACCCAAGTCTTCGCGTCCTGCTCTAGTTTCGGACACGGGCAACTCTCGGATGGTCACTGCTCCGACCCGAACCGGCCCTTTTCCCAGCAAGGATCAGAATGGCACGACTCATGGCTGCGGGGAACCCAGACGCCTCCTCGTTCTTAACTCGACCTGGGTTAGTGTTGGTTTTGTCTCCCCAGAGCAAATCTTGGAGAGGTGGGCCAAGTTTCCCCTAAATGCCCGGAGTCGTCGCATCGCTTTCGGAGGATATTTACATTGCCCGACGCATGTCTGTCTGGGGGCGAGCCAATCCTGTCAGCTAATGAGATCGTACTACAGCGAACCGAGACACTGGTTGAATGGAGTCGACCGGAATCACCGAGTCCCGAGACCTGCCATCGTGCGCCGGTTGTCGGGCACGCAAGCTCAAATGCTCGCGCGAAATACCATCGTGCACCAATTGCCAAAGACTCGGTATGCTTCATACGTATTGAGCCTTGGGTCCTGGAACGCCACAGGTCGATTCTGACATATTTCCAATGTAGATTTATCATGCATCTACGATTCTCTGAAGAATAAACCGGGGTTGAAACGTGGGACCGTTGAGAAGCTCACAAAACGTATCGGTAAGGCCCCGCTTGTGTTGATAACCTACGAAGGAGTGAATATTGACTGCATCCACAGATTCTCTCGAGCGCCAAATACTGGATCGGGATGACCCCCTGCCGAATGAAACCCTTGAACAAACGACCGCAAAGGCTGTCGCAGTTGAGCGTTCTGACAGTGACACATCGGCATTCACTGCACTTACATTGGAGACCAAGATACTGTCTTCTACAATCTCAGAGTTGTCCCGGACCATATCTGTTCTCACCGAAGCTTCAAGAGCAAAGACATCATCACCAGCTGAGCCTGAGACCAGGAGCGCCAAGCGACAAAAAGTCGATGACTCCTCAGCAATCGTTCCTGGAGGATCGGCAACTCGCGCATTGACCATCACTCTAGGCTCACAAGAAGATGTCGAAAGCCTCCTTGAGACATATTTTGCCAACCTCCATCCATGGATTCCAATGATTCATGGTTCATTGTTTCGAAATAATGTTACAGATAAAGATGGCGAGCTCGACAATGAACTTGTGTTGCATGCGATATTGATAGGAGCTTCACGCTATAACGATCAGCGGAAGACCCCTGTCGATATATCGATAGAGAGCTTTCAGACATCTTGTGATCATATCCTGCTGACAGCGAATCAAAGTCTACGAGTTAAAAACCTGCAAGCACTCATAATTCTGGCCTTTAAATACGTAAGTATCACAGCAGCCGAAAATCGGACGAGGAAACACGGTACCAACTAACAAATGATAGTTGGGCGACGGTGATCTCACAAGAGCGTGGCCAATTGTTGCTGCCCTGACGAGAATGGCAGAGTTTCTCGGCATTTGCGTGGAACAATCTGAGGTAGGAGCCCATGCAGAGTCCTTCTTCACCCCCCATCCGCAGGCTCTGCCACAAAACTGGGCAGAAGAAGAGGAGATCCGGCGCGTTTTTTGGAACATCTTTATTCTTGACAGGTGTGTTTGCTTCGAGACTCCCTGACCTCTTTTTTCTATCTGTTAGTACTGAGACTGTCTAGAATATGCTCTATTACCACAGGGTAAGCGTTTGCGCTATATATACATATTGGATGAGATGCGTAGCTAATATGTCATGTAGCTGGAAAGTGGCTCTGACAGCGGACAACTCAAGTCGTAGATTACCCGTCTGTGGCACTTTTTGGAATGAGAATGCCCCTCGGGTGACTCCATACTTTAGTATCTGGGACAAGTCTGCCACCAAAATTTCCAACTCGGTGGCGTTCCTCCCTGCACATTCTGTGAGCCCGAAGCAGCCAACTGATCCTTCAAATGATGGAGAAGATGTTTCTCCAGGCGAGGCCAGCCATTCGACACCATATCTGAATACTAGCAATACGGGCGCTTTTGCATACTTTGTAGAGTCCCTCGAATCACTCTATCAGGTCAATGAATACTTCCTCCGGCAGAGGGTCAACTTTGATAACCGCCAAGAAGTATTTAGCTGGTTGACACGATTCAAAGAGCTTGACTTCCGCCTGGTCCAGTATGTGCTTAAGCATGCGTCTAATCAATTCGAGATCTGACTCTGACAGATGGAAAACACTCCTCCCCCCAAAATGGAAAGATCCGAACGTCCCGCCGCCCGAAACTGCCAATATACTGGATCCGAACATGTCATTGGCACATGTCACACATAATACATCCATGATTATGTTGCATCAGAAAATCGGCTATCCAGACTCGAAGTTGAAGGGTATTCCACTACCCAATTTCTATAGCGCCGAAACCTGTCATTCTGCAGCGGTCGAGACATCCAATATCACGCGAAACTATCTAAGACATTCCTCCACTTGCCGACCCTTGTCTCCCCATTGGGCATTCTGCGTTTTTGCAAGTGCCAAGATCCTACTTGGTAAGGTCGATCCAGAATCGAAGCGGACTGTAAAATCGGTAGCTAATTCTATAAAAAAAAGTTCATCACAGGCACTATTCTCAAGATCTCAGCCCACATTTTTGGTCTCTGGTTCAATGTTTACAAGAGATGACACAGAGATGGATCGGCAATAGTAGGGTCGAACCGACATCGTCTCTTCCTGGCCAGCTACTTGGAAAACTTCAATCACTCCATGCCGACCCGACTTCAACTTCCGCATTTATCAGCCGAATCTACGATGACTCATTGCATTCACCACATGTCAGTGACAGCCATGAGGCCGAGCATCTCTCTCCCCGAAGCCGTCTGTTTGTGACGCGACAAAGTAAGCCCGGCCAATTTGCCTCACTCGTTGAACCATTAGTGAATCTAAGCGGACATATCTCTGAACAACCAGGTGTTGAGCGGCCAGGACCTGATTGGCTATCCCCATCACAAGTTCCAGACTGCAGAATGTCCACGGCATCTGGAGGCACCGATGAATTATCAAGTATCATAAAGAGCTTTTCTGGAGAGCAATTTACAGGGATGGACCGTATCATCAATTTCGATGACCTTAATTTTGAAGGCATCTGTGATATAGATCCCGTTGGTCAGGGAATTACTCAACCAGTGTGGAACTTTGGTTCAGATCAATGGCCTGGTCCCGAGATGTAAATTGATATCTTTCATAAAGAAATAAAAAGTAAATGATTAATCTGTATTCTCCTTTTGCCGGAGAGTATAACAGTAAGCTTCCTAATGTCTATGCTCAACCCAGACTTTTCACCTGAGCTCACCTTTAGGGTTGTTTCAGTGAGAAACATCGAGTTTAAGAAAACATGTATAATTGAATATTCTATTTATATAATTCCCATCTGTAACAATCGGTTCTTAAAAGTAAGAAGATAATAGTCTGCATAGACTAGCCCGTGGTCGTGTGCCTTATTCTTCCTAAAGCTGAATGAATTGTAACATACTGTAGAATGCTTCAAGATGGCATCAAATCGTTCTCCTACCCCAGAGATGTTAATCTTAAAAGGCTCGCTATCTGTTTCCATAACGTGAGCCTTTTCACGAGCCAATGCTAAGTTGAGAGTATCTTCAACTATGATCAGTGCCGCGTCCAAGTATCTTGCGTTTCGTTGGTGATCTCCAAGTGCTGTGAAGCACTGTGCAAGGATCACCATTCCGTTGGCAGCAATTAGTCCTGCGGAAACATCTCTGAGGGGATTCTTCGAATTCTCAATCGGAGCGTCAAAGTCCCAGAGTGGAACGAATCTGCCTAGTTTCCTTGGTTTATTGGTCCCATTGGTAGTAAATCTGTCGACAGAGTCTGGGGCAGTTTCCAGTCTGAGTAGGAAGTATTCAGCCAGGCCACATGCCGCTTCTAGAAATTCTCCATGGCCCGACCATTGGTATGCCTGCGCGTAACCCAGGATGCCCCAAGACTGCCCACGACTCCAAGTAGAGCTGTCACTGTACCCTTGGGCCGTGCGGGTCTCCTTGATTAGACCAGTTCTGGGGTCAAGGTTGACAAGATGAGGAGTGCTATATAACTCTCCTTGATAACCCTTCCGAACGCAAGTCTCTTTGCGTAGGTGGGATCTCATCAAAGTACGGGAATGCGCCACGGCAATATCAGCCAGGCGCCCATCGCCCGACTGTGCAGCAGCATAGAAAAGCAGTTCCATGTTGGCCATGGAATCGATGATGATCAGGAAGTTATCTTCCTGGGAGGTAATGTTGACGTTGTCATGCCAATCAAAGGTATCCCAAGATCGGACTGCTGAGACTCTGTCATCAAAACGTGATGCCAGATTGTTTGCAGCTTGTATGATTGTCTTGAGAGCATCCTGATCGTGGAAGAGCTCCCAGCGAGGCCTCATCGATGGCAAAATGACGAAACCAAGATCGTGAGTGTCTGTCCGTAGAGCCTGGCCTTTTAGAGGATCAGACCATCGGCGGCCACTTTCTGCAAGCTCCCTGACAACGATTTGTGGATTAATTGCTCCATGAGGGAGACCAGATTTGCCAGGATACCTGATGCAAGTCTCAAGAACAGAGTATATACAACCGGGGAAGAAGCCGCTCGTCCAAAAGTCAATCTCCCGAGACTCCCATTTTCCCTGGTTGATTCCGTTTTGAGGCACTATTTCTGGATATTGGCTCGGTATTTCCTTCTTTGCTGTTAGTATTATGTCTCCATTTGTACTGGTCTCGAGGTATGGAGCCTTACGTTATTCTCCAAATAAACAGCGGCGGTTCGAAGCACCTTTGCGATTAAATTATCCGAATACAGCGCTGAAAGGCGAAAACTCCATGATCTCTGTTCGAAACCATGTTCCTCGGCATCTAGCGAACCATTATATGGGAGACTTCGCTCAATGGGGCTGGTGCTTTTCATATTGGAACTATGGTGATAACGAAAGTGGCGGATGAGCGAGTATTCGTCAAGAGCGAATAGTTGATAGTCATGTAAAAGGGTGCTTCTAACCGGGAATTTATCGGTGCATGCTCCTTTCTACAATATTTTGCCAAGCACCTGCGCTCGGTACCAATTTGCTTCGGTCGGACACGGGGGGATTATCTTGGCGACCCCGGGGAGAACTGCTCCGATCCGAATATTATATTCTCCACATACTGTAAGCTCTTAACAATTGTGGAGAAGTCTAATGTTCGAGACTATGCCAGCGAGTTGTAATATTGAATTGCCATTTATTGTGCTAAGATGCTGGTGATAACATTTTACTGCTCTGCTTTGTTGTGCGAGCCAGACCCTTTTAACAATCGCATGGAGTAGTAATAAAGTGAACGTGGATAGCAAGGAGGCAACTTTACATTGGCAGAGCCTGCAATAATGAGTGCCCCTTACGGATAGGAAGTTTCATCTCGTTTTATATAGGGGATTCTTCATTACACCCTCAGTATTTCCTTTAGACCAATATAACGTACCCTCCGGTAATCTAAGTTACGATCGAATTTTGATCAAGAATCTACTTGATGTTTGAACAAATCCAACTAGAGCCGACTTCCAGCTTAGACCCCATTGTATGTCGAACCTATATCCCCCCATTTGATCTTGCTGAAAGTCACTGCTGTGTCTGGCTGGGTCTGTCGAATCGAAGCTGGAGACCCTTCCGCAGCGCTGCACGGCCCAGACCCTGGTCCATCCAGCCAGCTCATATTTCCTCCGCTCTCATCCCACCAAACGCTCATACACAGCACCATACCGCGATCTATTGCTTGTCCCATGCCAGTTGTGCCGCCGAGAGTCTTGAAGACGTTTGCGCCCATGGCTGCACAGAACTCGTCGTCTATGTAGTTCATCTTAGGGAGGCTTGACTTGTTGGTCGATGGGTTCTCGATCATCTTTCCGTCCTGAACGTAGAACCTATGTATAGCTTGGAGTTCTCCGGCGCTGTCGGTGGGGAACTGAGTGACCACTTTGAACGGACGAGTCGTATCGACAATCATGCCGAGCCCATAGTAGTTATTGGCACCTACATTGGTGGGGTTAAAATGACAGCCCGACTTGTCACATACACCGGACTTGCCGCACTCAGCACCTTGACAGGCATAGAGGCTAGTTATATTGCAAGTATGTGGCGCGAGATGAGTGGCTCTGGAGTTGGCTTCCCAGATGTCGAGCTCATTACAGCATGCTCCAGACCCTTTAATATTTGGCTATTGTCTGTGTTAATATACCATATGATACCCGGACAACTCTTTGTGGGGTGGTGATCAAGATAACTTACCTCGCCATTGATAAATGGTGGAATGTAGCATTGAGCGTCACAATACCCAGTGCCAAATGCCGGTCCGGCCTGGTTTATCTCACTTCGGCCTCCATCTTCCTCCATTTCCGAGAGGTAAAATGCGCCGTTCATTCCACAGGGTAGTTTGGATACATCTACATCGAAGCTGATTTCTTGCCCCAGAAGATGTAACATTTCATAGTTCTCTTCGTGCTCGTCGAGGAGATATACACGTGGACTGATCTTGGCCAGCGTGTCATCGCTGAGCATGTCAAGATATAGACGGTCACCATCAGCTTTCACACCCACTACAGAGTAGTTTGAGATGCTCTCCATAACACAGTTTGCTTGGCACGTGTCCACGTCAGGGCAGACAGTCTTGTTTGGGGGGCTTCCATTTGTACCGCAACCCAGATTGGGCGCATCGACCTGGTACAGAGGGCGCTTGAGCGAATCGAGGACTATCGCTGTCTTCTGCGGGTTGCATCCACCGTCTTTGGTGCATTTCCAGGTTGTAAGCTTCGGGTGGCGCTCACAAGAAGGGTTCTTGACGTGTTGGGAGTAGGCAACATGAGCTGCAATGAGGCTCAGAATCAACAGAGAGCGCATTGTAAATGAAACTGGGTGTGATCCGATCTAACCGCCCGTTGAGTTGTGACGAGATGTAAAATGAAAGAGCATCCAAGAGTAAGCAATCATCATATTCTCACCTGTACTGTTTATACAAATGACCTACAGCTAATAGACATTTTGCATCAACAACCCCAGACTTCACTATACCTTACCTTACCCCACAATCATCGCCACAGTCTGGGGTTTAGCTTACACGTGGGCCTTTTCGCTATTTGTTGCAATCGGGCCGATTACGCTGATCTCGGAGCAGATTTTCTCGGCTTCGGGCGAATGATGATTTTGCGGCAGCTCGTTGTTCAAGCTCGCTCCACTATGACTCGTAGCCTCGAATCCTGCCCAGGTTAAAGCTGCTAATAAACCTCAATAGTCTAAAGCAGCACAGAACGTATGGCAAGAGGGTCAGAAATTGTCTTGCTGTCAGTTTTCGAGCCGTTCACTTTGTCAATTCCGATCCAAACATCGACGCGAGCATGCCTCCATTACCAGGCTTTACAGGCAACCCTCTCAAGACTCGCGCCGATGTAGTGTATGCGGCCAAGGCAATTATCAGTCCTCTGGTCCAATACACCTCCCCAGGCTGTGCTTACGTCCGGTTGCCTGTAACATCTGGTACACTCTATGATGATAGAGCTGCCAGGCTCGAGGGCTTTGCACGCCCACTATGGGTGACGGGGTCTCTGCTGGCAAGTGGCGATTGCTGTGAAGAGCTGTTGGCAAGGGTTATTGCTGGATTAAGCAACGGCACAGACCCTAAGCACGCTGAGTACTGGGGTGATATTGGAGACAACGATCAGCGCATGGTCGAGACTGAACCAATTGCTTTTACACTCCTCTCGAGCCCACGGCATTTGCTCTGGGATAGACTAGAGGACTCTGTCCGCTCCAATGTTGCTCGGTGGTTTCTTCAACTAAACGGAAAGCAGATTCCCCGGGTGAACTGGCTGTGGTTCCGCGTCTTTACCAACCTTGTGTTGCTAAAGCTTTGCGAAGTCGATGACCTGAGCGTATGCCCACAAATGGACTTGGACTTGGAAGAATTAGATTCATTCTATTTGCAAGATGGCTGGTCTAGCGACGGCTTGTGGAGAAGTCCCAAGGATGACGATGATGAATGGCTGCTATTCCAACAAACAGGTCGTGTTCACAGTATCAAGCCAGATCGGTGCGTAGACTACTACTCGGGCAGCTTTGCAATACAATTCAGTCAACTCCTCTACATACGCCTAGTGGGAGAAAATGACCCACTGAGGACCTTGCGCTATCAAAAACAAGCCAGAGAATTTGGCTCTCAGATTTGGAGATACTTTGATGAACAAGGCAAGATATCAAGTTCAAATCACTTCGTATAAAATTGCTTACGTTAACTCTAGGTGCATCTATTCCTTTCGGGCGGTCCATGATATATCGTTTTTGTTGTGGAGCGTTCTTTGCAAGCCTCGCCATAGCTGGAGTTTCGGAGATGCCAACACCGTTGCTAAAACCTGGTGATGCCAAGGGATTCTTGCTTCGTCATTTACGATGGTGGGCTCGCAACTCATCAGACATCTTTCATCCAGATGGAATCCTAAATTTAGGTTGGCTTTATCCGTATGTACTACTTTTGTTGTTAAACACGATCATGTACTGACATAAACAAAGTAACATGTATCTGACAGAAGACTACAACTCACCCCAGTCTGTATACTGGGCACTGAAGTCTTTTGTGGCTATTATGCTACCGTCTAGTGAGCCATTTTGGGCTGAGGATGAGCAACCATACCCCCAACTTGATCCGGCTCAAACCGTGGCTTTTTTACATGCCCCGCGGCAACTACTTTGCAATGCTTCCAAAGGACATCACTTCCTCCTCTCCTCGGCCCAATTCACCTCACTGTACTGGAAAGGTGCCGCAGCAAAGTACAGTAAATTCGCTTACTCTTCTGCGTTTGGATTCTCTGTTCCAACTGGCCAGGCAACACTCCAACAACTGGCACCCGACAATATGCTTGCTCTGAGCAGAGACGGTACACAAACCTGGGCCACAAAGTGGAAATGTCACGAGCCTACATTCCGAGTGTGCAAAGTCCACTCGAGTGTAAGCCACATGGCGGAGGAACTCCAAGCAATGCAAGTTCTTTGGTATCCTTGGGATGATCGCAGCGTCTCCGTCACGACGACGTTGATACCACCTTCGAGAAGATGGCCAGACTGGCATATTCGCGTGCATCGTATCCGAGTCGAAAAGAACGGTCCTGGAGCCCTTTATACTGCCGAGGGTGGGTTTGCGATCAACGGCGAGCTGAAAAATTCCGGGCAATGGCTGCAGACAATCAACCCCAATATTTTAGATCATATTGATCACGGACATGACTTGCAGGGATATGTATCGGATACCGACTCTGCTGTCGTCTTCTCCGATACTAGAGTTTCAGGCATCACGGGTTTGGTTTTGGAAAGTCCAAGTACTGCTGGTGTCAGACAGACAGCAGCGGTATTACGACCTGAGGCGAACACTAACATTATGTCGGCTCGGTCACTTCTTCCATTAGTGGAACATGAAGTGACTAGTTTGAAACAGGGTGACGAACTTTTATTGTGTACACGAGTTTTTGCCATTGTTGACGACTCAGTTCTGCCGCACAGACCTAATGGGCATCGGTGGGATGCCTGGCAAGATCGCCCAGGCATCGGGACAAGCCTAGATAACTTGGAGGACGTTATTGATTTGCCGTGAAATATCCACATCAAGAATCTTTTACTTATATTATATAATTTTGATGCTATGGATCTGATTTAGGTTACTATATTGGGATAACTATCATAAAGCAGGTGTGCTGGCGACTTTACGATCTTCTCGTCGTAGTTCCTGGAGAACATCCTGAGTATTTTAAAGGCCTTGCGTGAGAGCACCATCAATGAACCCACGCTATCCATTTGTGCCCAATCTGCTGAAGAGAAGAAAACTTTACTATGATGGCTCTGCAGCTCATCCTGATGCTTGGTTATGAAACCACGTCGCCAGAAATCTGGACCTGCCTGTGAGTAAGGGTCGTTGTTGCAGTTATGGAAGACCTGGACATGTTAATACTAAGTTTAAGGGTCAAGTGCACCTAATAATTTAGAGGCTTACCAGCTTCTTGACATCTATCAGATAAAGGTTATAAAAAGCCTGAACGATTTTGTGAGTATATTGTTTGGGAATGAAGTAATCTCTCTTATCGGTACAAAAAGTTATGAGGTGGGCATCACTGTTAGGTAGAACCCTGTCGCCGTATGAGTAGAGAAGAACGTTACAATAGTATGCGCTATTCCAGGAAGCTATACCAGGTCCTTCCATAATTGCGTGAACTTTGCTCATGTAATTGATATAACCCGCCGTAACAGCTTCTTGTTGAAGAGATGATCACCCATCCATCATGAGGAGCACATATGCTGGAAGATGGGGCCAAAACAGCCTGGAACGACGGCCTGCTATTTCGAATATTAGGCCCGGGTATCCTTGATTGCGTTACAAATGCGAGCATGCTACAAAGGTCAATACGCCCGTGTCAAGGCTTCGCATCTTAAACGGACGGATCGACACACATCGCTCACTGGCAACCAGCGGGATGGTCCATGTTATTCCTCCACAACACACGTATCCAGCATCGGCGCAAACTCAATGAACTTTAAGACTTATCTAAGCCTGAGCCAAATTACACAATCTTTGTAGATGGGCTCCGAGAAACACCAAAGGGGTGTATTGGGTAAAATGAGGGCATCTGCAAATACATGGTGATGTTGAAAACCTCCGCCCGAAGTCCTCGTTCTCTGCTTTTATTTCACCAGTAGATATAGATAGCATTTTCACATCCGGAAAATCTTACAACTTGAAGCTATTGATCTTAATTTCCAGCTAACGAGATGAAGCGATTGATTTTGATTCCCAACTACAATTTCTTTCGCACGTAGGTGGTTCAAGTTACCTACAACAATAATACCCTCTTCCTATCTCGTACAGATCCCCGTAGATGCCGGGTAGCAGTGGCTTGAACATTCAAGTTGGGGTGCAAAAAGGACTTCGTCCGTTCCTTAGATCCGGCAGACTTGCATTGGAGATCTTAAAGCTCCCGTCACAACAAGTGCAGACCCACGCCCAATCAATCAAAGTTCTCCTTGCCCACGACCATTAATCTGCTCGGCCACAGCGTCAAGCCAAGCTGCCATACGATAACCAGCCCGAGCGACTTGTCTCTCGATAACTGGCCAGGCTTGATCATAGTAATTTTCGCTAAGCTCTTTTCCTCTGATTTGGTCGGGACCGAAACCACGCGGGAAAACTGAGAACATGTAAATGAGGAGTAATTCAAGAGAGTAAAACAACATATAACGGCGATTCTCACCATTGCTGCACACCAGCTTGTTTGTTTCTTGAGACCAAATCATCGCGGTCCCGTTTGGGTTCCTCACGTCCAAATATTTCAGCCACTCGCGCCTCTGATCCGCGAACTCTCCATCTGTGATTTTTCTTGCAAGCTGGTCCGCCCATCTGGAAGCACGGTCTGCGGGCCTACCTCCAAGCTCCTCGGTGAGTTTCTCGGCAATCTGAGTATCCCACACCTTATGCAATGTCCTGTCCGAGGATTCCCAACGAACGTGAAACTGGGTTCCCCCTTGGGCAACGTCTTCGTTGTGTAGTGGCTGATGCAAGTCCCCTATGAAGTGCACAAGCAACTTCACAGCTTGGTTGATGCCCCCATTGCCCGTCGCAGGAGCCAAAGCCTGCTCAGTGTATTCAGCAAGGGCACTTATCACGCATCCTTCTTGCTTGCAATCCCGCGCATAGTTGACATTGCAGTTCCCGTTTGCTAGATCGTCGTGAGCATCGATGAAATGGTCAGTGCGGCGGCTGTTTCCAGGTCTGTCCGCCCATGTTGCAATACTAGCCAAGTAATCCTCGTCGTGGTTGTGAAGGAGATCTTTCAAATACTCTGCAGTCGCTTCAGAGACAAAGTGACTGGCGACCCACGCTGTGGTGTCATGACCAAGGACTATTGCTTTTAGTTACTGCCTACCTAGTTCATTGAAAGAACGACGGTGTTTGACTTACCTCCCCAAGCGGTGACACCAGGCAGATACAAAAGGCTGAATAATACGTAAATAGGTGAAAACATCATTGTGGGAGTCGTAGTGTGTGATGACACAAGGAAGGGCCATTCCCCCCTCTCCGAGAACCTTCCAAGCATTATAAGCATCCAACCTTTATAGCTGTATAGAGCACAGCATGTGATAATTTGAGGGGAACTTCGAAATTGACACACTATCCTCGTTCTGGAATCCAACTGCGGACTAATTGCTCAGCTGAAATGGTGGCGTTCCCAATATTCGCCATGGTGTGAATAGTAATTCTAGCTCACATCCTTATTCGACTTTGTGGCTAGAATTTCTCAGCTCCCGTGGTACAAGCGTCACAGCGTTGGCGTATATTAATGTTTTGAGCAGGTCTAGACCGCATAGGAGGAATGAAGGCGTTTGGTCGGCTGGATGTATCGCGCCTGTGTCTAACCTCCATTGTCGTGTTCCATTGAGCCATATAGAATACTAGCAATATATATTCAGCCCTTGGTCTATACCCAGCTGGAGCGTGTATACCTTGAGGAAGAGTGCTGGACCTAAAGTATTCACTGGTCTTATTTTATTCCTTTCTTTTAATAGCCGTCTCATGTCAATCTAGTGGCATTCAAACAATGCTTTCCGGGTCCAAGAAGCACTCGCGGATTGTCGGAGATGTCAAATAGGATTGGCTTGGAATGGGACGTGTGCAATTCTAGCTAGGCCTATTAACCCCATTCTCGAGAATGCGTCAACCTCCGGATGCCCACGGGGAACTGGAAGAGGACCCGATTGGCTTGGCTTCTCGCACTAAAAGTACCTAAAGTTAGGATGCTCGCTTTCGCAGGAGAAGGTTCAAAGAGTTTATGGTTTTCATTTGCCATTAAACCTTATTTAAGAGTGTAATATCTTAAGTGCCAACAGATGGTTCAACGGGCCCTTGGCCATCCACGTTGTCCAGGTTGTCCCAGACGTTTACCCATTACATCACACGCTGACAGAAGAATAGATACTGACCAAGCCTGCGGCTGTTGGGAATGAAGCACTAGAACTCGGTGATATTGGCCAAAATAACATACCTATAATATCATCCCCAGGAAGCTCTTGGTCAAGAGCCGGCTCTTCGTAGTCCATGATTGTAAGTTCTATTGCTCACCGTCAATGTTGTATCGGGGGGATGAAGGACGGCCCGAAGTTCCACAGACAATGGCGATCCGATGACCCGTCAGCACTGCCAACGGCTCTGAAATCGGTGGCTTTGCAGTAAGACATCTACTGCAGATGGCAAATGCAACGTCGGGTGTCTACTAGGGTTTTTAATTGCATGCAAAGCACAGCTCGGGTCCCGACGACACCCGAGCTGAAGCCGACGCTGCACGTAATGCGTGAGATGTACGTCGGGACCCGAAATCTTCTCAAACCAACAGTTCATAGCTCAGTGGACCATAATCTAGATACACGAGACGCCAATGAGAGCTTTCTATTCCTAGCTGCACAAAATACTTGATGATTGGGCCAGGCACCCGTGTTTTATGCGAAGGCTTATTTGGGAATACGACGTTGCCTCGTTGAATGCCTCGCTGGTGGAGAGAGAAGGGCATGAAATTTACTTTCCCAAGCCATCTCTGCAGAGAGTTCACTGGCAATCAAGTTTTTCACCGATGACTAGCTCCTTTTCCATGGTGGAATGGTCATTTTGGGTGCAAAGGATGCAAGGACTCTCGCGCAGTAACATACCGTATTAATTAATCGACAAACAAATGCAACTCCCAAATCCCAACTCATCCTGACTACGCTTATGAATTCGGGTGGCAACCTCACGCTATTCATTTGCTAGAATCCTTTGCAGGGACTTCTGCCGCAAGGTGAGCCTGTCCAATGCGTACCAAATCCTCATTTAGCAGGGTATCTTTTGTGAACCCCTTGATCGTCTGGTCCAGAAGTGCAGCGGCGGCATCTTCCACATTGACCTTGGGTAGCCCGACGAGGGAACGCAAGAAGGCTCTTCCTACCTTGGCTACTGGATTGATTTTATTTGGGTCCTCAACGATACCGGTCTTGGTCACTTGTGCCTCGACAATGCCGTTGGATTCTTTGGCGTAGGTTAGGATTTTGGTCTCAGCGTCACCCTGAAAATAAGGGTGAGATTCTACTTCATCAGAACGTGGGGGGACAATACAGGATTCGCATTGCAGAAATGAACGAGGGCATTACGCACCCGCATAAGAAGATAATCTCCCATCAAGAGTGGCTTTTTTGCCTGGTTGCGCTCCGCATTCGACCCGCTCATGTATATAAATCGGAGAGGCTGGGTCTTGCCTTCGCGTGGCAAGTGTGTGATTGTCTCGATGCCCTTGACTGCGTAATCGCGCGAAATGGTACACGTCTCTTCCCATGTAACTGTCTTGAGCTTTGACGGGGAAATTGCTATGGTCCTAGGCAAGTCTGTCAGTAGACGAAGGCAAGATTCACGTTTCGAGTAAAGGCCATAGCTACCAGATGACGGCATCTGCGCCTTCGAGCTCCTTCTTCACATTATCTGGATAGTTCAAGAAGTTTTCCAGCACCACAGACTGAAGCTTCGACTCGTTGGAGTGGACTCCTAGGCCTGCGGGCGCGATTATTTCACGGCGGCCGAGAGCAACAATCTTGGTGATGTCGGGGATCGATAGCGCCTGGCGAATGACCTCGGTGGCCACGAAGCCCGTTGAACCGGCAACGACAATCTTCATGTTTGATGATTCCTGTAGATGTTGAGCTGTGCTGTGGACACGTAGCCGCGTATCAAGGACAAAGGAGGGGGGAGATCGCGTCTTCTTTGTCTCGTGGTGCGGGAAGACGGAATTAATCATTCCACATAAACACAAGCTGGCAGTGCCCGCATCAAAAACGCCACATGAGACATGCATCTCACGATTGGATCGGGTACCTGTCGTCGGTAGGGCCGCAGCAGAGTAACTAACCAACTCCCGGATTACAGGCTTCCGTTCGGAACGGCTACGTTACACCAAGAGCGAATGATAAGGTCCATGCGATGGCAATGTTTGTTATTCATCTTGTAAAGGGATTATACAGGCCGGAAATACCACTGTTTCCCGCTACCAATTCACAGCTTGAGGGGCCAACGGGAAGGGTCACGGTTCACAAACCCTAAAGGTGGCATCAGGGCAGCAAGTGCATGCTGGATTCAATTACAGCGTAATGCGTAGGACCTGGCCGCCAGAACCATCTCCACCAGTTCCGACGTACACAGACTTGCCGTCTCTAGCCAGAGAGACCGATGTTGGGTCTTTGACCAGAGTGCCGTTGAACCCGCCAGCTAGAGTCGTCTGGACGCCTTTTCTCGTAACGCGGTTAACCGACGAACCATGGACCGAGAGGTACGCGTTCCCCTTGCAGTCGATGTCAAAGTCATCATACAAGTTACCTGCCATGCTCACATCATCCAAGGATGCAATCTCTTCAATGCTGCCTATATTGTTGCCCAACGAGTCGATGGGAATCCGCGCGAATATGCCTGTCGCCGAGTTGGTGAAGTAGAGATGACTGCCCCTTATCTTCAGGCCGTTGGCTCCAAGTGGGATACCGTTACCTGAAGGTCCGAGTGCGTCGCTAGTGAAGGCAACATTGACCTCTTTCGTGCTTGTGTTGATGCGAAACATGCGACCTTGGATTGAGTCAACGCTCAGGACAATGCTTGGGTTGGCGGGTATCGAGTCCATGCCATTCAACATTTGCGTGTCGGGCACTGGGATAGTATCCAATAAAACTCCCGTCTCCTTCTCCGCGTCTACTTTAATAACGTATACAGCCATGGTGCCATTCTCAAACATGAATGGCATGTGTATGCCGCCCGTGGCCGCATATACATCCCCGCGAAGATGAGCAATGCCAGTCAGCCCGTTACTTCCTGGTAAAGAGACTAGGCTCTTGAATGAAGGAATTGTCTCATTAGGGTCGAGGATCAAAAGGTCCCCTGAGAAAGGTGCGTCCATGGTGGAAAGGAGGATCTTGCCAGAGGGAAGGACATGGAGGTTCTCGACAAATGTGGTCGCATCGTTGAAATTGAAGATCTCGGTAATGGATTCTTCGGTCTGGGCCAGCTCGGCTCTCATTAACATCAACAGAAATAAAAGGTAGGAAAGCATGACTGCTGGTGGAAAGATGCGGTGGAAAGACGAGGTGGAATGTGTCGAGACGAGGAAAAAGGGCTGTGGAGGGATGATGTGTGACGAAGAGAGAGTGGCAGCCTCGGGAAGGAGGGCGCATGAGCCAGTTTATCAAGTGAGTAAGATGCCAGTTGAGCATGGTCCAAAGGGCAATTTCAAACAATAAAAACACGAGGTGAAATATGAAATGGCTTGGGTTCTTTAGCTAGACCTTTGCCGTCACATCCCCACCCTGACTTTGGCCCGTAATGAGCAGGAGAATGAAATAGACAAGAGACAAGATCACGTACCATCTTATATTCTCTGGCGTGAAGAGCCGCTCCGTCAGAGTGTGGTGAAGTAAGATAGATTTGATCAAGGTCGATGGGATCAACTGATGAGTTCGTTTGCGTGCTTCTGCCAGGGATCACACATGCGCCACTCGTTCAGATCTATGATCAGCTCTACTAGAGAAACTATGTTGTGTTCAGTGCATCAGGTGGTGGGTCGCATCGTAGGAACAGAAGAGGGGGGGAAAGGGCGCAATAATCTGGGCGGTTTTCACCGGATAGCTGAGCGCTACCCCGCTTGTAAAGGAAATCCAATGTTTACGTAGGGACGGAGCTGACCAACCAACTGCCTGTGTTACGCCGCCAGTCATGTAGAACAATAACACGAATGCTGATGGGGAAGTGGTCTGGGTAGTAGTGACCGCCCAAACCAGCCTACCCTATAGCTGCTGTTTTTTATCTTTTTTCATATACTACTATGTAAACCTTCTCTTCTCCTCTTTAATACTTAAGCATGAGAGTTAATGTATAATTATAGTTACTAGTTTATTATTAATAGAATTTCTTTATAAAATTTATATTTTTTTTTTCTATATTTATATATTAACTCAACTAAAGTAAAAGTAAATACACTCACAATCAACGTATTCAGAATCTTTACTCTCACTTTTAGATTTTTGTGTATTTAATAGAATCAATTATAATATAGGGCTTTTGGTATAAGGTTGGTCCATTCCTACCTCCGACCACCCCCCACTCACCCTCTAAATTTGTCGGGGACCAACTTGTATGCGTCGGGGATCGGGTGTCTGTCTCTAATGCATGCCTATTCAGCCTGGGAGCCTTCGTGTGCTCCACATGTCGGCCATGAAGATGCCAATCCGATAGCGCAAACTCATTGGTTTCTAGGAAATGCAGAGTATTTAGGGTTGCGCAAGCGTGAAGAAACGCCAGGTCAGAGTATTCCTTGGCCAGTTGAAGAAGCCGGCCGCGTCTTTCCCTGTTGGCCCGTATTACCTGGTCACCAACAAGATCCATACTCGCAGAGAGCCCGTCGACATCCTACCAGGATGGAGTGGGTATCTTTCCCCTCCAGTCTATGCAACGCAACCACCTTTACGTTTCCCACCATTGCTGGTGTTGAGTTCCTCAGCATCGAGGCATCCTTGGTGCAGAACCTTTCGCGATATGTCTCAGACTAAGACTACTTCAATAACCCAGAAACTTTTGTCGAGGACGCCACTTTCTGCAACCTCACCCCATCCTACACACACCATGGTCAAGACGACGTCTTGTTCATGGAGTCGTGGCTGTATATTCCCTGGAATAGCCGTCTACAGGCCGTCGGCGGCGGCGGATGGACAGGCAGCCGGACTGAGTTGGCCATCTCCAAAATGGAGGGAGCCATTGGAAATGCGTGATATGTACACTCTATTCACACCTACCGACAACAAAGTGCAGGAACTTCATTGGATGTTCTCGGGGCGGACGCCAGGGACTAGAACTGGCACAAAGATATCCAGACGCATACGATGGACTTGCGGCTGCGACTCCGGCCGTGTACTAGTCACAGTTCTTCCAGGCAATGCTCTGGGCTCAAATGGTCATGAAGGAGATAGAAGAGTACACACCCGACTGCGGGCTTGACTACCTTCAGAAAGCCCTCATCAAAAAGTGCGATGCAGACGACGGCATCGAGGACGGCATCATGTTGGACCCTCCTAAAGGCCAGTTTGAACCGTTTTCTGTCGTCGGGACAAGGTTCTCCTGCAGCGACACTGGAACAGATATAAAGGTCAGCAGCGGAGCGGCAACGATTTTCGAAGCGTACCACGCAGGGGCCAAAGATCCGGACAGGAACTCTCTCTAGCACGGCCCCCAATACGGCTCCAATCTTACCAGGACAATTTTCGGGTCACCTGGATTGGCTGCTACGACATGCACTGAAGAGGCATGCGTTGGGCGTCCCTTTGAGTTTGGACTCTTCTGGACCGGCCTATTTGGAATGAAGGATCCTACGTGGGAATTTACTGATATAACAATGGACTAGTTCAACCCCTCTCAAGGCACAGAGCAATATTATAATGAATTCTGGAAGAGAGACGAGAATATTCATGACTTCTACAAATTAGGTACTATGAGGTTCCAGGCCTCGGCCACTGCTACGGCGGCAACGGCGGCCAGCGAACGGGGATATTCGAGGCGCTGCGTGCCTGGGTGGAAACAGACAAAGTCCCAGAGAGCTTGGTTATTGATGTGCCACGACAAACAGCGACAGAGAAGCGTGTAATATGCCCGTACCCGCCCTAAGCACGTTTCAGACATGGGAATGGCAAAGAAGAACTAATTATGTTTTACTGTTCAGAATGAACACTTGCAGGTATCAAACAAAGTATAGGATTTGGTCTATAAGGGGCAGTTCAAGAAGGAAGAACACCATCTTTCTCTAAACGATTCGGATTCTATATCATACTTATGCATTCCGTTGTGGCTTTAACACTACATTTGGCAAAATTCTCCTATTTCAGCAATTAACTCATCGATAGAATTAGCAAGAAGCTGGCGAAGAACCTCTTGGTATGATGTCGCGGTGGCGGAGTTCACAGACCGGCCTTGAGCACTCGCATCTGCGCAGCTTTCCGCGGATCCGGGCCTATGTCTCGGGTTCCCCAGCGCCTTTACCAGTCTCTTGAGAGTTTCCAGCTCATACTTCAGAAGCTGTGAGTTGAGGCGCCGTGCTGTGAGCATGTCCACCCTGAATTCGTTGAACTGCACAGGACTGAAATAGAGACCACCAGGGTTAGAATGGGGCAAGTATGGTGGTTCCAGCCCATTTTGGCGACGATCTGTGCTCATGTGGTTTTTTTCCGCGATGCATTCAAAGATCGACCGGTAGATGTTGAGCATACGGTGACATGTTGTGTTGAGAAGTAGATTCAGATCAGCATCAGCCGCGCAGTTATTGCAATTCCTGGATCCAATTTGATTCAACGTCTGCAAAGCGCCGCGGTTGACCTTCAAGGCCTGGTCGGTCGACACGCTTTCGACGGGTAAGCCCAGTCCCCTACTCAGGTCGTCTCCCTCTGCCCGTGTCTGGGACGGGTTAACCCTGAAAAGACACGAGCCCAGTGGTATACTGCGTAAGCTAGATAAGGTATCCAGTACCATTTCATAACAAGAGCGAACAATAGCCGAGGCCATGCTAGGGGTTGCGAGGGAGTGGATGCCAGAGTCGGATTCGTGCCCCCATCCGGCAGTCCTCGTAGTCGCTTCAACCAGATAAGATGGCTGAATAACATTCTCTACTCTAGTTGGCGAGTACAAGGAGCTTGGTTCAGTCTGGCTGACGGGCATGAGGGCATGTGGGTATGTGTCTCTGGCCGGAAAATCAAGATTGAAAAGGCCAAGGTCAAGGCTATTTTCAAAGGAGAACTCGGTAGTTGGAGGAGATTCACCTCGATCGACACCCGGAGACGAAAGCTCCATGTATTGGGGGTAACTGTGCTGGGTGCCCGGTTGTGGCTGCGTCGAACCACCCCGCGACACTGGCGAGCTGCTGGGCTCTTCCTCCGCGACCGGTGTCGGCTGAGACGCTGGCTCAGCCGGAGCCTCTTGTCCTTCTGGCCGCCTTGATTTGTTGCTTGAGGGCCTCCCTTTCCAGCGGTAGGGGCTGTAGACGCATGTGAGGCCGGGCGTTCTGCACCTCCCACAGGTCGGTGTCTGCTTGTCGCAGCGGATCTTGAGCGCCGTGCAGCGGTCACAACTAGACCTCAGCTTCTCGGTTCCGGATCTCTGAGCCATAGCCATCACCCCACGTCCAGAACCTTGAGCGCTGATATCTGAGTCTGGGGTTTGTGATGTTGGTGTGAAGCTGGATACTGAGCAATTGGCATATTTACTTGGCGTAGCCTGAACTGAGGTGTGCTCCCAAGAGCGCAACGGTCAAATTACAAGGCCCATCCGATCAGTTCGTATTTTGGCCAGTTTATCGGTGAGGTTCAGGCAAGAGATGTTGGACATTAGTGCTGCTAGGGCCCTGATTTGATCTGACCTGACCTGACCTGACCTGAAGCTATGAGGGGGAAATTGAGGGGATCGGCTGCGGCTCGGCCTAATAAAGTGTATTACTACTACAAAAGTGCAAAATGTGCGCCGGAGCCATGTCATGTTGGTCGCCTTGCACGACAATGCAGCTGCAGCCATTCTATCCTGTTGGCAGTCATTAGTCAGGGTTTCATGTATCAGCCTATTCGCAATATGCCAAATGCGGAAAGACACTCCGAATATTCCATTTATCGAACAGTATAGATATTCTTTTGGTCTTGTTACTTGGTTGTCACACCATTGAACAGTCAACGGCTAGCCCAGTATTCCGTTGAAGAAGTTGAACAGGCCCTTGGGATCCCAGCGCTTCTTCAGTGTCGACAGCCTTTCCATATTGCCCTTCGTATACCAAGCGTGTTGTCCTTCATCCCCATGGGCGTAGTTGACGTACGTCTCCAATCCCGGGTTGTTGCTGCCTCCTGCCAGCTTTTCTCGAGCGGCCAACGCATAGCTGTTGGCCAGGGACTCCAGCCCGTCGCCCAAGAGAGTGAATGACTGGAATCTGTTCCATGAACGTTAGATTACATCCCTCCCATCAGTTTGCCGGATAACGAATGGGTGTTTTTTTCTCTCTATTTTTTTTCTTGGATCGCGACTCACGAGTATGCGGTTGCATGCCGATAAGGGAAAAGCAGTTGCAGCGTTAGGTATCCCCGTCACCACACGCTTTCGATTAAATTCGGTAGCAAACATTCCCAGACGCATATCCGGCTCCTGCTGGTACATGTTGGAAGAAAATTCGAAGAGATCCGTGACTGTGCGTACATCATACGCGTACATATTCAATCCGTACATGGCCTGCTTGTTGTCCTTGACGCCGCCAAAGGCATCGGCACCAAATCTGTTTTCTTTGATGATGCGATTCCAAGGGACAACTCTGGCATCCTGGACCTGTGGCTCAAGGTCCAGGAAAGGCTGGTTGGTTGCTCTACCGACCTGATCATGATGACAGGCTACAGAAGCTTGTCAGCGGGCTGCGGGCGTTTCAACTGGACACGTGCGAGTTCCGCTTACCGCTTCATAATCCGCCGACCATTGAAACACCTTGATAAATGAAAATTCATCTGGTTGAGCTTGTAAAAGCGATGAGATTGTCTCAATCAACCTGACATTTTGCGATGCCTTGAACAAGTAATCAGCAACCAAGGCCTGGCCATCATTACTGTAGTCAGGTCATGGATTTTGTAGGTTGCCGATGTGACGATTCCGAAATTAGCACCTGCTCCCCGAACAGCCCAGAACAGATCCTGATTCTGAGTTGCAGAAGCTTCAACGACCTCACCACTTCCAGTGACAATATTCACTGACATCAAAGCGTCGATTAACAGCCCGTGGAGGCCTTGAAAAGTCTCTACGCCAGCTCCTAGGGTTGCTCCCACCGCGCCAACGCAGGAGCAGAATCCCGTCTCTATCATTCGTCAGCTTTGTTTCGCCTCATGATTTGGCTAAGGGATCACGAACGAATCTCTTTACCGGCCTTGTAAAGTGGATCGAGAACTTGTGCAAATGTCACCGCTCCTCCGATCGTCAGCGTGCTCTATGAGGCGTCCACAGTGACTGAGTTGAACAGGCCTAGGTCAATGTCTATTCCAGACGTCGTGGTAGTATACCCGTGACCGCCGCCGGTCCCCATAACTGAAATGCTTTGATTTGACGCATATTCGATCTGTTGCGCCCCTCGTGTCCCGTGCATTAGCCAAGACGTTTAAGAATACAAGAGAAAAGAGTACTGGGTGGGAAAGGATCATCCATACGACTTGTAGCACATCGACAGCCGTGGCCGGCTTCACAGTGACCACGTATGTTGGAGGCCCAAGGCTGTTCCATCTTGGGGTGATCTTCTCTGCATATCCGCTATCCTCCGGCAGGTAAGCCTCGGAGCCATTAGATAAATTCTCTTCAAAATACAGCTTCATGTCTGTCGGGGATACTCTTTTCACTAAACGATGAATTAGCTTCGGGGTGTCCCAACACATGATGAGTTTGTTTCATATCAGGCTAGTTACCAGGCTCTGCATAGGCGCCTAGGGCGAGTGAGACGAGAGCACAGATGAGCAACTCCATTTTTCTAGTCTCGTGCGAAGCAATTACGATCTTCACCTGGAAGAGCGTGAATTTGCAGCTACAATGGTTGTACTTAATGTTATCAAACTGTGCTCTGGCTGGCCCCCGCTGGAGGCATGCAAGGGCCCGCATACATGGTATGAGCAGTACGACAGGTCTCATAGAACAAGTAGACTTCTTCAAGTGTCTTTGCCGTCCAAAGTCGGCTCCCGAGCACTGACACAGCGTGCACATGGCTGTAGTCCGCGATCTCAGATTCAGCTAGGTATAATGGGGGCTTCAAGCCCATCCCAAGCACATAGCCTCAGCTTTCTTATTGCTAGCTAGGACGTAGAAAGCTTACAATTGAAAATGAGTTACATTGACGTACATCACCATGTTATAACACCGGAATATGCCGCTGGTAAGACGCCGCCTATTGGACCAATGTGCTTTTAGGCGCTCACTAATCTCACGCTGTAGCATGGAAGGCCTCTGGCAAGATCCCTCCCAACCTAACATTACCCTCATGGTCCGTTGAGCTAGATCTTGCCTTCTTAGACCGCACCGGCATCAATGTGGCGATGCTCTCGGTCAGCGCGCCGGGGGTGGAGATTGCGTCGACTCCGGAAATGGCAAAATCAATGGCCCGCCAATTAAATGAGCAGGCAGCCGGGATTCGAGACTTGCATCCAGATAGGTTCGGCGTCTTCGCGACGCTGCCCCTTCCAGATGTAGCAGGCGCCGTCGAGGAAGTGCAGCATGCCCTCGATGTATTGCGGGTGGATGGTGTGATCCTCTTGACAAGCTACGAAGGCAAGTATCTTGGCCACGAGAGCTTCCAGCTGCTGTGGGAGGAACTCGATCGGCGTGAAGCCGTCGTCCTCATACACCCAACGACAGCCAAAAACTCAGGAGAAGGTCACGACCCCCTAATGCCTCGGCCCATCATTGACTTCCCACACGAAACGACGCGAACGGCCGTGCACCTCATCACAACCAAGACGGTCCGCAAGTATCGCCATTGCAAAATCATTCTTTCCCACGGGGGTGGCACGCTGCCATATGTGGCCTCAAGAATCGCCCACCAGGCAGCCGATGTGGGGCTCTTGGACATGACAGCGGCGGAATTCCTTGAGGACGCCAGATCCTTCTACTTTGACTTGGCGATTACGAACTACGAGGGCCCTGTCTCCTTTGCCGCCAAAGATCACATACATATTGTGGGAGCTTCAAAGATCTTCCCTCGCTTTTATGTACAAAGACTCCACTTAGCTGAGGTTGATCAATAGATCACAATACATAAGGTAGTAACAATAAGACCTCGCCGTCTATTCACACCCCTCTACGTTCAGGTTGCCATCCAAAATGAAGAGTCGGGACCTCGGGTGATCTAGGCAGACCTTCAAAAAGCTTGTATCTTGCGTAGAAAGATGGCTAGACTGGGTTTAGAAATATGTTGCTCAGCTACCCGCATCAGGACTCCAAATCTCCTGCAGTCTCCGAGGGTCCTTCAAAAATGGGACATGAGGAAGGATCCCAGAGACATGTAATGACTGCCCGTCCTGCAGTGAGTGCACCCTTCATGTTCAAATGCTTCTCGGGTCACGACATGAGGCATTTCCATGTACATGAATTTCCGTAGTCTAGTGCTTTCTCACAGACCTCCGTGGTAGCCTAATTGGATTCCCGCTCCTACAGGTGGGTTAGCATCCCATCTTCACCACGTCAAGTTCCAGCCATCCATTTAACTAGGGTGCACCCAAAGATGAATCTAGCTCAGGATAATGATACGTCCTAGCTATATATTTCAAGTACAATGATAGGGCGGCTTCGTCGCCTATATAAGACTTTTCATGGCTTTGTTAATGAAGACTGTTATGGTCTTGGCTAACAGGAGGGATCGAGAGACCTATGAATGCTGCATAATAACTTAACCGCGTCCTAACCACGTTATAATTTTCTATATACTAAGAAGCTTTAAATACTTCCCTTGTCTCTCTTGTACGCAACTTAGAGCTATATAGCAGAAGTTCTTCCCAAAACTAAAGTGAGACCTTCGGAGGACAACGCGAGCTCTACCCAACGTATGTTCTGTGGGATAATTCCGGTCGTCGTTCAGTCTCACCCAAAGAGCTAGATGCTGTTGATACAAAGTTTCAAATGAACCTGGCAAGGTGTCAATTTAGTCATATTCGATAAATTCCACAAACTGAAACACCTTTTATTCTTCCTATCCCGCCTGGTTTGGTTATTTTGTACAAATGATTCGCACCCCAGCCACTAGAAGCGCAAGAATTCCTACCGTAAGATGGACAACGGCAGCTGATTTTTTACATCCTGCAACCCATATTGATCCTTCAAAATATGGATACCGTATCGAACTGTCACTGGCATGTTCCTCCATTGTCTCAATCTCGGCACCAAATGGGAACTCGTTTTCTTCTAGAAGACGAATCTGCTTTCCCGACGGGTTCCACCCTGTCATGGTCGCTCGTACGAGTAAACTGGTGCTGGCTAGCAGGCTACGACGGGGACTCGACATGTAGGAATCGATGAGAGCTCTAGTAAGCGGATGTGAGGCATCTGTTTCTTCAATGGTAATAAGGCTGTCCTCCCTTGATCGTATCTTGATGAGAACCTGGTGGAGGGAATGCCAATCGTCGGGTATCCTGGTGTATTGGTGGGAACACTTCCAAGGCAATTCTTCAGATGGATGGCTGATCTTGCGAGGTCCGTCAATATACCGTTTCACCTCAGCTACAGCGTAATGCATATCATACGTTATTCGCTGGATTACTGGCTCTGATGGATCAGCACTGTCGTTGGTGAGCCATTCTCCGTGTTTGGCCCACTGAATTTGAAGTGTTCCGGGATCCCCAACACGGTACTCAATGACAACCCGAGGCCTCAGTTCACCAATTAAGATATTTATCCCCGAATCTATACGATTCCAACCATCGGCAACTCTTCTCATCCGGAAGTCGCCCTCGTCTATGGTCATGTTGGCCACCATAACAGTTTGGCGACTGGTCAGAGTGCCAACCACGAATTCGAACGGCACACAAACAGTCAAGGTACTGGCCATGATAACAGCCGCAGGTGGGCTGTGTAAATATTCTGGCCAATAATGCATGGCCCCATAACCTGTTGCGAGGCCTTCATACCCGGTCATCTCGTCCCCGAAAGGGCTTTGGTGCATGAATACCGAATTCTCTTCGCCCCCCGGCTTATCCCTCAGCCATGCTTCAGGAAGCCTATGAGATTGTTTCATGTAAGTCTGGGTTGAGTCGGAGGCTCCGATATCCGATGGCGTCGAGATATCAATGGGGTGCATATCAATTCTCTCCCTAGGGATATTTCTGATCACGCGAATGCCGACCTTGGTAGCACCAAAGTGAAACCCAAAGCCAGCTACACAGAGAAGAATCGCAATGGTGTATTGCAGGGTCCGGTAGCGCGGGATATGTTGCACCATTAAAGATTCGACCGCCTCCCGAAGCGAATGGAAATTAACCCCGTGATTACCGCCGGCTGCCTGGCGTGCTTCATGGCTGGCCTTCCAGTCTCGAAGGAACCCGTGCACAAAGGCAAGTCCCTTCCAAATCATGCAATAACCAGTGGAAATAATAATGACCCATGTCTGAAGCTCGAGGTCGCGACCAATGGCGAAATAGTCACTCCGTCGATCCCAGTATTGGAGTACCTCATCAGTGTTGACAAAATTATGCGGGATGAGAAAAAAGTTGATTCCGACAAAGGTGAGAATGGCTCCACCACTGATCAGGCATGCCGCGGAGTGGATTACAGTCAGTACGAGCCCAACACAGATGGGAGCCAAAAACCAGGATGTCTTGGCATAGGACTGGATGACCCATAGCCAATAATAAAAGCCTGCCATGGCTTCTGACGATCCAGGGAGCTTGAGAGGAAGAGTAGAGGAAGATCTTGATTTTCCCTTATACCTCTGGGAAATGACCTACATTTTTGATAACGATAGCTCATATATGAAACTGATATGCCCCACATCCAAGTCTGGGCATTGGGTAGGCAACCAATACTTGGAGCCGGTTGGAGGGATTTCTTACCTATCTCCACTACACCCTTGCTGTTCGCACGTATACATACGAGCAGTACCTCTGCTAGGTGATATTTCCAAGAGCTCACCTGACTTGGGCCTCCCCGCGCATGCACCCATCAAGAAAACACACCGAAATAAATTGTCCCCCCCGCCGGACTGCTGAAAAAGAACAGGTCCGCTACAGCCGAATAGCACATACATATTAAATCTCCCTGTCTCGCTTTCCCTGAGACCATGCCGATACGCCCGTATGAGCCGGAGGAACATTTTTACGAGTGTATTAAAGAATCTACCCAAAAATTGTCTGATAAAAATAATCCTCTTGGTTTGGGGCACGCATGGGGGAAGTGTCAACTTGGTGGTTATATCGTAGGATGTTTTTGAAACTGTGCCCATAGACCTGAAGGATCTTACGTGATTGAACTAGTCTTGGATCTTTTGTGGAGCGGTGTGGTCTGATTCTGCCGTGAGCATTATGTCACAAAAATAAATGAAATGTTGGAAAACTGTTCAGCTGGAATAGGGTATCCTAGATAATCAATGATCATCACGGTCCAACGTCAAGCCCTACAAACACTCGCGAGAATATCTAGCGGCGAGTGTGCATCATCTAAATGACCTATCGACTTAGGTGGCTTGAATTCCGAGCTTTGGCTTGTTGCGGTTTTTTTGACTCCGTTAAACCATTAACTACATCAACGATTATTCTACGAGTAAGGAATACCAAGCCTTGAAATTTGAACATGGCAGCCCTGTGTCCAGATGCTGAACAACAAACTGCAGTATCGGTCCCCCCAAGGGCCTTGAAAGATCTAAAATCCCCGATATGGGTTCTGCAACTTTGACTGACTTGACTGACAATAAGATAAGCACAACATATTTATCGCTAATCGCCCAGTCAGGTACCCACGATGGCCTCGATGACTCGGGCGGCGGGTATGAATTAAAGCGAAGGATATAATATGTAGAGACTTGCAGTGCGTAATAAAGGACTTATTGAAACGACAGCATGCCTCCTGGCTGCTGCAGGAGTAATCGACGTCCAGAAGGAAGCTATCATTTGAAAGAGCCGTCAGGCCATATAGCTGATCCCGCTCTATAGTAGCATCCTTAGAGCAAAATTCGCCAGCCAACGCTAAGAGAGACAAAGTGGGATTGATAGTTGTATTTGATACAGCCGTGAATAGCTCCTTTACTATTTTGTGATTGAAGCCATAGCGGAAGCCGGGGGTTTCTTTAGTAAGGGCCAAAGTGCACTTGTCCTCAGCCCATAGAGCAATGCACATGGCATTCCCGTAGATGGCTCTCACTCCACAACAGGAAGAGCCCCTTGGGGTTAGCACAAATTCCTGTATGGTCCAGATCCTAGACCGCTATCCCCAGGCAAGAATACCTAATGGTCAGAGCAGTCCATTATTCCTGGTGCAGGTCTCTCTCTAGCATCATGCGTACCTCAGCAGCGGTGCGTCTCTCGCATCCGATCTTATCGAGAAGTTCAATAAATTCAAAAGCGACGTCGCTGTCTACTGATTGTTCGCCAAGGCAGACAATCACTTGGTCAGCCTGTCGATATATCCACTGCAGGAGGTGAAGCTGCTGGGCTCCCTTCTTCCAAATTGTCAAGGGCAAAAGGGATTAGCCAATGAGAGCACGTGGAAAAATGGATCTAGTATATTAGACTATAATAATAAAAGCTATATTATAATATAAGGGATCTTAAGAGGGCTAAGAGCTAACTTATTTATTAGAGAGATATTAATTATTATATAGTTATTTAATCATAAGCTTATAGTAACTTAATATCTTCTTGACTTACCCTAGACCACCGTCTAGTGTAAGTCGCCCAACCGTCACGTAGACTGAGCGTAACACCTTTGCTAGATAATCTAAAGGGTCTTTTATCTGTAGCTAGTCATATAACCTTCCAGCCTAGGAAATGTAGCGCTTTTGACCTTTTCGAGCCTAATTACATTGAATTACATAATGCCACGGTCCAACAACATCGATCACCTCTCCAAGACACCTCTGTGTTCTCGGAGAGGGATAATGTTACTATAAAACCACAACTCTTGATGCCAGTGTGGTGCCTCGGTCCGCTTCTTGGGTAGATTTAGCCACCTGTCCGTACTGTGAGCCTCCTTTGAGAATTGATTGCCGTTTGTGCTGTCATACCCCGAACCCATGACGTGCTTTTCCCAAACAGGTTCCAGGCTGCAGAAAGCCCCCAGCGTGAGATGGAAATCTGACAGATTCGGCAGCCGGGCTTTGACCCCCAGTACCAAGGTGCGATACCCAGTGTAGAGATTGCGCAGCATTGGTTCGTTGTACGTGGGGTCGGTGCATTCCTCGTAGTCGTTGCTGTCAGCCATGATGACAAGACTCAGACGAGAGGTATCGAAGAATTTGCCGATGAATGCTACAAGAAGACCCCAAGTATGTGCGAGGTCCATCCACCGGACAGTCTGCCTCGTCTCGAGTTGGAAGCGGATGCGTCGAAAGCGCCGCAAAGTGTCTGGACGAAGCGACTGGAGCATGTGCAGGCTGTCAAGAAAGGGGCCGGTAAAGGTAAAGGTGTTTGTGGAATAGAGCACCGTGGCCGCGTCTGTGCTTGTCTGTCGATTGACAAGGAGCAGCTCAAGGGGCAGGTCTCTGCAGCGACAGGCAGGAGAGTAGGACGCGCTTCTCAAGGGACAACAGCAGTCTAGCCTGGTGAATGAGCAGCTCAGGCAGCATTCCCTCTCAATGGCCAGACTACTGCGGATCGCTTGATTGAATCTCCCATTTTTGACGGCTATATCGCTCCACTCTGGCCTGAAAGAGCCGTTCGGTCCAAGATTGGTGAAGTCGAGGACCCGAAGTCGGAGTTCTGGAGGCAAGCTTTGAAAGGGGAAGAACAACGACGCTGCTGCAGAGCTTGGAGGGCGCAGATCCTCGGTGAGCCTGGTTGCAGCGGAGCGGGCTAGTGACCGAAGGGCAGCGTCTTGGTTACGGCCGAGCCTTATGGTGCACTGGTTTAGTCTGGGCAATGTGCCCAGTGGCCTCAAGACTCGTTCTGCAGTCGCCTTGTCCGTCACATCGCAGATGAATTCAACGCTCAAGCGGCCGGGGATAACGTGTGAGGACAAGCGTGAACAGGCCCTCGACAACTGCTCGATGATTGCCTCGGACTCGGCATTGTCTGCCCCGAGCTCTGCATCACTTGCAGAGACAGGTGCGCGACACTCGAGACACACGCCATGTTTGAAGTTGGCGCGGGAATGCCCACGATAGCAAGGCCAGCTGTTGAGCCGGACCAAGAGATGTCGCAGCTGGCTGAGAGCACCAACGGAGAGCTTGTCAAACAAGCCGAGGTACTCTGCACGATGTGCGCGGATAACGAATTTATTTTCGCCGTAGAGGAGGGCCTCGGCCTCCGCGTGCAGAGCCTTGCTCAAGAGAAGCAGCTGTTTGGGGATTTCAGGACAGCGGCATTCTCGAGACTCATGGACAATTCTATGACGGCCGAGCTGCTTCCGTTGCTGGAATTGGCAGCACCAGCCCCATCCCTCTTTTTCTGTGCGGCGAGGGGCGTCGTCGTGGCGAATAATGACATTTGCAGGTGCTGTGATGATAACCGGGCACTCTCGGACGAGGTGGGCAAAGAAGTAGATCTGCCTGCGGAGTTGCCAAGGTAGAGAAAGAAAGGGAAATGGTGTTGGGTCCATTTTGCGAATGCAGTGCGAGGTGATGTTGATGTTTGTATGGTTCAGGACTTCGGATTGCGCAGAGTTGCATGGATAGAAAATTTTCAGGCTTGTCCATGCAGACACAAGTTGCGAAGAAGTAAATGCCCTATGACTAATCGCAGTGTAGCTAGGTGTACATGGTTACCAAACAGGACATTTGTTTCAATGCCACTTGCTCATCCAACCAACAGACATAAGATATTGCAATGGTACTTGGATCTCTATTCTACTAAGCCCCTTACCTTTATGGCTGCAATATCTTATGCCTGAGCTTACCATAAGCAACCTGAGCAGGTATGCATAACTAGTAATTATGAAAAGTTCATAACTATTATAATATAAGCAAGTGGCACTAGACTAGGTTTAGACCCCAAGAAGTCCCTTCCATTCTCAGTAGGCAGGTTAATAATCTTTGAGATTATGGTCATTCAGCAGGCTTGCCTACGCCTGCTTCCTTTTGCCAAGTGCGAATGGCGAGGGCACTTCCTGCTGTTCATGATCACATAGGCCCCTGCACACAGGGATGCACCTGGCGTTGTCTTGATTAACATGATTTCTCTTAGCATGGCCTTTGGAGCATATCCTGCGCCTCACCCTCTTCCTTGGATACAGAGCAATCCAAGAGAGGGGATCGTTATGTGAATGTAGCAGGTTATTGCAGAACAAGTTACATAATGGCGCATTTGCTGCGGCTGGTTGCTCGGTCGAGATCTTGCTCGCCTGTCTCCTTGTTCGACTGGCCACCTGTGCCGTTTACATTGCTAGCGTCGCTAGTGCTGTCACGGTTATATTCTCTAATCTCCCTGACAATGTCGTAAAATGCATTCTCGACATTGGCTCCTGACTTGGCCGAGGTCTCGATAAAGCGGCAGCCGAATTGGCGCGCGAGCTGCTCGCCCTCTGTGTCCTATGTCAGCGTTGTTTTCATGCTGTAACGGGCTTCGTGTAGATGATACGCACCTTCGGTTAATACCGCGCGCTCGCCCTCAAGATCGCACTTGTTGCCGACGACGATGATGGGGAAAGAGTCCTTTTCCTTCACCCTCAGGATCCGCTGCTGGAAGAACTTGATTTCCTCGAACGAGTGCTTTGAGG